ATCGTGTAGGGAAATATCTAGGATAGTGAATTGTTATAGCAAGAACAGTAGCGATTTTAATACAATGATGAATGTGGATTCGAGCCCTGCACAAAATAATATTTATAATAATATGTTACTCATTATGTTTATTTGTATAGATGTTGATGTAACGTTATATATAAGGTATTTAAAAAATTAGAGTCTAGTCTAGTTTTTCTTACATTTTTATATCATGTAGTTGAAAAAACAATTAAATAAATTAAAATAAGTACGGATCCCCGTGAGTGGTGTCATTAGACCTCACTTTGAGTAATCATAATTTAATTATGTATGTATGTATGTAACATTATAAAAAATCTGAAACAATTTTATTTAGGCGTATAATAAGCACTTAATGTTCTATCATGACTGTTTGAGATCATTATAAATAAATGATATAATATTATATTGGGTTCTAGGAAAATCAACAACTCATAAGCTTCTTACAAATTTTTATGTCAAGAGGTGATTTATAAGAGTCGGTATTGTTGAGTACGTAATAATTATCATACTTTACCAGTATTTTGCATTGAATTTTATTCGTAGATCTATTTTTGTACAATATTACGAATAATAATAATAACGCAGTACAATTCACACAGCGCCATCTAGTAGCTAAGCAGAGCTGGTATTATGTGTACTAGACAACTAACGTAAATACTTACATTTTTAATAAATACATACATATTAGATAATATATATACAAAATATCCAGACCAATATAAACAATCATACTTATGAATATATGTTCGCATCGTGCGAGGAATCGAATCCGCGATCATCGGAAGTAAAGCGGTGTCGACCGTCGAAGTAATGCTGATGAATCCGCTATGATGGACTAATGATCTAACTTTATCCTCTTCCAATGAGCTTCCACTGGTGCCTCGTCAACAAATACCGTTAGTGCAAGCTATTAAAATATTTACCATTTTCATCCATTAAAAGATGCCTATGACGGCCACTTGTCCCGGTTTTCTATTTATAAATTCATATTAGAACTCCCCGTCCTCGAGTATAAATTGTCATACATACACCATGAATATTTTTTATATACACAACCGCATATTTCCAACAAACGGTCATTCGAAATCCATACTTAATTTGATGCTACTGTCGATAAAAACTGGTATCTCCGACTTGAGATGGTTGATTGAAATACGCGACGAGTTAGGGTTAGCAACCAGGATTATTAGGGAAAAGGTCGAAGGCATTCTTGTACTTTTATTTTATTTGCGTCTAGGTAAAATGAAAAGACTTGGTATACGGAGATATATATTAATAAAAATATTGACATAACAGAATGAAGTATCAAACAAGAATATACCATAAAAGAACTATAAATTCAAATACAAATTTAGAATAAAAATACATTTCTGATTAGTCAGATACAACACTCCCCCTTAATGTTGTATCTGGCTAATGAAAAATATATTTTGTAAAATTAAAGAACTATAAATCCAAATACAAATTTAGAATAAGAATACATTTCTGATTAGTCAAATACAACACTCACTCCCTCTTAATGTTGTATCTGGCTAATGAGAAATATATTTTGTAATATTAAAGAACTATAAATCCAAATACAAATTTAGAATAAAAATACATTTCTGATTAGTCAAATACAACACTCACTCCCTCTTAATGTTGTATCTGGCTAATGAGAAATATATTTTGTAATATTAAAGAACTATAAATCCAAATACAAATTTAGAATAAAAATACATTTCTGATTAGTCAGATACAACACCCCCTCTTAATGTTGTATGACGTGGTACATTGCTAGCAATGGGGTAATTTTTCCACATTACTAACAATATTCTTCCCCCCGTTTATACACTATTAGATAACAGCTAGTGGTTAATATAAAGATGATAATGTTTGTACAAACGATTTAGTGATGGATTGATTGATTGACTCATATATGCATACCAGACGAGTTTCATGCCAATTCTTCAGAACTGTACAGTAGTATTGAAAAGTGGGTGAAAACGTTCTGTATAAATGAATAGTTTTCACTTTGAATGTACTTATTTAAGTAATAATTTATTCAGCACTTATTTGTTTCCAATTAAAATTAGAACAATCAATATTAGGACTTCATTAATTATATATATTGGTTATATTTTGTATAAAAAATAATTATAATTTGTAAGTAATGAATGACACAAAGTTACTTTATATTTCTCTTGAATTAAATTATTTTGTGATCATCATCTTCTTCCTTATTCCATTAATTTGGGGTCGGCGTAATATGTTTTCTTTTCCATTTATATTATTGAGTTACTTTGAGTTAGATAGAAAATTAAATACTCCTCACAATTACAGTTAATGTAGTAACCCTATTAGTACTATACATTTTATACCTCATTCATGCGATATTAGACCATGTGTCGTTGTCATAAGCGCTGTATTGCTTCAAATTACGAGTTACATCAGATGAGATAAGTAAGAATGATGTGGACCAGTATGTGTTTCATAGAATACATTTGGACTCACTGAATTTTTCTGCGTAAAATGTATATAAAAGGTGCCAATGTTTTGTATGTTTCGATCCAATACATACGTTATTATTTATGGCCTCTCAGTGGGCACAATTACCCATAGTGTCAAAGATATTAGCTGCACTATAGACACTATCAATCTGTATTTATATTGAAATAACGTTTGGTCGGTTATCGTTCGATTAATATTTAAGTTTGAATTTCTTGGAAGTGTTAAGAACTCTTTAAGTGTCTTGTCGTGATAAGATGTTTATACACTACGATTATTTAAATCACAAACGTGCATGCGTTGGATGTCTATGTAGGTACGTATTAAACTAATGTTAGACATATAGAAAATAGATTTAAAAGATTGTCTTAAAAAAAAGAACAGTTGAATTTCGTGCCAGTACTACTTCTAATTGCAACTGTCACCGTACTGGACTTTCAGTGGTCGCTTAGTGGTCGAAAATCGACCATAATAAAAGCTACAAAGAGATCTTTGATGCAGCAATTACAAATATATTTTTAACAATAAACAAAAGAGTATATGCGTTTGTGTGTCAAATACACGATGGTGAGCGTAATGTTTTTTTTATTATATTTTTTATGAATAATTTATAAAACATATATTAGCATTCTGCACTCCTATATATAAATTTTGTACACTTATGTGTAAAATTTCATACTACTACATACGCGCAATTTTTGAAATACGGAGTACATAGTTTTGATAAAGAAGGATAGTTTTATTTTTTTTACTGCTATTTTCCCAGGTAGAAGGCATTTTATTTTAAAACCATATCCCTCTGTATTCAAATCCAATGTGATGTTAGTCGACCTTGCCTCCGTCTCTCAAATTAATTGGTTTTGTTATTGGGTTTTCCATCACTGGAGAGTCAGTCAGAAATATAAATTGACACACAAAGTCTGCTTAGGTAGCCACTAGGCCACGGATTTGTCAAAATTGACGTACGTAAGTCGTAAAATATACAACATGTAAGACATGAATCAAGCTGTAGAGTTGGAGACTTGAGTCACAGATTTCTAAAATAAAGTGAAAATTACTCTATACACAATGACTATGATGGTTGACATACGTTGTACACTCAGCAATTTGTAAACAATATGCGTGATATGTACATATCGACTGGTCCCTTCGAGATTTTATTGTCCTCGAAATTAACTTCTGTAGTTTTTATTATCTTATATATTTTATTTTATCCTACTCGGTGTTTTTGTAAATGTGCCAACCGTCTTGTTTTCCCAGGACATGTGCTGGTTATTGTAGTGCCCTGGGTAGTCCTGAACAATTTTTATACAAGGTCCTAGGTTTTTAATAAAAAAAAAAAAGATAATTTTATTCAAATACTTTTAATAATAAATATCATTATTTTAATTACTTGAATTTCGTTTGACCTATTTTCGCTACATATATATAACTATTGTAACTCTATTACTGCGCCCTGTTTTTAAACTGAATTGTCCTGGTTTAATACTGTTTTTTTTTTAAATTTTGGGTTGGCAACTCTATTACATAGTATAGAAACAGGTATGTTATGTTTATTCGGTGTTCTCAAACCTGTATGGTTGAATGTGAATTGTTTTTGAATGAAGTAAAATTTTTTCATATAGTTATTTCAATTTATAGTTCTCTGCGATAGAAGTCCTGTCTACAAATAAAGAAATTCTACTAAGACTCTCGTAAACGATTTTTTTATTGTTAAGTTTGTCCTTTAAGTTTGTGTATGTGAAACTTTAACAAATTGCAAGGATCCATTTAATAAAAAAACGTATACGATATACGTATTGGTGGCATTTATTTGTTATTGTTAAATGGTCTTCAGATGAACCCTCGTAACATCATGGGTCCGCTGACCACATGTTAAAACACAAAAGTTAGAAACATTACTTTATATGTTTTCCAAGTACTTAGTATGACATCATTGGCCTATTTGTTAGCAACTTTTTTTAAAATTTATTTTAGTATATAACAATTTATTGAGATATCAAAGCTGGTAAAAATTGTCAATAATACACGTACATACTAAATTCTATCTATATTCATATCTAAATTAACCTAAATTATTGTATAAAAAATTTGAAACGTAACAAAGGACTAAATTCAGCCACAACGCTATGCTATCAAAACCATTTTAAAATTTTAAATGCAGTGTTGTTTATGTTATGTGTTTCTAAATTAATTTATACGAAATCTTCACGAATTATACATCTAAACCTTCTCCAAAAAATGATCTGAATCAATGTAAATCATTCCTTAGTTTATAGTAAACATTGACAAGCGGACACTTCGTTTTATAACATGTAGAGATTATAAAAAACATTAAAAATAAATTAGAACACATTCTGGAAATGAAACGTTGTTCGCGCAGGCTTTTTTTTATATTTGAACATACATCTCAGATTATCTTTATCCATGTCTATTACAGGCTCTTTTAGTAATATTGTCCATCACAGTACCGTTTTCTTTGCCAACAGAACCAAGTTGCGAGCGGTGGTGACCTAATGGCTGACCTCCATGCGAAACTGTCGATGCGCCGGAAAGGCATATCAGGCGCGGAAAGGTCCGGTGGCTCTGTACTACACACCCTGGCTAGCATCATACCGGGACCTGACCTGTCCTCAGCGCAAAACTCCTCCACCGATGACGACTGGGAGTAACAGCATCTAACTTCATTCTATAGGGTATCCACTGAATCCTATACTTCTGTATAGCTTTTAATTGTAAATTTGTTAAGTTTTTTAAATGCACGTTTTTTAGATTAAATTTAATAAGCCGCGGCTTGTAGATTGGTGTATATTCATTACAGGATGTACGTCTGAAAATGCTGAACTTGTTTAGGTTGGATTATCTAAGTGTTGTTGGATGGACGGCTCCCTTCCCCGATCATTTTTATACGCGCCACAACATTGTAACGAAACGACTTAAAGGTAAATGTCATTTCACACAATTTAACCTTTTCCTCGTACTACCATAATAAGTTGAGAGGAGGCAGATAAGGCCATATAAAATAAACGTTGTTAAATTAAAAGGAAGAAAAAAATGTGGAAATTTATTGGCATTATATTTACATTATTCTTTGGATATTATGCATCGAAATTTATAATATCTCTCATGCAGGTTATTTTATCGAAAACATGACCGTCATTCTGCATATGTTGTAAACAATTACATATCAGCAACCAGATATCAGCATTACCAACTCGTTTTAAATAATAAAATCATAGTATTGACGGCCATCATTAACTACTCATAATGACTGATCTTGTTACTGATCATTACAATGTGACTACAGTCGTATGCTGCAATTAATTGATTCATTTCGCCACGGATCGACACGCGATCTTTTTCTCGCGTTCCATCGAATACAGATACAATAAGCGAAATCATGAATGAAATTGAAAACATTAATACAGCAACTCTGAGCAAATAAAATTATAACCAACTAAAACGAACATTTAGATTTTGTGTTAGTCACAAATATGATATGGAAGCGTAGGAACGAATGTTAGTAGTAGTATAATTTGAATAAATTGGCCTACAACAAGTAAGGCAACTGCAGATTTTGTACCAAATCTGTTGTACACGTGTATCCACAGAATTGATTCCAATATGTTCCAATTCGTCTTCCTGTCAGCACTAAGGGTGTCCGCCCGTCCAAACAACCGCACCATTATTCCATTAGCAAACAAAGATCGGAAAGGGCCTTTTCGTTCCGGGAGGTTATTACGATAATCGCATTTCTCACTAGCGGCTATCTCGCTTTCGTTTCTAAGAAGGTGCGGGCACATTAAGTCTTCCCCGCAAACTATCAACTGGTTTTACTAATCGTCCGATTTCAAGAATCGAGAAACAGATAGAAGTATAATAACAGCTCGCCGCGCTCCAACTTACGCGGAAGACTATAATTCTACGACATTTTCTACCGATAATCAGTTTATTACGCTCATTAATGTCTCATAACGAATTGTATGTTATTATTGTAATTTGAGTAATGACGAGTTTATAAACGATTTCGAAGGAAACCCCGTGTTTATAAACTGTTTTTCCTTGCTTGTTATAATTGGTAGACCATCTCGAAATGTCTTAGACTAATTGTATATTAAAAAATGTGAGTCGCAAAAAAAGCGGCGTCTATTAAATAATCGTTAACACCGTTTTATTCTAACAGTTTGTTGATCTTATTAGTAATAATACTTACCAAGATGGTCTATTAAAAAAAACTTAAAAATGTACTGTGTAGTTGAATATTTTTAATTGAGAGAATAATAAGTATACAGCCTATTTACATCTTATCTCAAGTCATCAAAAGCCATTATAAATATTATTTTATGTAAAGAATAGATAAGTACTATAATTACTTATATGTTGTAATATAGTTAAGACTCTTCTAACGTTATTTTAATTAAGATGTTTAATTTTACAAAAGAATCATGAAGTCTGTATTGATAGGTATTGATGAATTTATTGTAGGGATTTAACAACGACTTGGAACAATATATCTTTATATATTATAATGAATAATGATGATGTAAGTTGGTAAGCATATGTGATGCGCGTGCCTAATTGAGAGGTGCTAAACATAAAGAAATATGTTTATTTTATTTGTATCTTTCTGCTATTTTATATATACTTAAATATTTTACGCTAATTTTAGCGCGATCGTTGAGATTTTGATAAATATTGAGCATGAAATATTAGGACAAAAAATATATATAATTATTGAATGTGTATTGGCATTTTTGTAAATTTTAATTTACTTTTAAGTATTTTTATTAGGTGATAATGTTTAAAAATTAATAAAATTAATAACGTAATATTCTGAACTTCACATATAGCCGGGGAATAAGTAGGTATAGTAATTGTTAATACAAAAGCAGATTTCGACGAATTTGTAGCCACTTCATTCGATAATGGATTAACAGTTCGGGCAACATGATCGGAAATTACTGAACTATAAACAAATACGTATAATAGCGTACTTCCAACTAATGGCTGACAATTTATCACAAAAATGTATTATATATAACTTGTATAACGAATATAGACAATTGTTTTAAACTTCTCACGATTGTTTACAATCGTACACATTATATAAAAGAATATTTGCGTCCATTATTTAAGGGTCAACCCTCGTAATTTTTTTATTATCGTTGTTTAAAAATAGTAGGCGTAAACATTCCGTTTATATAATGTGTACAAATGTATACAATTATTAAAGAATGTAGTGTTTTATAAGAACCTAACGCTTTAATTGTCAAATTAACAATGCAACAACATTGAAGTATCACAAAACGATTAATTTAAATAACGGAAATGTTAGAATAAAAGGTATATTTGTAAGTTAATGGACGTTAGAGAAGTCCAGGAACGTAGAATCTCGAGTGGCGTTACGTAAATTTATTCGTGCTTTATTATTGGAGTACTTCAAAGAATAACATTTTAAGTTAAACTGTATACGTGACGGGGTTTTAGTATTGGCGCATTAGGTAAATCGTAAGCGGTCCTTTTTAACATGTATCACATTTGTATGCGGCGACTTAGCCGCACACACCTGACAGTTACGTTCAGGGGAAATAGCTGTGGAATATTACTTCAGTTCGGTTCATTTCTCCGTACCGTATTCTAGTAATTACATGGTATTCACTGTTATCTATTTGTTATGTGTACGTTATACATCTACGTACACATGTGGCTGATTCATAATATACTCCCCTGAGTGTCAAACAGCCCCGTCACTCATTCTCTGCTAACTATAAAGTAATGATCATTTTGACTGTTGAACGTTTTATCATAGTATGTTCTTATGCTATCCACTTACACTGCTTAAGAAAAGATCACATAAAGCTAAAAACTATTAACTTTTTTATTCAAATTTACATGTAGGTATATATGATATTTATATGTATGAAGATAAGCTATAAATTAGGGGATACAAATAACTGCACGAAAGAAAGGTTAGGAGTTATCATGAAAAATATATATAAAATTCATCGGCGTTAGATGTAACAATAAAAATAATATCACCGGAATTACGATTCCAGGAAAAGGTGCTAATTGGACTGACTAAAATCGTTGTTGAAAATATGAAATATGGAAATATTTTTTACCTTTAAATATGAATTGTAACGTAACGTCGGCGTAGTCGACCATCCACCGCAAACATACATATCTCCCGTATTTTTTTGTTTGACACTCGGGTTACCCCCCTTTTCACCCTTGGGTTCCACCCCTGGCCGCGCCTGAATGTATCAATTGGAGTAGGGGTAGTACAGTAAAACTTTGTTATCGATCTATAAGAATGTTGCAAAAATAATACCACCAAAAAGGGTCGGCAACGCGCACGTGTCACCCCTGTTGTTTCAGGCATACATAGGCTACGGTAACCGTTTACCATGAAATGGGCCACCTACATAAAAAAAACCAAATATGAATTATACGCAGAGATTAATTATACTAGGATTTGTAGTTTTTGTTTCCGTACCGATCTGTTTGTGTGTTTGTTAAGTTTTTGTGTCAATATGTACGTATGTCACCTATGTCCATTACACTTATAACACCGAGCCGGCTCTTGCCTAAAATACCTCATAGTTGATCAATCAGTTAGTTATCTATATCCCGCATGTTATATATATATTGTTAATTTCTTACAATGTTTTATAATAATATTTCACATGTTCCTATATTATACGGCGATAACTTCTAAGTAGATTTCTTTAAATCTGAGTTCTATGCAATTCTTGTTTTTACCAAGTTATAACTTTTAATGACAGTGTTTATAGGTTTTTTAATAAACGTAAATCCACCTGAATGTTAGAGTTGATTCTAAAATATAAAGTTTTAAATTTTGGACAAATCTATAGCTATAAATTATTATAAAATGTTGCATATAATGAGGTAGGGTAATGGTAATAAATTGTGTTTACGTGGAAACATCGGATGAGGTAAGACGAGGCGGTTTTACTCTGCTGTCTGCTCCCACATTATTACAACGCAGTTACACCACGAGATTATAATTGTTTTTTCGCATGTGTGATCGTGTTACTTTGTATATTGCCATTGTTTTGCTAATCATTTATTAATTTAGTATCTTTTTATGAAACTAAAATATTGTCTCTAATTGTTAAATAAACGAATATATTATGCACAGACAATGCGGTCGATAAAGATTGGTGTGCGAAATAAAAGTTTTCTTTTTATATACAATTGTTTTTCTCCAAATGTATGCAATTATCTCATTAATATGTTTCCTCAAAACGTGATTTGATTTGATATGAATAGCCACATTCTGTCAAAAGTGTAGCTCGTCTTAATACGTAATATATAGACATTCATTCTAATTTTTAAAAAAATTGCAAAAGTAGTGTTTCCATTATATACGAACTAATTGCGAAATTTGTAACTCTGTCTGTCGAACATCGATAAATAATCGAAACCCCGGTGTCACAGATTCATAATAGGTACTTTATAGCGTTCTTCTTAATAGAAATGACTCATTAGAACTGTGTTGTAACTTCCGGGACTAAATGTCTATCAACTCGCGTTTTGAGGAAACACACGGTCTTTATCGTAATATTTCTTGTGTTTGTATGTGCAATATTAAAACAAACTCACGAAGGGTACTACTAACGTTTTAACGCTAAAATTTACACTTTATACAGTGGTAATATGATTAATATTGTAAAAACTTAGCAGTAAGTGCATGAACTATAATTATTATGATTTTTATTCTAGTAATACTTGCCCTATAATTTTTTTATTAAGTTTTTTGACTGACTTATTATATCTATTAATTATGTTATGTATTCATTATCCAATTTACAGCTAACCGTGATTTTGAAGTGTATTCAATATGTATAAATATGTTTTTCAAAATTCATGACACTGGTAAATAAATCACAGCTGAATTTTTATTAGATGATGGATTTATTGATAATGGCTAATTGTGATCGTAAAAGATGGTGTTCCATGTTGTTTATGCATCATCAGTTTTCGTAGTTATATGATGTATTAAAAATAATGTTATGATATAATATTATTTATTTATACTTATACAATGTTTCGAGACTCATAAATTTAAGTAATAGACTTGCGCACCGATGCCACGCCATGTTGATCCACGTCCTAAACATACATAAGTACGTTTATTGTACGAATGAATTTTAAAATAAGTAGTTATTATTAAAGTTTTCATAATTATAATTGAGATAAAATAAGCACAAAATTTTTATTTAATAACCTACAAAATATCCATCTTTATATTAATATTATACATATAGGATTTCCAAACCGTAACGAGATAAACCGAAAAATATATTTTTTTTATGGGTAAGTATAATTTTTGGTATAAACCTATTTTGCATGCGTGATCCAACCAAAAACGATTTCTTATTGAAAATTTACCATTATGTACTTGTTAGTTGAAGTTTTCACTTAAAATATGCGCTACATTGATTGTGATAAACATTACAAGAATAAGAAATATCGGTGAAGATCTACAAATTACCAACTCTCAGCGATGTTCCCTGTCAAGGGAGAGATGTTTGTTTACTGTAGTACCTATATAGTTTTTTACACACTACCAGGAATAGTTACAATTATAAAACAATCTCAATCATAGACGTAGCATCTGTATTAATAATCTAAGCTTCAAGCTTAATACTCTCTAAAAATATCGAAAAGTATTTCTAAGTAAATGTCCGTATTCGAGGGTCAGCGACTCCTCTTTACGTATTCTAATTATTTATATATAACGGCGGAGCCACCTCGCTAGAAAGCTACGTGTTTTGGGTTTTACGCGGCATTGCCCCAGAATAACACCCGTCGAGATTTCTTGGTAAGACCGCGTCGAGTATTTCGGAATCGGAAACAAGGATTCCGGGAAAACGCTGGCCTCAGCTCGCGCGCGCGTTGAGGACGCGCGATTAGTTTGTTTGTGTGGGTACGTAATAAATAACCTTCCAATGTATAATGCATGAGGTCCAAGCAGGCCGGCTTTTCGAGTTCGCGGCCACGAGCCCGAGCCGGCTCCCGCACTCGTTAGTCGTTACATGCTATGCTATCAATTTACTACTAACATTTCAAGGTAATGTTTCTTTTCCCAGAATAGAAAACTTAATCTGCTAAAGCGTTGGTGTACTTCTATAAATATATTTAGTAGTATGTATTTTTTTTTGTGCGTATCGTCTGCTAGATATTAATGAATTAAAGAACCAAAATAATGATGTTGATTACATTAGTGACTTCAAAGTAGCTGAACGGCATAATATAAAGGCGCCGCCCGTGTTTCATTGTTTATTTAATTCAATTCGCAGGCTCCCTAAAAATGCCAACTTTAATAACAATCTGTCAAACAGTATTAAATTTCTGGAGCAACTGTGAACAGGCAAAAACAAAGTAGACTGACCCCCAAACTGGAATATCATCCATAGCCTTGTTATCACTAAAGATAGTAATTTAACATTTGAAAACCGAATAAACAGGTAGAAGTGATCGTTAATAATGTCAGCTAGTCACCATTTGCTTGTAATGTAGGTACCTACGATATCAAGTCTACCTCCGCGCGTACCTCCTGGAAACCATTTAAATTCACAATGAGCAAACTGACTTGACATATTTTATGCTCATCCTATTATTTCCTACTGTCATTAGCATAGCTAGAATAACCATTTTATCATCATCTTAAAAAATACACTAAACTAGTGAAAGAGAGATAGATATATTTCTTTCTATCGGGGGATTATAGAAAGAAATATTTAGATTCGATTTTGTCCACGCATAGTTATGGAAACCCATGAAACTATACTAACGAATATAGCATTTTTTCTCGTTACAGAATTAAAGAAAGTGTTTCAATTGAGGTTCTTGCTAGTTCTTCTCTATTGGATCTATATACCGAAGTGGACGGTAGGGAAAAAATTAAAATTATAATGTAAAAAAATTAACGTTCATAAGCGGCTAAAATGTCCTACATGAATAAATATTTTTTTAATTTGAATTTGAAGGGAAATCAAAGAGCTGTAAATCATTTTGCATGATTAACTATTTAGACCTCTGTTTTTATTTAAAGTGATGCGGTCTGTTAAATGCTTTTTGAGCAAATAATCACTGGTATCGTTGTTTGCGTGTATGATATTCAACGATGTGATTGCGGTCTCTTTATTGACATACCTGTCACTCTGTATGAGTGACTGTTATGAGTGCAACTGTGCAATCAAAGTCATTCTCACTAATTTCTATTATCATATGTTATTGTTGTGTATTTTCCTTGAAATTATCATTTGAAACTTTAAAACTTGAATAAAAATAATAAATAAGGTTAAATATATTCAGCAGCATCTTTTTTACTATTAAATGTTGTTAACAAAATTGCTAATTTAATTAAACATTTGTCTGAACTTATCTGCTGTTTGCCTACAATTACAATCATTAATTCTGAATCTTTTCTAAGAGCATTATTTTTGTAATGTAAGAGGTAATCGTAATTGTAATTACTGACTTTCACTTAAGGACTCCCGTTATTCCTGAGTTTCTACAGAGATATTTAAAAAAATAAACATGTATACACATCTGATATAGTATATATAGATATATGACAACATGGCATCAGCATTTCAGCAACAAATATTTGCTTTAGACGCTCGATTCAATGCATATCGAGCGCCAAATTATCCCAATTTCAGTAAGTACTATTTGATTAATTTAAAAAAGTAGTTCTGTGGGTAATCTTAGATCTTAGACTTACATTACACATATGAATTGTTTTTAGAAACCTTATATATACGACGTCGCAGTCAACTTCTTCGAGAGAATGCTAAATTTAAGGTATATAAAAATTATATATTTACATTTGTTGTATAAAATTATCTATATAATTAATAATATTTTTTTCTTAATAGGATATAGAGACAATAAAAAAATATATAAATATTAGAAGTCAACTGCTGCAGAGGCGGTATGGCGTTCAGGATAACATATCCATCAGTTCAAGTTCTTCACGCCCAAGATCTAGTAGTAAGGTCAGTTTATGGAAATAATAATGTAATAATGACGAAAAGATATTTGTATGTAAAAGTATTTAATGAAATAATACCTTACATTTAAGGTAGGCATTAATCAACAGACCTTAAAGGATATTTTACTACTCCATACTAAGTTTCTTTGAAATCAGATAACTTTTTATAGCTGCGGGTCTAATATGCTACACAAATAATGAAATATAGATTTAACAAAACCTATTATTGTATTACTCTATGTAAGAAATTTATTAAAACCTACAGGCTATATAACACAAACTTTATTTTATCATTCATCATTTAAAAACCCCAAAAATAGTAAGAAGTGTGGGTAATGGAAGCAAAATGTGCTTAAGAAAAAATGAGATTTAATTATTTATTACCTATACTTATAAGAGGTTAATTTAAAAATTTTATTAATTCATTGAGAAATATTGTTTTTAATTTTAATTCCTAATTGTTTTTATTATGTACTTTAGGCTAGTTTAGCATTTGATGATTATCCAAGCTCGAGCAAGAGAAAAAATGACATGACTATATCTGAAAATTATGCATTTTCTGGAGTTCATCATATATTTGATCAGGTATTATTTTAATAATTTTATTACATTTAAATCAGAGAAAGTTTAAATGATAATAACGTACATACTTCCCAGGAGGAAGTATCATCCAATTCAATTGAGAAGAATGGCAAGAAATACATCTGAATTTTTTTCTTAAGTTATTATATAGTTATAAATAAAATATGTTATAAATCTACTTCTAATTTTTTGTCCTACTAATTATAATGTACAATCAAACCTAAATCTAGAAACCTTGTTTTTCAGCACACTGATCAAGTGAGTGTAGTGAAGTTTGCTAATAACGACAGATCGAAATTGTGCTGTGCGTCGCATGATGGCACCGTGTCCATCTGTGACGTAATGGCTTCACCACCACGCGTAAGTTTTGTTCTCGAGGGACACACCAAGGCGGTGACCGGTAAGATTTTTTTTACTGAAATGTCACATCTTGGTAAAGTGATTTAACACACCGGGATTCTTACGATTATGACCAGTCAATTCCTTGCATGATGCACACATTTTATTCAAGTATATGATTATTTTTATCGGTCTGGATGTTTTCTGCATAGAAATACAAAAATAATAATTAAATATTTATATCAGTTGTATAGTGCCCATAACAAAAGCTTTGCTTAGCTTGGGACTAAATGGCGCTGTGTGAACTACGTACTATCCTAAGTTTTTATTGTCTTTATGTAATTGTATATTATGTCCATCTATATTGTCCACGTTTACATAACTGTAGTTTTATGTGATTTGAAATAAATATCTTATCTATAAAGAAGCTAATGGCTCACTCGATGGCAAGTTGTGGTATCATCATCAACATAATCAAAAGTTAATCTTTTATACATGTATCAATTGTGTAAATGCTCTACTTGTATAATACATAATATATGTATGTCTGGGGCATATAGGGTGTGATTGGTCGGCGTCGAACGAGCTTCTGGTGACAAGTGGACTGGATGGAACGCTTTGTCTATGGGACGTAACGCGCCGGCGGCGGCTACGCGTGGTGGCAGACCAACTGGCCGCACCCCTTCTCTGTTGCGTCTTCCAGCCGGCTAATAACAACATGGTCATTGTATCCTTGTCATATGCTCGATATTATCCTCGTATTCTACAGTAATACGTACTAGTTCATCTGCGAGACCTAGGATGCCACATGATGACAGCTTCGAAGGACAGTCTGTGGCACAGATAATATACAGTACAATAGTGGCACTATGTTGTAGCAATTGATTATTGCTTTTACCACCTTTATATTGACTTCCTCTTTTAAATTCAGTTCGTTAGAAATCCATTCAATTATAGTTTTAGTCCATCTCGTACTTCCATAAAGTACGGCAAATTTGAAATGCGATGTCACAGAACTCCCATTTTTAAGAAAAGAAAATTTTACTTAATAATGTGTCCAGCTGTGATATGGAGAGGGGGATCGGGTAAATATGACTGAATCTGGTATGACGTAGTTATTATTATGTGAGAATAAAGTTTATTGACTAATGTAGTAAATTAATAAATAAATAATGATATCCTTAAGAACATTTCTATATATATAGGCTGGTAACGCTCGAGGTATGGTCGAAGTACTCAATGTGTCTACTGGGATATATCCGAAGGGTAATTACACGTTAAATTATATAGCAAAACAAAAGAATAAATTATTAATAACCAGCTTATATGTCTTTCATGACTTTGTCTAATTTCACGTAAGAACACAAAATAATTGTTATAAAATTACAATACTCTAGGTACTCTAATTTGAAGAATCCGGAACCTTATTGACTACATTATTCTTACTCTTAAGATAAAAGTATTCCGGTAGACGCTACATATCAGAAAAGGTATACTTGAAAACACAGAGCAATAATTATAGCCAGACATCGTTTGTTGCACATTTTTCAGGCGGCACCAGCATCCTGGGTGGGAGGGTGTTGTCGATAGCATGTGAATCTAGCGGCAGAATGTTCTGGGCGGCAAACGATAAGGTATTATTTAGCACATAAAATAAATATTTCGTTTGTTTTTCATTTATTCAAAATTTAAAGAGTACATATATTATTTACTGGAAATCCTGTTAACTAAATGAACCATATATTTATACTATGTATTTGTTAAGGGGCCGTTCAAGTATTACGTAAGCACTATAGGGGGGCGGGGGGTCTTTTCTTTGCTTATTTTGGATGACTGATGATTACGTCATGAACTTTTTTACATATATTTAAAAAAACAATACATTAATTGAGAAATGTTTCCGTACGCCTGGGGGGCGGGGTAAGAGCTTTGCTTACTTTTGCTGACAACGGGGGATGAGGGGTAAATAATTGTGATAAATCTGCTTAGGTAATACTTGAACAGCCCCTAATTGGAATATTATGTTATCTGTGATTGATAGTTAAATCTCTAATAAAAATCCGGCTCAAGGGATCAAAAATTTTAAGGTATATCATCTTTTATTATTGTATACCGTAAATTTAAATAAAAAAAGATGTGTGATACTGATACATACTGATGATACTGATACATCAGATTAGGGATTGTAGAATATTAAGTACCTATCGTATATACTAAACTAAAATAAATTTATTTAGCAAATATTATTGACATTAACATGCATTACAAATAGCATAGATTAAATTAAATTGGCCGCATGCATACATGTACACATGTACATATACATACCACATAGCTACACCTACAGAATAAAACAATTATAAATCAATAGTGAGCCGATATTAAGTATTCTTAGTTAGAGATGTTAGTACATGATATGTACCATACACGTACATAATGCTATTGGCGAAGATTATTAATAGACATAGGACAATTTAATATGATTAGGAACATGTAAAGTTACATCGTTAATCTTCCTAAAATAAATTATATTATAATCATGAACTGTGGCAGGGTGTCATAGTGAGCTATCGGCTGGAGGGCGCGGGCGGCGCGCTCAGCAAGCTGCGGCGGTGTATTGTAGGCGGCGCAGCTAGCTGCGTCAGCTGGAGCCCGTATCTCGCGCGACACCCCGCTCTGCTCGTCAGCGCGGCCGACAACTCGCTCTACCTGTTCCGGTATGTTTTAAAATAGAATAGAATTTACCGCCGACACTTCACTCTACCTGTTCCAGTAATTTTTAAAATAGAATAGAATTTACCGCCTCCAACTAGCTCTTCCGGTATGTTCTGTCTCATGTACTTAATACATTAAAAAATAGTTATTTTTAATGTTTCGTGCCTAATACAATTTGTTCCACAATTAGCGAAATATGTGTACTGAGCAGGTATACAATCGGTCGAAGTGGGAGCGAGAGGTATACCAGCGTAATCTCTACAATCTTCTAAAAAAACTTGGTCTGTCTATAATGGCACATACTAGAGCTGTACTGGCAGGCTCCTACCAGATTTGACTGGGCAAAGAGAGAAATACGAGCGGCGAAGGTGAGTGTTGCCGTACAACGGCAAAGGCCTTAAACCTACACCCGGGTCACAAGTCCCGGGAACTGCTCTGAGTTTCCCTCTCTGCTACACGATAGACCCGCATGGTAAATCCACGGACTGCTAAGGTTCGTTAGTCTTGTTTCTTCTTACATCATTCCAACCATATCCTAATACTTTTCATTGTTCATACTTAAATCAGGATAGTGGACCGCGAGGGTAGTTTGGTGTTGAAGAAGCGTTTCGACACCCTACACAGCGTGCACAGTGTGAAGTCGACGTTTTGCCCGATCATGTCGTTCCGGCGGGGCGTGTGCGTGGTCACCGGCAGCGAGGACTCCTGCGTGTATTTCCTCGACATAGAAGGGCACGCCGACCAACCGGTCGTAAATAAACTACAAGGTAACTATAATAGCTGACGAAATCAAAATTGATTTTACTACTTTCTATTTAATATCTATTAAAAGATATTAAATATTAATAGTAAAGTAAATAGTTATGCAATATCTAATGAATTGCATAAAAATTCAGAGGATGTAGATTTTCTAAGTTTACTTTAGACACCACAATGCCTCTGATATGAGGGCATGGATTCCTAAGATGCTGATCACAGATCTAGTTTGGGTGCCTTTTTGGGTTTCTTACAAGTTTCCTAATATGATAAGTGCTATTGTTATATATATTTATTTACAGAATGTCTTTTTTAATTATACCCTTTGCGTTATTACGATGCATAAGCTATGAACTGTACAATTTCCAGTAGTTCTTTGCATGAAAGAGTAACAAATATTTATCCATCCATATTCATAAACTTGCGCGTTTATAATATTAGTGAGATAAGATTTATACAATAACATGTTTAAATTACAGATTTATACAATTTTATAAGGTTACACCAAAATATTAGCACTATACCCATTACATTTACAAACATTTACAAACGTTTTATTATTATTATATATATTGTTTAAGTTTATGCTAAGTTTTTATTCAAATTCAAATTCAAGTCATTTTGTTCACAGGACACGCGTCGCCTGTGCTGGGCGTCAGCTTCAGCTACGACGAGAGCTTGCTGGCTACCAGCGATGTATCTGGTCTAGTTATCATATGGCGACGCAGTTGACAGCGGTCGGCCCGTACCGACCAGTAATAGTATTTTTTGTATATACATCTTATTCTAGTAATTGTAAATAAATTATGTATAAACATTAATAGTACTTAAAAATGTATCCATGTAAAATTGAATATAAATAGATAAATTTAAAAAAGATGTATTAATATATTTTTCTGTTCACATTTTGAGGTTCTTTTTTTCAGTTTAGTTACAGGTTATAATTGGTTTATTCGTTTAGGATCAAATGTCGCAGACAGACGGATACACAGACAGGATAATTAATACCCCTATTTTACGAAACTATGAAATTGTTAATCTGAACAATAAACAATATTGTTCATTTCAACTGTATTCTATAAATTGTGTAGACTCAAATAGGATAATTTTAACTTAAACTGGTTCATTGAAGGTACCTATTTTTACTATTATGATAGAGTAACAATCGCTCTGTATTGTGTAGATAAATAACATTTATTCATGAACGTAAATAACTTAGGATTTATTCACAGAAATAAAAATCACATATTGAGTCACAAGTTTCATTTATTATTATTCTTTTTCATAGAAATACTTTTAAAAGACTCGACAAAGTCACAATATGAAAAGACTTTTGATGCGTTCACATTCACTAAATACTGCCTACAGCTCATACAAATCAATAACAACTTACAAACAATAAATATCATAATTATTGGACAATTCATTCAAATAATTCCTTGTACTGTATATTAATGTAAAGAGACGAGTTTGTTACGTTGGAGATTTCTCGAACCAGAATATAATTTCGTAATACATTCTTAGAGAAAAAGGACCACAAAGTCGCAGCTTGTGGCCGACAATAATCTAGATATTACTAACTTGTGTATACATGAAGTGAGATAAAATCGGAGGTGGCATTGACGTCAGGACCACGCCTCCCTCCCCATCTACCTTTTGAACCAGCTCCTTCTAGACAAAGCATATTTCTATCAGCGGTATCGCATGCAGAAAAGTCTAAATGTATGTAGCGAGAATAGCCTATGTTTATGGGTCGCATACAGTTTTCATTTTTTTTTCTTGTGATATCGCTAACAAAAATGCGCTAAGGAGCTAAGTCCAGAAATCTCACCAACAACCATAACAAGATACCATCCCTACTTAGTAACAAAATGAACATCTATCACATATTTACACCTGTACATTAACGAAAACTTATTAAACTGTAAAAAATAATGTTCAGAACAATAAACATGTAGTAATTTGAATTAATAATTTGCAATCATCGTAAAAACATCTCCAAATCTATAAACATTAAATTATATTTACAGTAATAATAACTAAACAACTAAAACGCAATGATATGGAAATGAGAGGAATTGCACATCAGGTTCACACTTGGACGTATTGCATACTATATTGATGACGTAATTTTAGTGGCACTCACTTCTGTACAGTCAGCAACAGAAATGTTACAACATTGATTGATATTGGCTCATACTGATCGCAAAAGGAACAATGAATAGTTACAGAATATATGCGATATCTTAACATAAGCATAGTTCATACTAAAGTACGATAAAGTTATCTTTGAGTTCCAAAAAAATTAAATTTTGAAACTGTTGCTACATTTACTTTATTATTTATATCAGGGGTCCACATAAAATATAAGTACGGTCTATATCATGTATTTATGCATATCCTTATATTTAGAAACAGGTTTTCTGAAATCGACCATCATAGGTACAATTCATTTTATTCGAGATTGCGTTTCTTTCCTGTCAATGTGCGCCGGCCCTGAATCATTTCTGTTGCTGAGTTCATGTACAAATAACACGCTACGTCGAACTCACCACAATAAGATACATCTAACTCTACACTTACAATTATAACATTTCTTAACTAACAATTGGCTTTTTAACCTCAATAGGTATAGACCGAAATATTTAAATTTTGTTATCCTTATTACATTCGAGGACTAAATGATGGAAGATGCGTGATACTCACTTGTGCGTAATCTATAGCCGCAAATATAATTTAGACAATGATTTTGTTATTATCAGATACTTGTTTTTTCTTTTAACTGTGACATTAAATCATTTATATGTTTATTCATTTTAATAATATCTAGCCCCAAGGTAAGCTAGCTAGAGCTTTTGTTATGGGTACTAGACAACTGATAAAAATACATACATTTCATAGGAAACACCCAGACAGATACAAAAAATCATACTCATGAATACAAATGTTTGTACCGCGCGGGGAATCGAACCCGCGACCATCGGAAGTAAAGCGGTGTGCTAAACCGTAAGACCACCGATGCCGTCAAATCACTGTTAATTATATTAATTAAATATCATGTAATATTTCAATAATTAATTATTACATGATCTGTGGTACTTGTCATCATTCAAGTATCTGAACGTAACTGTATAATCGAATTCACTACGACATTATGAAATGAGATTAAAAAGTTTACGTATGAAAAAATCTAGCAAGTACAACATTGGGCGGTAATAATCGTACAAAATTGGATAGGCCTTAATTAGCAGTATTTACCACGAAAAACAGTAGAAAACATTAATAATATAACAGCTATTACTTACTGCAGGAAATGTATCAAAAATGCATTATATGTAAAGTGCGGCACAGTGAATAATGTAACATAATTAAAACCAATCATTCGATAAAACCATTCAAAATTGTCCATGCAATTTTAAATTTAGTATACTTTCTTATACGCGATTTTTTTCAATGTCCCTATTCGTGGCAATACTGTAATAGAATGTAATTAAAATTAGCCAGATCAAACCATTTAAAACTGTAAAAAGTATTCGAAAGTCCTTATTAATAATCAGTATTAAAAGTGTTCCATTACATTTAATGGCTTTTGTACCTTATGTCGTGATTGAATATGTTGCTAATATTATTGTAGTATGTATGAAGTATTAATAATTAATGTATGGGGCTCATTCATGATCAACTTTTTAATATGCTCTCAACTGCAGATTAAAACGCCACCTACATACATATGGGTTAGGGCGAATTAATTACGAGAATTAATGAATTTTGATATGAAATTTCACTTTAAAATTGTAAGGATTGTGTAATTAGTATTATAATCAAATGTAAGCTAAGATTTATGACAGTAATAGATTTCGATACTTTAACACTTTGATTTTCGTTTAAAAACGTAGGTGGCCTAGAATGATCTGATTTGATATTTATATATTTAATTTACGTAAAAAAAGTTCTTTGTATTTATACGCATATATTTTTTGTAGTTTTATATAAAAGAGTTTGACCACTTACTAATTGTTAAGAGATATTAAACTTAAACATATCTAAATAAAGGTTTGGTAATACTAAATCTTGGCTATTGTAATGGCATTATTTACAGCATGTCCCAATTTTTCTTTTTTTCGGACTACTCTAATGCTGTTGGCCGCGGCTGGCCTTTACAGCTTCACCGGACGAAAAGTCACAAGCTACTATACGTCTATTCAATTGCTTGCTCGACATGCTGTTACACCGCCCGGAATTACGTCATAACTTTAGCTTAAGAAATTACATAATGTATACAGGATGTTTCCAAAATTTCATAGCACTGTTTATGTATTTTACAATGTTGATGACATTTTAAGTACTGAATGTAATTTTTTTAACGCGCGTCATCCATTGTTTAATTGTCGCTTCTCCCAAGGGGTATTTCATCGTCGACATCGGGCGGATTTTTTATAATAAAATATAACAACATCAGTGACAATGACATTTTAGATTCTATTTAAATAGGTCTAAAACCATGTTTAATATAGAAATGTAAAAATTATAGCCATTCAGTACAAGACATCGTATCATTATCGTAACCTACATATCTAATAAGTACTATTTCAAAAGCAGATATTTTGAAAACACCTTATATAGTACAATTATAAATTAATCACATTCAAAATCTTATGTAATATGAGTGAAGAGTATAATAATTACAAAACATTTCTAAAGAGTCCCCTTCATACAAGTAACCAGTACAGTATTGAGGACTTCGTAGGTTTTGCTTTAGTCCGTTACCACAAATTCCGAGGGCGGTGACTATTTTAATATAGAGATAATCCTATTTATACAATAACAATACCACTACTGTTAACATTTTCTATAATTAGGAGATGTTCGGAGTCGTTTTGTTCCGTTCTAGAGTAGCCTTAGAGCTGCTCTCTATACCGGAGTCCTCGTCGCCGCTATCCAGTACCGTACCCTCACCTTTGACTGCTTCCACCACTTTTGGACTTTCTACTTTGTTCTCACTGTTCTCTTCAGCGTGAACGTCTTCTGTGAGTATGATACCCTTTTGTTCGGGATCGACTTTCTGAACGCACTTACCGAATGTGGAGAAGGTGGGTTCTGGTAGTGGCAGATCGTCGCTTTCCTTCGGTAGCGGTAGCGAGGTACTAACGATCGGTGTTTCATCGCTCATCACCAGCGGCGTACTACTGACCTCGCTCGGCCTCTCGTCTTGGACCTTGTGTCGTTTCGGCTTGTCTAGCATAAAGTTGAAAACCCTGTTATGTCTCGGCGATGGCAAGTGCGGACTCGGAGGCAGGTCGAGCTTCAGTTTATCCCTCGTGTGTCTCAGACCACCTAGAGCCTCGCCGCCCGGTGAGCTCGGACTGACCGATTCACTGGAGCTCCCACTGTCGACCACCCGCCAGCACTGACCGAGGTCGGTTTCCGGCAATTTCTTGGTTTTGTAGTCTTCTTCGGTAGTTGTAGACCCTGGAGTGATATCTTCAACTCCCGAGTCTGGTGTTGTGAAGTCTAGTGAAGGTGTCCTGGTGTGGACAAGTGTGGTGGTGTGGGCCGTGGTGGTAGCGGTGGGCAGCGGCGACGGCGGCGGTGGGAAGTCGTCGACGTCGTCCAGCTCGCGGTCGAGTAGCGCCGGCTTCATGTGCATGCCGGGGAAAAACTGGCTCGTTGTTGTCATTATGCCCAGACTCTCGAATGGCCGAGCCGAAGACGATATGAAGAAATCCTCGTCGTAATCTAAATAAATAATAATACAAAATGCAAATGAAATAAACTTTTTAGGATGGTATAAAAGGGGAAACCTACAATAATATTCACAAAACTTAACATCTTTTCCTGACTTGATAGTATTCGGTAACCGTCGCCTATGTATATGATGAACATTATGATCGTCACGGTATCATGCGAATATGTCATGCCTCATGGTCTATGATTTCACTTCCTAATTGCAGCCTACAACCGAAACAGCTTACAAAGTACGCTGTTCTTTATCGAAGGGGACCTTTATATTAGATGGTATTTGTCGATACAATTAAAGCAAAACCAAAACAGCTTCTAAAGTAAGCTGTTCTTTATCTTAGTTGACCTATATATTACATTGTATTTGTCTACAATTAAAGCAATTCCCGAGACTTGTGTGTTGTCTTACTCAAGTTCTAAAATATATGTCATTTGTTAAATCAAAGGATGGAACTTACCGGCACCGAATGCAATACCACCCCGCAGTGGATACAAGTCTAGCGCATTCGGAGCTCCAAAGAGTTGACCGTAGCCTAACTCCGCCTCTTCTGCACTGCTGGGGTCCCAGTCTATAAAATGACAATTAATTTTATATGGTCATACACCATTTTTATTAACACTATAAAACCTAATTACATTATGTAAATAGGCCAAAAAAAAATATTTCTTCGGTGCAGATTTTTTTATAGAATTAGGTGTTATTTTGCGGAACTCTATTTCACTACTTAATCGATTAATATTATTTTATTTAATTACGCTACTAAATTCTCGTGTCACAGGTTTTGTGTTTATACTCTTCCGAATACCCCTAAGTGTTAAATGTGCTTCACCACAATTTTTTTTTCATTATATCGTCAATTTTTTTTTATAGTGGCATTAAAAAATACATACAGCCTTAAATTTGCAACCCTCTACTCTACCTTATTTTTTAATAGTGATATTAATTTATATGGCAAAACAAAGTTTGTCGGGACATCTGGTATATATATAATAATTATTAGATTATATACGGTTCAGTTGTAACATACCTGTGTAGGTAGAGAAGTCCGGCATGTAAGCAGCGGGCGACTGAGTATCTAATTCGGCCACTTCGCGTGGATATTCGTACACGCAGTGATACTTCTGCCGTTTGAATACCACGCGCTTCTTGTGCTCCTGTGGATTATTTACTCATTACTTTGGAGTGGGTCCGTAAGATCTACTAAGGAACCAGTATCTTAGTTGTATTTGTCGACATTTTATTCGTAATAATTTACAGATTATATGCATAAGATATTAATGTTCATATACTATATAGTCAGGTGGTCGAATACAGTGAGTGAGACAGCAATACAATGTGTTCCCGTTCTCACCGAGGTTATAAATGTGCGAGGAAGCGAGGAGCTCGCGTTACACTAGCAGTTAGCGCGCTGCTGTAATGCCCAAATAATGTGTGATGGTACACTGTCATCCGAGTATTTTAATCGATTATAAAAATAAGGAGATGTTTGATCGATATTTTTTTTATGTATGTTCATTTATCGTGAATTGTCGACCGATGTTCATATACACGCCAGAGGGGACTTCCATCAGCTTCTATCCTTCCACACAGGTCCTTCTTCAGTCACTTTCATAACTTATCTCATATACACTATTCCGGAGACTTGAATGATGTTATATAAAATACACATACCGGTGTAGCTTGTTCAAAACTGCGCAGTGAAGACTTCGAGGGTGCAGCGCGGCAGTCCCACGAAGACGGCACAAACTCCACTTCATCACCCTCCGAGCCTGACCCGGAGTCTCCGGAAGCCTCCGATGGAGCGTCAGAAAACGCTTTGTCTTCCGCTTGTGCGTTGCCCGATTCGGTATTGTTGCCTCGTTGCTATATAATAACAATTGACTATATAAGTACAGTTGAAGACATTTCGCGACAAATGATCATGCACGTGTGATCAGCCATACAGATGAAAACCAAGCATCCATAGCAAAGCGAAAAAAGCAACATAAAGTTAATATGAACACTTAAACTACGCACCAAAACCGCAAGAACAATGTAATAATATGATTACAATAACCCTGGACAATACACACAGCGGCATCTAGTCCCAAGCTAAGTAAAGCTGATGTCAGCGGTACTAGATAATTGGTAGAAATACTTAGATAAATTTTTTGTAAATTTGTAAATACATAATATAGATAACACCCAGACCGATACAAACAAACATAATCATGAATACAAATGTCTGCACCGTGCGAATGTTTGCATCGAACTCGCGACCATCAGAAATAAAGCGGTGTGCAAATCCACAAGACTGCTGAGGCCGTCGTATTTCTATATGAATTGTACATTTAATAGGTGATTATGAGCGCGAAGTGCTGGTATGGGTGGGTTTTGTTATAGGTTAAAAAAGACAGTAACAAATAAATTAAATGTCCAACTATCTTTAGAAAATACGAGTAAACAGCTTAATTTATATGTGTATCTTATGCGATGTGTTTGCCAGTAAAGAAATTGCGTTTGGGGTTATTTTTTGAAGCAAGAACAAGCATTTAATCACAAATTTACCATTTATGTACCTAGCTTTACATGAGACCCATGAGAATTTAAGCACAGCAATTATCTCGTAAAACATCGATCCATTCCTAACCTAACTAATAACTCGTGTACGAATCCCCTTAAATGTGAGGGTTGTATGCAAACATTTGTGATTCGGATATGGGCTGGCCATATTCATATAAATGAAAAAAAAAACTATATGAATTCAATTTACATGATTAGACACAATACAACAAAAGGATGATGGATGGTGATAGAATGCATTTAATAGCTGTCTTTACACGACGTTCTTTCACGCGCGATCAGGAGCACCGGAATTCGTAAGTGCTTTTATAAATTAATTAATATTTTTTATATATTTTATAATTATTCATTTTTTCTTCTTTTGGCAAGAGGTTCATTTTTTTTTTGTAATCAATCGTACGTTGCGTGTTAGCGCGTACATTATTTTCCAAAGACACGTTTAAGATTAAAAAAATATCAATAACTCTATTTATGTCTTTGCTCTATAGTCCGATGTCCGTTATTTTACAATAATAATAGGCGCTCTAGCACCTTTTAAAAATAATAATGCTCTAGCATGCACGACTGCAGAGCGCGTGAATGCGCGAGCTGACAACGCGCGCGGTCTTTCTTATTACATTTGTTCACATACAGATTCTTTCCTGCGTAAAAGAGCGTACGTGAAAGCTAGCTAATGAGTAGAATGGTAGACAAGGGGGGACTTACATGGTCGAAGTGCGTGGACGGTACGACCGAGGTCTCGTGGCCGTCACCATCCTACGCGCCACACAGACAAGTTACAAACATGCAAGCACACCGACACCCACACGGGATTATAATACATACACATGTACAGTCGATATAGAACTTAAATAAATTTACTAAGCTATGCAAACTATCAGAACGTTGCCTTATTAAGGTACTTTGTTACGTGTAGGTACATTCGGATCGTCGGGTGCAAAGAACTGACTTAATAAAAATTTTAATAAATAAGTTTGTTACATAACTAGACGAGTGCTGTGAGTCATCCACTCTCATGTCACGCGTAAATTTAATATGGCAGTCATAAACTAAAAAGTGTTAAATTAAAATTACTTTAACTAGGTTTAGAGGCTAATCCAGCTCGAAGGATCAAAATAGTGAACTTCTTGGACAATTGAAAGTACTATTATTGATCGTTGGTCAATAATGAATGTGTGTTAATGTAATATGATCAGTAAACAAAGATTAATAAGGCATTACCTCTTACTTTGCACCAAACAATATATTTATCACATCAGTTAATTGATTTGAATAAGATGAAAAATAACAACTGTACATGTATACATATATACCATATTAAAGCCCTCTGATCAATTGGCAATAGAGTTTATAAACATACAGCTTTAATTTAATTTCACCGAGATTTGACAAGCCAAATAAGTTCAATAAATGATGATGACTAAACTAGAAATATTTGCCAACAGACCAGATAGCTCGAGATACTTCAGGTGTAAAAAGCGAAGAGCCTTTCCTTTAAATTAATCACTATTTAATATAAAATATAAATTTAACCCGATAGTCCAAAGCCTCTAACAAAAACATACTAGCAATCTTAGGGACCTATTATACTATCAAGTGATATAGATGGAATTATTCTCATCTTCATTCATAATATCTCAAGATGACAGTGACAGTTATTTACTGTCAAAATGTCGCAAACGACAATCAAACGACAAATGAAGGCTCTTAAATTGTTACTATAATCTAAACATAATTTGATAGTAGAATTTGTCCCTTAGTTTTCGATTACATCGACTGTTTATAAACCGAAAGTATCTGGAAACCATAGAGTTAAATTGTAACATGTTGTATAGTTACAAAATATTATTAATCTGTTCACTAAGCGAGGAAAAAGGAAAGATGCTGCCTACATAAACTCACACCATAACAAATCATATTTAAAATAATACATTCATAAATTTAATATTCCGATATTAATATAATATATACATATTCTTCTCTCTTATTGACAAAAACTAAAATCGTTAAGATTTTGTCACTTTCTTTTAAATTAAGATAATAGGTCAGCAAAAAACAACTAATTCGTCGACTTATGTTTTTATGAAAGATTAAATTAGTAATAATTTTTATTGCTAAATTAAAATCGAATCTAAATTTATATTAAAATTTTGCATTTTATGTATCTATCTTGCAATCTATCTTAGGTACCCTAAAGTGAGGTAAATATTTTAAACGAATTCTATTTCTCATTGACCATTACTATTAAATGTACATCTTCTTAGTAGTGATTTAATTATATTGATATATAATTAATATATATTTATAACGTTACTAAATATACATACATTTAATTTACTGTAATATTTCTTCATATTAATGGCAACACAATTTTCATAAAGTAATGTTATTTCTTGTGGAAATGGAGTAGATTATGTTTTATATCAGCTTTAACAGAATGTTGCAATTATTGTACGGACCTTTTGACGATGTATGGTTTAAATATTGTTTACAATGCAATCACAAGGGTATTTTCTCTGAATAAAAGAGTGATGCAATAAGCATCATATTTCATTATTACGCATAACTGTACATATATGGAATAAATGCAATATAGAATCATACAAATATATTCAATTTATTATGAACCACTATTACCACTAAAAAGCAACGGTCCTTTTACGGAATCTCACTATATTCTGTCACAGAAATACAAAAATACAGTTTCTATACTGCAACGCACGACGCGCGAATTACGTGAAGACTGCATTATAAAATTTATTTTGTAATAGTCACTACATTTTCATAGTCAAATATTACATTTCAATGGCGTTAATGACTCATGTCGCTTTTGGGGACTATATATGAGATATCTTATATCACTAATTATACCGGCTTACTCAGTTTTGTTTACACAATTATTTTTTTATTACATCACTGCATACATAAGGCACACAAACTAACATCTAGAAAATGTATTTGAATATAATTCATCACAAAATCAAATATTTACTCTAATTATCTTTTTGGTAATGTTATACACACTGCACATACTAACGGATTACGTTCGGAGTACATTCTCTTACCTTCCAAATGAATTCGCCGCTGGAGGAGTTGCTAGAATGCGTATCGCTATCACTGTCCCACTCTTTCAGTATGTCTACAGCGGCATCCGGTTTGCTGTCTTGTTCGCACTCAGGGGACGTCGGTTCGGTTGGGGATTCTTGGTTAAATGGCGTACTCATTATTTCTTCGGCTGGACCTGATACATTTGGATAAAATATTTACATTTAATAGAATTCTACCATCATATAGGGTATTGACAAATAAGTCACAAATATATGTATAAGTGAACATACGGTAAAAACTGTACATTTTATCAGTCAGTTTTTATTTATAAATTCTAAAATCGACTTTAATTAGGTTAATTACTCTTAATTAGTTAAGACTTTTCATCAGGTACTGCATATTATGATTTGTTATTTTTGTGACAGCATCAATACATTGTCATTTCATTATCTCTTAGTATAATGAATTTTTAATAGGATTTTTCAATAAAAAGCATATACCATAGCTTGAAAGTGATTTGTAGCTAATATACTATTAAAATTGCTGTTTTTTTTTCATAGAAATAAATAGATATCTACTCACCAGTGAACCTGATATCACTCAATAGTGGGAAATAAGAATCAAACTGACAGAATTTCTTCTCGTTTACCAAGAAATTCTCAGTTACAGATGTTAATTTGTCATCCACACCATTCGTGTTTACTTCATCACCCTCATGTAAATATTCATCCACATTTTCAGATAGTTTCGACTTGGAATTATTTATAAGTTTATTATTTTCAGTAATAGATTCTATATTTTCACTTTTAAGCTCAGATTGATCTTGACTAGATACTTGATCACATTTGTCATTTTCACAAAAATCTTTAGTGTCCTCATCGACATTGCTCTCCATAAGTTCTTCAAATGGTTCATTTAGAAACTGAACAGTGGCGTAGTTCTCGCTACTCCCGTTGCACTTTATTTCATTCATATTGTTATCTTCTTCATTTGAAAATGATCTGTTTAGGACACTTTTGCTGTCTGAGACATTAATTACAGCTGGTAAACACTCGACAATTTCTTTTACTTCATCTATATTTTCGGTTTCGGAGGGCTTTTTGTCATTAACTTGGCTTACATTTTCAATAACAGCATCGTGTAATTTATGATTTTCCTGTACCGCATCCAGAGTATCATCCAATGAATCAGGATCATTTATTTTAGTGAAAACATTTTCAATAACTCCATTTACTATAGGCTTTTCTAAAACTTCATTTGTACTTCCAATGTTAATTTCATTCCGGTGACTACTATTTTCATGAGAATCATAGGTATCGTTAAGATCTAGAAGCATTACTGCAGCATGAGAATCATAAGTACCATTTAGACTATCTTTCGCTATCTCTTTAGGACTCTCAGTAATGATTATTGAATGAGGCTGATCTGTTTCTTCTTCAGTAAAATCTAGTAAAAAATTATTAACGGGTACATTGACATGAGATTCTATTAAATTCACATTATTAGGCGGACTAACAGCTACACATTGAATTGGTTCGTTATTGCAAAATTGTCCAGATTGACTAGTCTGATCAAGTTCCGTTTTCTTCAGACAACCTCCTCCGAGTTCACTGGATTTCCTCTCACTTTTCAAGAATAAAGAACTAGACTCTATTACAGACGAAATATCTTGCGGTCTCTGTCTAACAGAGTCCTCAAACTGTCTAAATTCCTCTGAAGTAATTCCACTTTCCATACTTTGACTAGAGTTTTCTCTCCATTGCATATCTTGAGGTTTGCACAAAGCGGAGTTTTCAAAATCTGAGTACGATGGTGTGCGTTCTGCATTTGCCACACTATCTTTATTACTGTTTCTGCTTAAAGTTTTACTATCGCCTTCTAACATTATGCCTGTATCCACATTAGGCGTACAATCATTACTTCCACTAGAAGACATATCTTGAGGTCTTATTTCTGCAGATTGTAAGAACATTTGGAAATTTGGTATGTTCATTTCTGGAGTACTCAGTTGAATTTCTGGCAACTTCATGGGTATACCCTCGACTTCTTCATTCCCAACTTGTCCCGTCATAGGTGTACTAGTGACTGAGGGGGCCATATCTTTGTAGTTAGAGTTCGGACTATCGTTTATTTTATCTACCGACACTTGGTTCTCAATATTTTCAGATCTATTATGACTATCTAGCAGTTCGTCATGTAAACAAGAAATTTCTACACTATCCATTTTCTTAATTTCAGGATGTGTGGTTAATTGAGGACTAGTTTCACTACATACTGTGTCTTCCGTAACTCTAGGTGGTGTGAAATGAACATCATTATTCATAGGTGATCTTCTCACCAGCTCTGGTTGATGTAATTTCCAAACATCATCAACACCTGATAGGACTTCTGTTGTACAGTTTGAATACGACGGTAAACCAGACATCAATGTGCCATAAGCCAGGTCTTCTTTTGTTTGAGAATTCTTTGTAGAATCCACTTCAGATTTTGTAAAGTTGGATGGAGTTGCAGCCGTCGTTTCTGTCTTGGCTTTTGTGTACGTATAGTTATCGTTAGCGGTAATTGAGTCGGGTGAAAATGATTCACAGGCCTCTGATTTGCTATCATGGACTATGTAAGTTGAGCAGTGGCTCAATTCTTTTTCATCATCATTGTGAGTTAATGTGCTGCTACTTTCACTGTGTTCTTCCTTCTCAGGCTCATATTCTACGGGAATGTCTGAGTCCATTGCTAGATCGTCGAAGTTTTCCTCAACGTTATATAAAGTATCGTTTGAGCACCAAGAATCCATGCTGGTCGCTTTTGATAAGCATTGAGTGTCAAACGGCTTTGATATTTTAGCGTCTGTAGGTACTGTTGTTCGAGATAAAGTTGAAGCACCGGTCCCGTTGTCGGCGTTATCGGTCGTGTCGGGAGCTGATGTATCAGTAGTAGGGCTCACTAAAAACGGAGAGACTTGCGAAATCCTCTCGCAATTGGACTCGTTTCCTTCTTCATTCTTAGTGTAAGTCCTATCGTTGATTGGTGATTGAATTTCTGTTGCAGGTATTTTTTGAGGGCTGGCGTTCAAGCTGTCCGCACTCATTGTTATTCTGTAAGTAATATATTGTAGAAATTTAAAGTACACATGTAATAGGTTTGATGACACAAATTTAACACCAATATGTGGATGTCAAATTCTTTGAGAGTTCATGAATTAGTATAAGTTATAATTTCTAATGTATACTATACACCGTAGTAATATACGCGAGGATGATCACATCGATAGCCTTATTATTTTGCCATTTTAAAGTATCTTGGCCACATTTCATTGTGTCTATTTTTTTAATCCAAAATGACAAAGGGGGAAAGCGATATTGTCGCTGTCTATCGTCTATTATTGAATAACACAATTGTATAATCGTATAATATATCTAAAAGCATATTGTATATGTACTAACTCTTTGCTGGTGGTGAGGTCTTTTTGTAGCGTGTAGGTGCGGTGCGGGTCTGCGCTGGGCAGCGTGTAGGTGGCGCTGCGGGAGAGGTCGCGCGGGCTGCAGCGCGTGGCGTCCTCGTCCTCCGTCCAGTTGTTGCACGGCTCCGGGTAGCTCTCCGACGACGACGCCGCTGACACCGTCCCTGTATACCGCCGCCCATACGTTCTACATAATTAACCGTGGCTATGAAGGTCTTAAGAGATGGCGATAATGTTAGACCGTCCGTTTCTACGGCCGGCCGTACTTTGTACATAGTTAGACCATGATTACGGTGATGTACGTATGCGGGTGTGCAAAACTCAAAAAGACCGAAAACATCTTTAGTGTTTTACTGCTTGCACTAAAACACAATAATCTAACTCAAAACACAGTGTTTCGGAATTGTTAAATATAAATTACATGTTTTGGAATTTCAGATTCCAATCAGATTTGAATGAACTGAATAGTTGATGAATAAAAAAAGTACGTCGATACATCACCATAACAATAAGTAACTCATTTACTTATTATAAATACACTTTATTAGAGGTAGACTGTAAAAAGTCGCCCGAGTGGGTACCTCAGTGATCTATATTGGCTTGCTTTGTAAGCTATGTTTCGAATGTAGGATGCGATTTGGCAGTAAAATTACAGGATAAGAGCTCTCTTATCTCGTCAATATACACTAAGCTCTATGCACCATTCTAAAAGACGAACTTGTCATGACGTCTTAGTCCTGATGGTATCAGGGATGTCATATGATAATGTTATGTCCCTAGTGCTGTTAAGGCGATGGTGTTTACCATCAAGTCGCCCTTCAGGTTACCATTCCATTTACAGAATAAAGTCAGACAATCATTAACATAATAGTATATAGATTTGATAGATTTCTTCTTAGTAATGAGAACACATTCGTTTGACGTTCATGAGGTGTAAGTTATGTACGTACAGTTGACGTCATTCTCGTAGGCGGTGAGCTGTAGGCCCGTCTCCTCTGCGATAGGGCTGAGGGCCCCCGGGTACGCCAGCACCAGCTCGGGCGGCGGCGGCGGCTGCCACTCGCCCGCACTCGAGGCGGCCGGCTCGATACCAGACACCTGCGGATATAACAACGTCCATTAAAGTATTTACCTCTTCATTTCTAACAGATAAATTAAAATTATTATATGAAGAATACACACTACAATATATAAATGCATGCAATATACGCTTGATAAGTTTGGATGATTAAAGTTATAGTTATTAGAAAGTAACATAGAACCACAGTAATACTGTGAATAATTTTGGGTAAATTTTATCAATCAAGTAAGCAGACCCGCACAACCATGTCACATTTTCTGTGTTGTTTGCAACAATAGTCGCGTATTATATAGCCGATCAGATCACAGCAGATCGATAAATAGGCTATCAATCAGTAACACTATTGAAAATCGAGTTTGTTATCAAAGATTACTCATCCAGACTTTATCTCTTTGTAATGTTAATATAGATTTATTTTAATTTTTTACAGAAACTTCAATATTTTATCATTTGAAACTATATTAAAACTATGTATCACAAAGACTAGTAATACAATATTGTATCTATAATAGCTCTTCAAGTCTAGCCCGAAGTCACAATTCAAATTCCTCAAGTCTTACTTCTACTCTGCTGCATGATGTATAACCTCAGAGAGTAGAAAGAAAAAGTTTTCTTAAAACTGCACTTAAAGTAAATGCGATTTTCGCTAAACTATTTCTATTAATTTACTGCTAATTACTTAATTTAACATTTGTCATCACACGACTTGTCAACTTACCTGCGCCAAAGGTAACTTCAATTCCAGTTCATTTCTTAGCGCCTTCACACATTCCTCGTCTAGCGTGAGACTTTCTCTGAAGTCTTCTATAGTGCCTCCATTACCTGCTAAATAAGATTCAGGTATTTCATCACTGTCACGTATCAAGTGAGAATCTTCAGACACGAGACCTTCCACAGTAAGTGGACCTGAATATTCAATATTCAGATTGTTCTCGTTTTCCGCCATTGCTAACTTTGAAGTAATCTGCAACTCAATCTGATTCATTTCAATCTCTTTTTGTAGAGAACTGAGGCCCGAATCCGTTTCGGCTGCATGCTCTGCAGTCTGATTCAGATCTATATCTACTAAATATTTCTGCTGCGACGTTGACGCTAGAAAATTACCGGGCGAATTTGGTGGTGTGGATGGTGATGCACGTTTCTCTGTGACAGATTGCACCTCCGATTCCACTGTATTCACTTCAGACGGTAGCTCTTTTTCGGAATGCGGTTCGCTTATGGTTACTAGATCATCAAATTGTGTGTCGTCTGGGACGATGTCTGGCACTTCGTTTAGAAAGTTACCATCACGCAATGGTGACGGAGTTTCGAGATTTATTTCGCTAAAGTTTGACGAGAAAGCTAACAGTTCTTCCTTGGGTAAGTCTATTAAATCAATAGATTTTATACCTTTGAATAACTCGATTGTGCAGTTCTCAAAGGGTCCCAATACAACAGAACTATTTTCATCATATGTGTCGGTATGGTGACTTTTAGTCGGCGATTCGAATGGACTAATGCTATCTGGGACACATATCTGTTCCAGTTTCGTAAACGTTACACCTACACCATAATCTGGCATTTTCGTTTCTGATAGCATTTCGGCGTTGTTTTCATTAATAGAGCATTCTAAAGTATCATCTGTGGTTTTATCGCTACCCATAGGTGTGCTGGAGACAATAACATTTCTAAATTCTACATCTTGACTACAAATTATTTTTTCAGAATGCAAAAAATTATCTGTCTGCTTTATTATACTGGGTAAATCTAAATATTCTGTTGAATCGTATTTAGCTAAAGAGCAAGATGTTTCATTTGATAAAGGTAGACACGAGTTAATTACTTCTTTTACATTACTATCCATTGTATCATTCTCCATTATTTCACTATTTGTATTATTAATGAGATCCATATATACAGTACTATCGCTGTACTGTTCTGGTAAAGTCTTATTTACTATTTCATTTTGTTCAGATCTAATTGGCGTATTTACAAGCTCTTGTTCTTGTTGCTCTTTAGTGCCATGTGAATTTCCATCATCCTTTGAGAATGTTTCATAAATACAATTTTGTACTGTATTATCTGTTAAAAACTTATTTGCTATTTCTTTTTGTTCAGATCTACTTGGTGTAATTGAATTCTTTGTTTCATTAGGAACATCTGCATTTTCTGCATCCATTACAAATGTTTCATTAATATAATTTTGTACTGTATCAGGTAGCGTAAATGGCGTTGTGGTTGTATTCTCATGAATACTTATGGGTTGTACTGTACTAACATCTTCTTCCGTAGCCCAAATATTATAAGTTTGATTTTCACTATTGTTAATATTTTGTACTAACTCAGGTGCATTAGGAGTTGTAATTACATTTAAATTTTCAATAAGTTCTGATTCATCCGGTTCTACTGTGTCTTCTTGGCAAATTGTTTCATTTTTTGTGTTTTTAATTGTATTTTGTACCGGGGAGATGAGATCATTACTTTTATCTTCATGTTTAGTGAGAACACTATTAGACAAATCAAATGGTTGTTTCAAATCACTTGTTACAGTTTCAATAGTCAACGAATCTTGACTGTTCTCTATAGGATGTCTCTCAGTTGTTACTTCTGGCAAGAGTTCATCTTGTACATTATATAATTTTGATTGTTCATCATATTCTATGATTGCTATTTCTTTATTTTCAATAGCATTTGCATTTAATTCATCTGTATCTTTTATTGACTTAGTATCGATTTCGTTATCAGTCCTTTCTTCAGTTAGCTTATTATCACAAGATCTTTCACAGTCTTTTCTTACATTCAATTGTTCAATATTTATTTCACTTACACTAGGCATTGAGGCTATACATAATTCATTTAACTTGGGTACTTTACTAGCTTTATTATCTACATTTTCTATTGGCGAAACAGTATTTAAGAGTAATTTGGTTTCCTCATTGAAAGCTACTTCGAGAGGATCATGTTTTTCCATTGCCACAATTCCATTTTTATTCTCGATTTCACATATAACGGCTATATCTTTTATTGGAGTAATGGGTGTAATATTTTCTAAGGTATGCTGACTGGTCGTGTCACTATGGCGTTCAAAAGAATGACTCAATGTACCAATTGTATCACGATCAATATCGTCTTCCTCACATGGCTCACTATCAGACGTATTATCAAAACCAGTTACTAGTATATTCTGAAAATTACTAATACCAGGGGATTTGACCATACTAGATTGCATTGGATAGTCTGTTTTACAGTCTAAACTCAGATTATCTCTGGATGGACTAGCTTGATGACTTGATTCGGAGCTTGAAGTCTTTTCAGAATTGAGAATATTGTCGAGATTCTTAATAACATCACTGACATCTTTATAATAGCTGACATCATCCTGACTGCCAGCAATGATATCCTTGAGCCACGGGTCGACGGAACTATCAGAGTTATCGTGATCCTTATCCCTGCTGTCATCGAGAATAATGTTGCCTTGATGACATTCTAAGACGGCCATTTCATTGTGAGTGAGGTAGATGTTGCGTACATCTTCTAAAGAACCGTGGAGATTGGTGAGGCTTTCCGATTTGATTTGTATTGAGAGTGGGTCTTTGTCGGACATAATGCTGCTAGATCTGGAGACGGCAGTATCCATGTCGACACTAAGCGATTCGTGGACTGTGGGAGTGTTATCAAAGTCTTGATCTGAGCCAGTGAAATGAGACGCCATAGAAGTGGACGGAGCGTGCACTATGGCGACGTGCTCGTCTATAACAGGTATGGAGTTAGGTTTGAGTCTCTGCCAGCGCTCTTCGAAGTCGCTGCTACCATAACCATCGTCAGCAGAAGCGGAGCTCGATCGCGTGTGCGCAACATATAAGTGGTTGATCAGTGCGTAAACTTGGGCACAGGTCGGTCGAGCTTCGGGGTCGGGATTCCAACAGAGTTGCATCACTTGGTATCTGCATGAAAGAAATGAAAGCATTTATAATTCACAGAACTCTGATAATGGCCATTCTATGATGGATATAAAAAATATTTCTAGTATTTAGCTATCCTTTTAAGACAGAACACTGTTAACTTAATAATAGTCATTTGCAATTTATATAATGCAAAGTTTTCAAATGTAACACACAGCGTGCAACAGCGCAGTAGTTTGGTTCAGATATGACAGAACAGTCAAGTTTGTTTTAAAGTATTCAGAATCTATTACTCACAAATTAGCCAAGATGTTTTGGAGGTGGCAAACTTATACGTTTTACGTTTGTGATGACAACTTTATAGAGATGACGATATATGGTGGTCTATAATCCTTTCTAATATTTGACGATACGCAGATAATCATCACTCTCTTGTTTAATCCGATTATCAGAAATTGAAACTTTGAATATACGGGATCCAGATCGTATTCTTAGCGATTTTACCGAGATAATAGTTATCAGATAATATCAGTCGAGTTTATTGGTCGACTACAACTATACTAAATACCATTTCCTAAATACAAGAATGACAAAGGACCTTCCTTTACCTCCATCAATGTCACATTACATAGGTACTTCTAATAGTATGTAAACTAGAATTGTTTGTCTTATGAACATTACAAATTTAACTTTAGAGTAATAATAAAATGAAATGCGGAAATGTCAAGCAAGCAAGCATAGCCATATGCTATTTAGAGCGGTTTCACCCGTATTAAATTTATAGCCTATGAGTTATTCTGATGTACAAGCTATATTATTGTAAAGTTCCATTAAAATCCATTCAGTAGTGTTTGCGTGAAAGAGTAATTAATAATATTCATTCGTCCATCTACATTCATAGCTTCCACACTTATATGTATTTAGAATTGCAGAGTTTGGTAGAAGCGCTATCTAGTAAAGACGATAAAACATCATTAAGTAAAGAAGAATGAACACTGAACAAATCAAAGAGTATTCGAGGAAACATGCTGTAAAGTTGAAGCAGAGGAAGTCATGGGAAAATCAGAGCGATCAAGAGAGCGTAAACAAGGTAAGTAAATGACTTATTTTATGCCTGAAATTAATTTATTGGAATTTGTTGCACATAATCCAAAACCATGTACTATTTAAAAGATTAATTCTTAGCAAATTTGTTTTCTTATGGATGATAATGAAATGGTGGCTCCCGCATGAGGTCAGGTCAGTTAGCACATCGTGGTAAATGCACTATGATTTCCAGGAAGCAACTTGACATGGTACACTGCTAGCAATGGGGTTATCAGTCCACATGACAATCCCCTTTCCCCCCGGAGTTGTTTATATTAGTAACTGTAATATAAGTAAGATATATAGAGTAGTTACAGGTGATTTCTGTAGGGGCAGGGCAGATCCGGAGGAGGCGGCGGCTGCGGGTGCTCCGGGGGTGGCGCGCCCCACGTGCACACGCTCCACACCAGGCCGCCCATCGCACGCACCTCGCTACTAGCCTGCAGACAGTACCCCACATGTTACAGCAGTCTCAATAAAACAATAGTATAAGCACACACCACTGCTAAAATAAAAATATTATATTAATTTTCAACACACATCCTCGTAAAGTGGATTTAATTTCACCGGTTTTTTATATAGAAAGCAGCTCATAAAAAACGTATAAAATGATACCTCATAAAGGCATTATTTGCTATTTTTTTATACAATTTCGAACCAAACGCCGTGCAGCGCCAGCAAATCTGCAGCGTGATGATTTAAAAAATGAAAACGAATTAATAATAATTGTACTTTCACTGTTGCAATAATTCAAAATGAACACAATATAATCTCATCATTGTTTCCTTGCAAGTGTGCTGGAAAACGTCATACAATATACGCACGTATTTAACACACTCGGCTCTTTTACTCTATTGCCTTCGGCTCGGGCTAAATTTCCGCCACGTGTGTTATAACTATCATAACGCATTTATATTGTAATGTACATACTATAACAATAACCCAGGACAATTCACACTGCGGTCTAGTCACAAACTAAGCAAAGTTTGTGTTGTGAGTACTTTCACAACTGATACAAATATTATAAGTAACATGGTACGCTAAATCGCTAGACCACCGAGGCTGTAAGCTATTAGGTTACAGGATATGTAAAACGCACATAAGCCAGAAAATATTATTCGACTGTCTGGCCATTGAGTAAAGATTAACATATACTTTACCAAAAAGCAAAACAAACAGGTAACCATATTTCTTTTTATTTTTTATTTCTCTTTAAAAGTATTAATTTTGTGTTTATAATACTAACCGTGTGCGGTAGATGAGGCGGTGGCGTCGCGTCAGTGTTGTAGTGACCCAACACAGCACGAGCGGACGTAGATTCATCCCCAGCTTGTCGCACAAGCACTGTATCACAGCTCACGTTCCTGTGTTACCACAATTATATATTTTAGGTTTTGTTTAAAAAATAAAAACTGATTAATAATAATATCTCAGGACAAAATATTATACAACACCATCTAGTCCCAAGATATTATAATAAATTAATCCTGGATTATTAACTAAGCAGAACTTGTGTTATGGATACTAGACAACCAAAATATATAAATACTACATTTTTTTGTAAATTAGTGTACAGGTCACTAATGTACCTATATAATAGTCTTGTACGTGTATACAAATGTGTGCATCATGCGAGGCATCGAAGTCGCTTGTACATTTAATATTTTCTCTATTTGAATATTTAATTGCATTAATGCTAGTTGGTAGTTAGTATTAACACACTTCAACTTAAAAATGTAAAGTAAACAAACAAGTAAACGTAAGTTTTATGCTCGTTCTTCTTGGATGAGAAATCTTTCTGAATGAGTGGTAGATTGAAAAAAAAAATGTGATGACTATTCAAAAGTGTTTCAATGTTCTATTCTATTGTATTAATAATATTTTTTATATTTTACTCACCCGTACAAGTAACCCCTTGTGTGTAGATATGCCAGTGCCGACGAGACATCGCACATAAGCCGTAGTGGTACACCGCTCTCGTTTAATATCGCCATTTTGGGACGGTTAACTGTTAAATATTGCTGAAGATCCTAAAGAAGAAGAAGATAGAGTAACAAACATCCATGCATACTCACAAATTTCGCGATTATAATATTAGTAAATTTTACCATTTCTTATGTTTATTGTCAAAGTTTGAATATTTGTAATAATTAGATTTGAAATTATATTGTTAACTTGTACATTACAATTTATTACCCATAAATTCCATTGTGACCCCATTATTTTCCTTTGTAATATTTTTCTCTTCCTTGTATTGTACCTACGTTGGATTCAAAATATACTGAGCGAAATATGGACATGTTGGGCCCTAATTATGGTTAAACTGTGGCAAAGGGGCTCGCCCCGAGACCCCAACCTACACCCTCTTAGGGGGGTGCGGATGCCCTGGTTTATTCATATGTTGAGTGTTGTGTTCACTACAACATTGATAGTTGACACTCGCAATCTTAAAAATATAATCTTGAATAACATTTAAAAGAACAAAACGTAAGTTACTTGTTCGTATTTCTTGTGATGTCTGTTTTCTGAATCAGTGGTAGAATAAAAAAATATGACTATTCAAAAGCTTATATTAGTGTGCGGAGAGTACGTGTACCAACAGCATCCTGAGCATGATTTCGAGCAGGCTGGACTATACATATTTTAATCACTGCTGTGCAATTTCCAATGAAATTAGACAGCGGTGAATTTTATTTAATTTAATATTTATTTATGTCATTATTTATATGTGTAATTTGCGACAGTTTTATTATAGTTAATGGTTTAATATAGTACTTACACTACCATTAACTATAATAAAACTATAATACTAACAAAATGGGTAAGAAAGCCAGATAATAAATCAATTATTATTATTAAGTTTATTTAAATAGACTATCTCTAATTATTTATTAGATGAGATACTTACCATAGGACATAACTCGAATATCAATATCCAGGGCTCTTCCTGCAAGCATTTGGTCAGCAATGTGAGAATATTCTCGTGCCTCGCGTCTCTGTACAGCCGCGCCTCATCCAGGAAGCGCGCCTTGTCCTCAACGGAGGCGTTTTGGTTTAATATCTTCACAGCCACCGTTGACGTTGAACCGGCCTCTTCTATTTCACCCTCTACCACCTTCGGAAATGTAGGTAGAAATTAATATTGTGTAATAAATAACAATTATAAAACTGCCTGAAAAAAGATTTAAATGTCATATAAAACACTTCCTTTGTAAAAAAAGCTTACTATAAAATTGAAGAATTTAATGATAATGATGTTTTCATAGAAAACCTTAAACTCCATAGCGCTGATAATATTATCTGATTGCACAAGAATGAGTGCGTAGCGGTTTCTATGTTGATTATTACAATCACTATCACTATCCCTCTTATTTGTTATAACATAATATACATAGAAAACACTTAGGTGTTGAGTATGAATACAAATGTTTGTCACATGCGAAGAAGCTAATCCACGACCATCAGTACACGACATAAATTAAGCTATGTGCTAAACAACTAGACCACCAAGGACAACGCACAATGCCATATAGTCCCAAATTAAACAGTTTTCAAATACTATAAATAATAGATAAGTGATAGTCACTTATGAGAAACGCCAATACAAATGGATATAGCTACAAAATTTGAATTCATGAACAAATGTTTGTATTATGCAGGAATCGAACCCACAAAAATAACACAAATGTAAGATTTAATGATATCAGGCACGTTTCAGATATGACCAGTATATAATTACATATGACACACGTCTATATTAATATAATGAATATGAATAAAAGTATTTATGGTTTGACTGACTCATCTAAGCGTTATAATTTACTTATTTAAGGATTAATTACCTATTTAAGGATGCATATTTATTACAATGAAGGACGAAGGAGGAAGTAAGTAAACATTTTTTAATATATTCCAAATTATTTCATATGTTGTGAATTGATTTATGAAGTTAAGTCAATCACATACATTTAGTTTAGATCATGACAATCATCAAAATTTATAAAAGTATTCAAAATATTCTCTCTGTTATGAAATATATCGAACAGCAATAGAATTCATACCCTGCCAAACCATCCTCGACCGATTTCTCGAAGATATTGCAAATTATTTCTCGGAAAGTCTTCACCACCTGAAACAATACGCAAAGTTTTATTAAGTTTGTTGGAAACATATATAACAATAGAACCTATTTGCACGACATGGCATTCCCGTATTCATTCTCGTAACTACTAAAATGTACTGAACAGATTTCCTATAAGAGCAATAATAGTTCTTTTTATTCTTCAAAAATTTCCAAATATTCTGTCATGTTTTATTTGTTTAAAAATAGAGGCCACTACTTCTAATGCAATATTATATTTAAGTTCATTAATTTTCGTACCTCACCAACTTGAGGGTATAAATAATAAATAAAGAACATTACAAATCTGAGGAACTAACCAAACCAATCTGCCCGGTGGTCCAAAGGATTTCCAACTCCAATCCCGTTAGGAAGAGGTTCAAATTCGACGACCGACTCCCGGCTGACCCTATTCCGTTCCTCATTCTCGCTGACTATGTATGCTGTAGCATTGTTGTTCGCGATGTTCTGCATTTCACGTAGCGATATCGGGCCATTGTTGTTGTCCTCGCTGATATTGTTGTTGACGGGCTCCGAGAATCCGGAGTCCGGCGGGTGGGAGAGACGCACATCGTGTAGGTGTGTGGCGCTCGCTGCGAATAACTGTTGGATAAATTTGAACATGCTGTATTTGTTTTACCTTTTTTCTTACGCAATTTACTCTATATATTTTTTACTCCTTTTTCTAATTATTTAATGTACAAGTAATCAAAATGCTGTATGTAGTACCGTATGTTCAGTGTATATCAACCTATTAGCAAAATGGGATTTTTTGAAAATTAAATGCTCTGGCGAACCCCTAAGGACTTAGACTAAAACTACGACTTAAGTCAATGATTTTAAAAGACGTACTATAGAAATAAATCGACTGTATTATAAATACACTAAATATTAAAAGAATTATTGCTAAATGTACTTGGGTACGAAATGCTGTTGCATGTAGCAAGACCATTTCATCCCTAAGGACTTAAACTAAAACTACGACATAAGCTAATGATTTTAAAGACATACAAACAACTAGATTTTATTAGTGTGTAAATAAAAGAATTATAGGTAAATTACGTGCACGCGTACTTGACTATTTTGGTATTTAATTTTCTAGCACCTGTATGAATTGAATGAGACATCAATTATCAGATACAGGATACAAATTACATAAAACGCATGCGAAAAACATTACTCATTAATCGAATAAAACATGACCTAATATACTACATGTAACAGTAGTAACACAGTTTCTTATACACGCCTGCTTACAACAATCAGTTACTATATTAGATCCATATTTAGAAAAAATAAACAACAACACATTTTAATCTTATGTCAAATATGTACGCAGGCGTGCGAATGTTCTGCTTTCTGAGCTGAAACGACTCTAAAGCTACTTTTGAAGAAACTTCTTTCACAGATTGTGTTAATTTTGTTACATGTTAAAAATATGTAAAATTAGTTCTATCCGACAGATTTTGATTAAGAATCTAGTCAAATCTTATATGTGTACACATCTCTGATAGTGTCTATATTGAATTGAGAAGAGATCACACTTAGATCATCTATATGGGGAGTCTCCAAAGTCATGTTCCTGAATCCTGTACATAGGCCTGAATTAATAACTTCTATAAAGACCTTACAAACTACAATTTATTGTCTAATTAGGTTATGGACCACCAAAATACTATAGCATGCACAAGGCTATGTTCATACTATATCAATAGATATACTATTAGACTAGTTGTTGATGTAGTATGATGAGTAATGTATTCAATTGTGTTAATTAGTTGTTGTGCGGTATGAGTTACATAATTTTCCAAATGACGTATTAGATTCCCAGTCATAGATGCCCTAAAGTGCCGTTAAGTTACGCTTAAATTTGACAAACAAAATTTTTTAATTGTCATTAAGTTAAATCACTATAGCTGGCATACAGATTTTCTGGACGAAAATAGGGGCGTGAGCATAGGGCGCTCCAGTTCCTTTCGAACTACTTACAAAGTGTCTGAAAGCCCACTCATGACGGATACGACTTCAGTCTGAGGGCACCGCTAATGGCTCGACCCTCGGCGCAGGCCATCATTATTTCGATCCCGTTGAAATGGCAGAGGGAGTTGATATGTATTGATGTTGAGTGCACGATAAACATATTGATGGACTATTTACTTGATTAATGCGATAACACTTTTGTAGACAAAATACTATCGATGCAATTTATTGTTAGAAATGTTCAGACGCTCGCTGCAATGCACTATGTTATATTAAGATTATGACAGTGTACTTAATGTAATAAAAAAGTAAGCCAGAGTTTATCAAAACATATGTGAAAGAAAATTTCTAACAAGTAACAGTTAAATTTAGTACCTTCACTTGATGACCCTAAGGTCATAGTTGAGAACCAACACCAAACACAAAAGGCCACAAACACAATACAGGACGAACAATACAACTACTTTAATATACGTTACTAAGTGACTACCTGATTGTCTGCTCCTGCGTTTGGCTGAAGACAACAGAAAAATATGTTTATGAGAACATTGTTATATGATTTGATACATAGCATAATATGAAAATAATAGCTAAGTAAACACTGTTTGCAACTTCTACTAATTAACTTGGAAATTACATGGTTAAGTTTAATTCGCTTCGGTACATTTAAGTATTCTTCTGGGTATATATAGAGTTATTACTGAAAATTTAGAATAAATATTTAAGTATCAAATGAACACAACTCATTTAACATGTATTTTACATTACATATATTTGCTAAAGTCGCTGGAAAATATTAGTGTCTATGATACAGGCACGGCCTAGTTTAGATATTGGTGGTAAATTCTCTACTATGTATGCTTTGCTACCTTACATTGATACAACGAAATGTTTTATGAGAATTTGCTTGTTTTGATGACAATAAAATTATTATATTGATACCATTATTATGTACTACATACTATTTTAACTATTTGTTAATAATATTTTCTACATTACCCATCATCGACTGGTAAAAATTGACGTGAACTTATTATCCGCTAAATGCATCTTTGTTAGATCATAAATAAATTAAAAAACGTATAAGCAATAGAAATGCATTATAATACTAATATTATAAAACTTGTTAGATATCCTATTGTATATAAAATTACTTTAAACGCTGAACCTTAATAAAACCTTTTCATTTTGTAGCATAATAACAAGTAGGTAATAATATTTTTCCTAGTTGCTATGTCCCAGCGTAAAGTACCACTAGACCGTCTTGTTAGTGAAATGAAGGGAACAGCGTAGAAGAGCCTCGAGACTAGGGATGCCGACGGTACGAAAATCCTCGTACAAGTACTTTTTAAGAGATTTTTTACCATTTTCATCCTTGTACAAGTTTGAACCAGTTTTTGACCTACGAAAATCGATTAAAAATTACAATGTACGAGGTTAAATAGCCAAAATGCCAAAATTTCATCATTTTTTATTTCTTCGTACGGATTTAAATATTTAAAGGCTGCCAACCCTGCTCAACAGAGAACTCACACGACATTCCTATTTTCTGAGACTGTGTATTACTGAGGAAAATGCTTTAAAATTCTACTATACATGTAAGGACCTTAGCAACAATAAGTACTCATAATGTTATATTACTATTTTATAAGTTCAAATATACCGGTATAGCTACATGTAAGAAGATATTAAACATTAACATTTTCTTTTCATACTGATGCAACTGCCAGATTTTAAGATCGTGAACGATATATTTTTTTATTCCAGTCAATCACTATAATATGGACGAAATTATAGATCGAAAAGAGTAGAACAAAAAAAAAGAGATCCATATACCTCTATCGTTTTAAAATATAAAACTAGTGGTTAACGTAACCGCTAGTTTTATATGATGGAGTTTGATAAGAGAAATTATTCATTTTTTAAGCTAGAATGATATCGTGCATGTCTTATTTGTAAAATAATTAGCCTAAATAATTAAAATTGCTATCCAAGGGCATTATTCCACGCTGACAAACATGCGGGTACAGCAACTTGTTACATAAGTAGACCTCCTACATGAACTCGATAAATGAGCATAAACTGCGGTTGTCGCTATAACAGTAGCAGTAGTACAAAGCAGTATTGTCACAAAGAGTGTGTTTACAGCAGAGACAGCAGCAGGGTTCGTGTAACCGATACCTGCATCTGTCGCCACAACATCACGCAATGTGTCGTGCGAACGGGGTCGACAACGGCTAGTTAGCCTCCGTACTTATCTCTACCACTGCGGTGACGTAACGTGCGAAAATTCTGTATAGGGATAGGCTTTGGGATGGGCTGTAATGAATACGGTTGACATTGTATTGTATTTGCAATTCATGCTAGATTGAATGCCAAATTGATTGTAATAATATACATACTGTAGCGATGAAATCAAAAAACGTAGATGAATCCCGAAGAAAATTCAATTGATTTACGTAGTATCAAAAAAAGACAGACAATTTATCAACTATGATATTTTCCTATAATTTGCACGAAGATATCGCTGCACATTTTAATTAGCAATCAGTTGCAAAGCTCTGATAGAATAGACCCCTTTTTTAAAAAAGCAATGCAATGTAACTCATGATATTGTATAAAAAAGATTTTTTTTATGAAACTGAAAAGATAAACAACGAGTACACTTGACAGAAAGTGGCAAACATTGTTGGACGAGTATTCAAATAAAACAATATTAAAATGTGAGAAATTGTAAGATAAAATACATAACTCTGCAACGGCGAAAATCCAATCATCTCTATAATAGAGCATTCACAACGAAACGTCGCGACGTCGTCTTCGCAATGAAACGTCCCAGTGACACGGCGGACAATGAAGTTGTAAAACACAGGACGACTCTTTGAATTTGCACAATGTGTCAGATATTGCTAAAAGCTGTACTAGCATACAAACAAACGACAGGGCGCCTACGATATTACAGATACGAATGTCAGAACGATTCGCGACAACAATTTACATGACTATGGTTTAGACAACTAAGTTTGTATTTCTTAACATTAAAATTATTTAAAATTAATTACATACAAAAAAATCCGTCCAAAATTTTAAACAAATTGTCGCATTTCCAAGAAAGTTACTGAAGTAGACTTGTAAAAAGTTGTATGCTTGGTTGCTACAGTCTCACCTATTTTAGACAACCGACCAAGCAGATGGGTTTGTAATCTGTATTTCGATCCTGGATGAGATTAGGCAGTGAAATTAATGATATGAGTGGTATCATGGGCGTGACATGTTGTTTTTTTTATATAAATAGGCGACTGTTATCGGTGTATCATATCTACATAGGCCGTCAGTTTGTTTATCATTACAATTACATAAAAAAGAAACCTTTAATCTAGATATTACAATATTTAAACAACAAACGAGAAAAAAGCAGTATGCAACGAAATATTCAGTAAGACGACCTATGGACTTTTGAGAGGGGATACTAATTTACTAAGTATTGTAGTTACAAGAAATTAATCTTTTTCCCCTGAATTTTGGATATATCTGGAACAAAATTCATCAATTATTGAAATTAAATACAGTTAGCAGCAAATAATTCAATTATACTAACTTTTGTTATACCAGTCGACTGATTCAATAAAAATATCGAAAAATAACGAAAAGGGATCGCGAAATTTATTCTGAAGTGACTATCAAAAGCCTGGCTGATCTACTACTACTAAACGTGACGGATCTAAAATCTTGATGTGCATATGGATACTAATATGTCATCTGGACATTAGCAGTCAAGTTATTTCTAATTAAAATGTTAAGATATGCAAGAAATGGAAGACTCAAAAAAAATCAATTTAAATAAAGTATCTATTAAAATAGATAGTTATTCGTTGTAGGAGGTGGCCCCTACAACGAATCATGTTAGATTTTAGGTCAACATTCTGTCTGAAGAATAGGTCTGTACTTGTGAGCGAGTAACACAAGTGATTCACAATCCATGTAGGTACTTATCAACTGACACACACTACACAAGTCTGTGATAATAAAAATAAATAAACACAAAGACGTGTACAATCTGCGAATTGATTACAAAGTGTAAACTATAAATTAGAATGTACAGTCGTCGATAGATTTTTTCTTAAAATTTTGTTTATAAAACATTTTTTAATTTGAACGCAATAGTATAAATTATTTATTTATTTGGATTACAGTACTCTTCCGCAGAACGGTTATTTTGTACAGGACCTGCATATGACCAATGGTAATATTGTCTAACGAATTATGAATAAACAGTACCGTCATTTAACAACTTCAACTTAATAAAGTTTTAGAGTAATATTTGCACCGTGCGAGAATCGAACCCGCCATTGCACAGTTGGTAAAACGATGTATTAAACTGATAGACCACCGAGTTTATTAAAATAATATTAAACACTTATTATGGGTTCCAATTGATAATCTTTAAAAATAGTGATTGCTTGTGTTATGATAATCGTTCATCAATATTTATATCACTTTTTATTTGACACAAATAAGCACGTCTCCGAAGATAAATCGACGGAGGGACGGCAATGAGCACGCTACAGAATACGTGGGAAACATAAAAACTCGCGCAAAACGGGCATTTTGCATGCTAACCGTCCATCGTTATATATGATAACAACATCCACTTTGTATGTTATATAGATATATATAAATCACACTGAAAATTAGCAACATGCTGAGGAACGTTCAACATAACTAACACAGAATTGTGTTACATATATTTATGTTTAAAATAAAGCTAAATTCCACGCGGACGAAGTCGCGAATATAGCTAGTGTATCATAATTCATAACAAATAAGAATTATTACAAAAGCGAATACAAATTATAACTTCATATCGTTGTAAATGGATTCCAAGTATCTGTTACTTATAATTTTGTATTAATCATTACTGTTCAATTGTTGACGTTAAAGATACATTTAAAGGCGTTAATGCAATCATCGGTTTCTTAGTAATTAGTCGTGGAATAATCTGTAAAGCATTCTGTTGACACAGTGACTACTTGCTAAGTTGCTGGTAACGTAATTACGCTATGCTCATCTTTAAGTTATACTTTAAGTGGTATTCTAGTTAGGCCGCTAATATAAAGTCGTATAATTGTTGAATCGTCCCGGTTGCTACGACTCCCCTGCTCAGGGGTATATCCGACTCCATGATTGACTTGACTTGCTGTATGTCAACCTTAGTAGTAGATATTTGATTTTCCCTAACACTCATACATTTTGTCACACGTTTGAAATTTATAGTCTATGTTTTATCCTGATGTATAAGCTATATTACTGCATAGTTTAATTAAAATCCGTTCAGTACTTTATGTATGAAAGAGTAACAAACATGGATGGATGGTTATATCCATCTATCAATCGATACTCACAAAATTTCGCGTTTATATGTAATGTTAGTAAAATTGGGTAGGACGAGTCTAGATTTTCATCTACTTTTCATTAGACACACACTTAGAACCACTGGCAATTAATATTGAGATTGTCAAACGGTCTATCTGAAGGTAAATGGTTACCGTAGTCTATGAAGGCCTTAAAACCCGGGGCGCCTTCTTAAAAAGACCCCATGTCTCTAGACATTACAGTTATGACAAATACTGAAATAGCTAACCTTTGCCGATAAACAAGTTGGCCACTCCTCTATAGTCTGCCATCATTGGTCTTTAACTTGCAATTATTGAAAAATGTATCTCTTTATTTTTAGATTTAGTTGTTATTTAAACTTCATACTGTCAAAAGTCTTCATAAATTTGCTATAATAAAGTATGTGTGTAATATTTGGGAGACCACATGCATTTCTCTTGATATACCTAACAGTATGAATTCCAGTACAAAAATAGATTTAAAATGAATGACACTCTCTTGCTGCCAAAATAATTGGAATAGCTGCATGGATATTGACATTCTTTTAAATAAAAGGCAAGTACGCATCTCATATTTCGTATCTGTACGATAATTATAAAGAGATAGTTGATTTTTTCGTAAGGAAAATAAACTTCGAGCCTGCTCGATTCGCATCGATTAGGAAAATTATTTTACTGATGGAGAAATACATTGTTCCCGAGTGCCACAACCTATATATGTTAATATATACAACTTCTACAGTCATGAGACCCCGCGTGAAGCCACGATAGACCGCTAGTTTGTAATTCTCATGACAATTATTTGGAGTCTGTATTTAATTGAGAATTATAGATACATACATAATACCAAAACAAACATTTCAGCGGCAGTTAATAGTCTGTACTGCAGTAGTGTGTACTTATCATGTTTTAGAGCGCTTAAATTACATACAAAGGTTTAAATCAAATTTTTGTTTAATTTATCTTTGTATGTTTGTCATTCTACAAACTTATTAACATAGACTTAATCAAGATTAATATTAGTCATTAACTGTTTCCATTGTGACTTCACCCCTACAAAACTGTTAAGTAACGGTTTGGAGTGCCATCTACACCCGCCCTCTATCATTCGACTGTAAAGGCCAGTTGCGGCCAACAGCATTTGAGTAGTAGTAGTAGAGTGAAAAAAAGGTAGTTATAGTCATTGGATGGAGTTATCATATTGACTCGTTTCAAGGTGACCACGTGGTGCCAGAACAAATTTATTAACTAGCGAGCGCATACATGAATCAGCGGACTGTCTACGTCCCCCGTCCAATTCAAACGAGCATCGAAATTACCATGGCCCGAGCCGAGATTCGAAACCCTAGCGGTGCCCTCAGGCTAACGTCGTGTCATTCAGGCGGGGATTGGCCTTCAGCCCCTCCAGCTCTAAGTGCTTCCGCTGGTTTGGTGTATTGTCTGCACTCGCGCGCTATCGTTCGGTGAAACTGTAAAGGCCAGCTGCGGCCAAGTTTTAGAGCAGTCAGTCATTGGGTGGAGTAATCATATTAACTCGTTTCAAGGTGACCACGTGGTGCCAGCGCAACGTAATTAGCGAACGCATACATGAGTCAGCGAGCGCCGCGCAGACCCCGAACAACCACACAATGTAGTTTTATCTGTTGCGTATGCGCAATATTATGCAAATATGATAATTATTCTTGTATGATATTACGAATTATGTGTAAATTTACTCTCCCGTATGTACTTTCTCTTTTAAGTATATGTAATAACATACGTTATGATATAATAATTTAATATAGTGTTAAGTATTGATAATTTTATTGTACCTACGTATTGTAATACGGATGCGGTGAAGAATAAATTGCTCTACCGTTTCGCGACTAGGAATATAGCATGATGCGCGTATTGTGTGGAGATTGGTTGGTTCTTTAATTACATGAACATTATTTTAACATATTAACTATCGTATTAAAGCCTTTAAACTACCTACATATATTGATATGTAGTAGAAATAACACAGATTGATAATAAATGTATGTATTCTCAACAAAGCACCTCAAAAATAATATATATCAACGGAAAAAACCGGAATTGTAGTAACTTAAAAAATCCAACAATTCTTACAAAAATCTTTGTTTTTTTAATTTAGTAGGTTACCATTTTAGATTTTTTCATTTCAAAAATTGATATCTCATATATTTAACGAGTTAGAAAGTAGAAAATTACCAATAAAACCAATTTTTAACGTTATATTTCGACAAATATATGAGTTATAAATTTTTTAAACAGTTTTGTGGCTCAAGTGTAAATTTTGGTTTTTCAAGCTAAGATTATATTCCGTTATCTTCCATCGATATTCCATCTTTATCCTACAGTACGCCTAACTAATAAAGCAAGCATCATCAGCAGGTATGATACTCTTTTACATACATTATAATTTGCATGTGTAAGTATTTTTTATGCTCGTATGCGCCATACGCAAATCACTAATGACATACCAAAAGTGTGTGTCGTACATTGGTAATTTATTAGACGCTTATAAATTTATAGCACGAACAATAGCAGTAATAGTTGGAGGTGTCAAGTGATGACAGCGTAGGTGGGGCACGGCGGTAGGGTGCGCTAGCCCCGGGCTTTATGCCAAGCACAAGCGCCACTGCATCGTCGAATAAGTAAAATCTTTTTTCCGTTGCCAAAATCGTAAACATCTTATTGCCAAGCAGATAGAGTACATTTTACATTTAGCTGAACGAAAGGAGAAAATTGTTGTTTAGTCGTGTGAATGTCTCGGGCGTAGTCTAGGGTTTTTAATGTGAAGAATCTCAAAGTCCATCGCGCAAAGAATTCATGTGGAATGAAATCGCGTCGTGTATTGTGAACATTTGTATTTTTAGATATTATAACTTTGAGTTTTTGTAAATCAACTTTGATAACAGTATTCTTTTTATATTTAATTTTATTAATAAAAACAAATACGTTTCAATATGATAGTACTAGAAAAGGCAAATCCATGCAATATGGAAATAAATAACGGCCCTACATACTGCAACCGGTAACTTATACAATGATATCGGAACATCACACAAATTTTCTGACGTCTTCAGATCATCGAGGCCCTTATTATGCTGCTATTGTGAGTGATTGCGCTACCTATATCTAATTCCCCTTCAGATTAAAACAAAATTATTACAACTGTGTCCGTCATGACAAAACAGCTGAATGCATATGAAATATGACTTGAAAATACATTTATACCACTCATACATACATGGTCTGTCTTTTTCTCAAAAATAAACGAAGACGAAAGTGTAGGTAACAACTAATAATGTCTATGTAATTACAGTTCTACGAATTAAAAATTAAAATACTACTGAATGATTGAAGAAGTTGTTACATAAAATGATTTTAGATTACATTTAACGTAAAAAAGATTCTCGACAGTACTATAAGTATGTTCCAGTGAAACGCAAATACATATCCCAACAAGCCACTTGAATTTGCAACACTGTCATGAACAAAAAATGCAATGACGCATTTTAATCTCGAGCATTATGCATCTTCAACACACGCTATCCCATCTACGTATGCACTCGCTCAAGATTTACATACAAACATTATTATCAATAGGTGGGCGGACCGCGAGTCACGCTCGCGAGTTTAACAACATTCCCATTTGTCCTTTACCAAGGTCTAAATAGGTTTAATACGTATATAATGTTTACACAATTGAAAGAGAGAACGACAAATCCTATCTAGCTTTTTGACAGGATTTCTCTAACTGTTTTGATACTGCGTGGTGGCCAGATCTTTTTCTGTCACAAATAGAGGTTACACTGTATCTATCAATATCCCGGTATAAAAACATTAGACTAATACGAAGGGGGATAGAGTTTCAAAAATTGATTTTGCTTTCATACCTACTTTGTATAATGCATTCAGTTATTCGGTTCTTTTTATCCATTTTATCATAAAAATATTGGACGACCGTTTGGCGCGAAAATGGGAAAACACAATGAACATTCATAAAAGAATGACAGATTCTAAATTCAAATGTTATATTCTATTTATTTTTTATTGTAACAGTATTTATGGCCTGACTATGTATAATATAAAGGTTTTTATCTGATGCATATTGAACTATTGGAAGGCGGTAATATTAACCGCTGAACCATGATACCGTGATTAACTATTCCTTAAAAAATAATTTAAATATAGTAAATATTTAGGCACCGAGTCTATACTGATGATGTTATAGGATCTCTATTGTTAAACATAAACACCAAATGCAACGCATAAATTTAATTCGTGGTCATAAATATAGTCGGAGATAAAATTCAGTGACTAACAATACAATATAATGCCTGCAATGATGGAGCATCATCGCGGAGAATAGACATGTCGGAGCTGCCAAATATCGTGAGCTGGTGAGTAATTAGAGGGGCTGTCCCATCTGCGACTTGAGTCATACATTACATGACCATACGTACCAACATTGTGACGGACAGTCTCGTTTACTTCTTGTTCAAGTATACTTACTTAATGGGCTTCTATAATTTTGTCCAATTTCGCTACCGTTAGGATGTGCGAGACCAGAAATATTCAATGCGGAAATCTCTAAACGATGGATCATCAGGCATTGAACTTAACACTAGGCTTCCAAGCTATATTCGAACTCTATTCAAAGCCTGATGATGTCTCGTTCAGAGGCGAAACAAGTATCTCAATATGGGTAAAGACTGTAAACTCAAAAACGGTAAGAATTTAATCTCCAATAGGTCGTAACGCTTCAAGTAACGACAGTCAGGTTTCCGCACTGATTAATTGTGATCTCACATATGCTCATGGTAGCTAGCGGAATTTAAAAACAATTCCGCAAAATAATACCTAATACCATAAAAATATCAGGTTTACAATCCCATTGTCCCCAGTCAAAGCATAAATGTACTGTTTTTGCAAACATACAAACGATAACTCAAAGGCTTTTATGCGATTCCGTCACTTTTTTTGAGGTATGAGATAATCTATCTCATCTAGATATACTTAATATATTTTGAAATCTTTCACTAAAAAATCCGTTTATACATTTATTTGTGTAAAGGTACACCAACAATCTTTCGCTATTATAATATTAAAATGAATACGTTTCCATCCTGTATTAATTGCATTTTTAATGCCCTTTTGTTTATCAAAACCACCTCCACATAGTCATATGACCAGCTAATCACGTAGGCTCCCGGTGGAGTCAAACGAATATTGAAACTTATAATTAAATTTATTAAAATTAAACATTACAATAAACTGACACTGAACATCATTTGTACGAAAGTGCTCTCTTCAGGTTGGTTGCGGCTTTATTACTATGTAACGTCAGCGTTTTAAATCTGGCTCATGTATGTAATTAGCTCTATAATATGAATTAATATTGATTGATTGGATGTTCTTGTTTTTACTTTAATTCGCATGTGTCTTTTTAACGCAAAAATAAATGGTTATATTTTACTAATGTCAATAGGACATAAGAAATAATTTTAAATTAGATGGATGATGTGGTTTTAAAGTGGATTCTAAAGAATTCACAAATAATGCTAGCATATAAGCGTTGGTTACTGTATTTTCCCTAATTAAAATTTAAAAATGAATCTTTATTTTTGTAAACATGTATAAGCTCATTTGAAAAGAATAAGAGCAGAACTGAGTAGAATTGAGTTTGTAATAGACCTGCATGAATAAAGATATTGTGAATTTATTTATATAAGGGATTAAAACTTATAATCTGTGTGATTTTGTTTTTATTTTAAGTCGCAAATGTCCGCCAGACATCAAAATAAATGGTCATATTAGTAGTTCTATAATGTCAATTGAACATGACAAGTAATTAGTCGGCTTATGTGGGCGTTGGGATATGAGTATGTAGGGGAGTCTAAAGAATTTACGTTAATAAAAACTAAATAATTGTTTGAATGCACAAAAGAAATTTGCTATCAATTTCTAATTGCACCAAGTTACTAGTTACTTCCTACCATCATTGCTATCATAAATAAAAGAAGAATATAAATTTAGCAAATTCGAAAATACTAATCTTTACTTACTTAAAACTATTCTTTGAAACTATGCAATGGACTTTACTACAGTTCTTAGCAGTAGAATGAGAAGAATGATTCAAGAGGAAGTTTTATATATATAATACATGTATATCCGTGCGAAGCCGAGGCGGGTAACTAGTTCATAATAAAATATCTGGAAGATACAATTCGACCCACCTTTGCATGGGTGATCTAAATGATTTTTAAAAATTGGGTCAGTATAAATTTATATATTAGGAAAAAACAATATTCTTCATATGCTTAGAAAATAAAATCGCAATACGACAAGAAAATCATACGTTTCTTTAAAAAACAGTAAGTCAATTCAACTTTTCTAGTCATGCATAATATTATTACAAAATATTCACATCCGTTAACAATTGCAAACTCTAAATAAACTTTTATTCAATATTCCTCAATCAAACACAGTGTAACAAATTCTAGATTAGGCTGAAGTATTTATAAAAATTCTTTAGATTTAGAATAAACTATATTACCTACAAATATAACAATATTTGATTGAAAGTAGCGATTTTTTTTTATAACTGTCTCTAAACGTTCGTTTTAAAGTCGTATTTCTAAAACACGTTCCATCAAAATATATTTTTTCAGTTACTTCATTTTGATGCAATTTAATAATCTAATAGTTCCGTAACAAACGAGCCTGATCCCTTGTGGCATCATATTATAATCTCGTTCACATGTGCGTTGACTAATAAAACTTGCAGTTGTGTATCTAATCAACTGCGGCCGGTGGCGGTGGGGTCAACACACTATGCTCGCCCTGTTTTGATACACACATAGGACATATTGTTAGGTTTCATGCAAATCACTATACTTAATACCTATTTGAGTTCAGACTCATGCGCATTATAATTATACTAGCTGTGCCCGCGGTCTCACCCACTGAAATATATAGCCTATATGTTATTCTGATGTATAAGCTACATTACTTACTGTAAAGTTTCATAAAAATCCGTTCAGTAGTTTAGCGTGAAAGAGTAACAAACATACATACGTAACAAACTTTCGCTTTATTATATAGATTTTTTTTTAATATAGCTACGTTTTGCTACATCTATAATTAGACGTCGGTGGTCTAGCGATTTAGCACACCGCCTTACATCCGATGATCGCGGGATCGATTCCTCACAAGGTACAAACATTTATATTCATAAGTATTCATTCAGTATTCAGATTTCTATCATAATCTGAAAGCATATATCATCTCATTCTTCCTTATCCCATTAATTTGGGATCGGTGTAATGTTTTTCTCTTCCATTCATCTCTGTTCACTGTCATCTCATTATTTTCTTCTTATAATTATAGAATTTTCTTGCTATATCATCTTTCACACTGTCCATCCTTTTTCGGCCTTCCTTAACGCTTTTAACATTCACATAGATATCCTTTCTCTTTTGAATAATTCAGTTTTGATATAAACTGAATTATTTAAAAAAAATATATACAAACTCCAGCTTTTTGGCAGTTGGTAAAAATCAAGTCATATAGTATATTATATTTATTTTAACAACACTGTGTTATTTACGTGCTTAATATTAAATTTACTTATGAAGTGAAAGCAAACAATATCACATTAAATGAATGTAATGACTATTATGAAAGTATGTACACAGCACTCTCACATTTCATACAAGGAAATGTTATAATATTATCTTAATTGCAGCATTAGTGATAAAGGCTCTATCTTTATTATATTACTTGTCTCAATTTATAAGCAGTGTAAGTCGTCATTGTGATATTAGTCAGAAGTAAGAGATAAACATCATATAAAAATCATTTTCAATAACAAATAATTGTTTACTGCAAAATTCTTATTATATGAATAACAATTCATATAATAAGACTTTCAGTTAATCAATATGCTAATATTGTTTATAAAGTAAGGAAAATAAAGTAAACATTTTTTAAACACTGTGTAAAAACAAAAAATTCAAGATAAACAATAAATATAAACCAAAATATTTGTCTTCACTTCGAAATTAATTGCAGATATAAGAGATAACCGAAACTTGTTTCAGTAACAAATAATCATAACAAAAACACTTTCATAGCAATTACTCCTATGAATTGTTATTCCACTTAAATAATATTCCAAGATATGTATTTATATCAAATAACACACAATTGGAAACAACAACAGAACATACATACAAATTTGTGTAAAAATCTAGATATTTTTATAAATGCTAGATAAACCAAAATGTTCACAGCAAGTTATTATTCTCACTGGTATCACATTATTTTAAAGGTTTTGTTATGATGGGTTTGTTATTCTCACATTTAATATACAAAAATCCACAAAAATAAAAAAAGAATCAGTATTGGTTGACATTGTTGGACTAATTAGATCAGATATAGTGTGGAACTTACCTTGCAGTCTTTATGCCTGTAACACCAGGTGCATCCAAAGATCAGCCCAACGGCAGTCAGCATCAGGGCCAGTGCCGGCACTGCAGCATACACTCCGCCACCAGAGCCCCAGCTCTCCAGTACTGATGGTGAATTTGCATCTACAAGATGGAAATAATATAATATAATTAAAGATAAAAAAAAATTCATAATATCTCAGGATAATAATAATAATTGTACAACATTTTTATTGTACTGTACTTGTTGTTCTTTGTTTATTTGTGGGTACTATATGGTTATTATTATTTTTTTTAATATATCAGGACAATTCACATAGCACCATCTAGTCCCAAGCAGAGATTGGTTTATATGTATTAGACAACATATTCATATATATTTTTTAAATACATAATTAATACACATATTAAACACCCAGATCAATACTCATGAATACAAATATAAAACATAGCCAGTTCTAACAATATTAGCCCTCATATATAAGATTATAATATGAGAAGAATGGATTTTACAAAGAAAAGAAGCTGCAATTAAAATAAAACTTAGATTGTTATACAGCTACATTGTTCTAGAGTGCCATAAGCTTCATATTATGTTAATATTTAATACACATTCTTTTTTTCTCCTTTAAATATTAAAAAAAAGAGACATTACTGAATATCTTTCTTGAAACAGATATACAATGCCAAAATGGAAGGAGGTGGATGTGAATCTAAGTAAACAATAAGTTTAGATAAGTAAACAAAACAACAGTTGTCTATAAGGATAGAATGTCAAATGACACTCAGTTTTGTCTGCCTTTGAAAATAAGAAAATATCTTTATTTCTTGCTTCCATTGGCAATTGATGTGGATTTTGTTTTTTGTTTTATTTAACAAGACCTTTAAATAACCTTGACATCTTATGTGTTAAACGATATTAGTGATTAAAGTATAAAAAATAATTTGCAGATAATGCTGCAATAGATTATCAAATATGCTAAACAAGAGATATCTGTTCCTATAGTTTCCACTCTTTTAATGTTTTCATAAGCAAGGTCTTCAAATCGACAAAACAATAATAAATTATATTAAAAAAATCATAAGTTCTTAGGTATATCCATTACAGTTCAAGATTTATTCAAATTATTACCTCCAATATTTTAATTTTTCCGATTAATTTGTAGGTATTATACATTTATCTACTACTGTTGTTTAAAACATGTTTGTAAGAAACAAAAGAGAAAATAGATAATATAAAGGTTATTTCGCAGTGCATAGAATGGCAGTTTGTTCGATATAGAAGTTTTTATGAGATTTTTCATAAAAAACATAAGTATTTTCATAACAAAATGACTCACCGTGAAGGTAGGTCTGCGGTGTCGATCCTACGGGTAATCCGTATCCAAAATGTGCGCCGGTCAGGGCCACGAATAGCACCAGCCATAATGTACCCATCATTATTACATTATTTGCCCAGGTGCATTATTTTCCGTTTCATTATTTATAATTTTCATACATCACCACAACATAAAAAATACACGGTCCACGACAGATTTGCACTTTGTTGGAAAATACCGATTCACTAAAGATAATATTTACACTAATATTACGTATAATCACATATCCACTGTCTATAATATCTGTTAAACTTATTTATTAGTATTTCCTATGAGTTTACTACACAATTGGTTTTAAATTGCGCAACCCACAGCTGTATAGAACGCCATTTTTGATGTAAGTATTGCAATCATTTAAATGACATAAGGTACCATATTATTATTGTATGGTACAAATTTGTTTGATTTAATATTTTATATCATAAATGACTAATAATTGTAAAAAGTGTAAGAAATCATTGAATAAAAATAAATATTTTATTTCATTGAACTGAAATGCTTTTGTTTCCCAAACCTAAATATACATTTACAAGCTATTATGTATAACATTATTAAAATATCTACTTGTTTTTACTTACAATGCAAATAACATTTCATATTGATTTTTCTTTTCAATTTATAATTTATAGACTTTGAATTACAATCATATCTAATATAATTCATTGCCTGTGTCATAAACTTGCTAAATATATACACCTAAGGATAATATATCGAAAATTCAAATATATTCAATAATAATTACTCATCAACATTTCAGTTTGTCGGTCTGTTTATTTATATGGTAGTTTCTATGCTGGCAACAATTAACGTCAATTTTCCGAAATACTTTTATATATAATTTTTAGTTGGCTAGCAAAGATATTACTTATACAGCTAAGACTAGTAAAACAATTTCCTTTTAAACTTATAACTGTTTCGTATAATAGATTATTAAATCTATATTGGAGGCAATTTGTGACACTATATTTAATAAATTATTTAATTTCTTATTCTAATTTAAAACAGTGTTTAATTACAAAATTTATTCTGTCAACTGATCTGATCAGCTGTCAAAATAAAACCAAAATATTACTGTGACATAAAGACTTTTCTGAATTCATTGTTAGAAAATAATAGGTGTTCTAAATACGAAACTATGTCACTTAGTCACATATAACCATTATGTAAATAAATATGTATTTATGCAAAATATAATAATTACACAAAAATATAAGTGTAATGCTCATAAACTTTAGCTAGTAACAAATATAACCTCTAGACACATGTACGGTAAAACTGTATTTAGATGCCGACTAGTTAGTTATATTAGTTTAAGATGTTACAAGACCAACAATAATAAGAAGCTGTTGGAATTTCTAGCCAAAATGCCGAAGGTGAATACTCCGCGAATATCCGAAGCTCAACGTCAAAGACAACATATATCAAAAAAATCTGAAAAGTATGGCCCTAGCACAGTATACCTTCAGGTGATTGGGTCGGGAGCCCGAGGTGCGCCTAATACCTTGTATCTTTTCACTGATCAAAAACGGTATGTTGTTTTACTTTGATATGTATTTTTTGTAAGACTTTTTTTTTTACATGTACATAGTAAATTATTTAATTAGTATTTGTGCAAAGTTTGTTAAAATATATTGGATTTTCCACACATTCTCATTTTACATAATAAGGTTATTACTTAATATGTTCTGGAAACATTTTGATATTGCATATCAGATTTTTTATGGGATCTTTATGAAAATAATTTATAGCTTCTTGTTTAATTTATATTAGTACTTTTATTAGCCTATCATGATACACATATATAATTTTACATACCATATAGATTTATTGCAAGCTGTTGTGGAAGTTTCTTGCTAATTGCTATGTTTGGTTTCTCAATAAGTGGTAGAATAAAAAAAATACTATTGGAAAGTATTTAAATAAGGATTATATCTATTCTATTATTATTATATATACTAGCTGGCCCGGGAACCATTGCCATATTTTTGCCATATAAATTAAAATGGCTATTAAAAAATAGGGGTTGATGCTAGAAGGGTGTAAATTTATGGTTGTATGTATTTTTTAATCCTAAATAATAATAAAATGAAAATAAAATACTATGTTGAAAAAATAAAAAATATATATTTAGGGGTGGATATCCCTTACCACTTAGGGGTATGAAAAATAGATAGTAGCCGATTCTCAAAAATCAATTAAGCTGTTTGGGAGGAGTGTTGTAACTAACATTGTGACACAAGAATTTTATATATAAGATATTATATTCCATTTTTTATTAAATCCTTAATGGTAATTGAATTGAAATGTCTGTCATTTTCTATTAGTTTTTGATTATTATTCATCCTAGTTATCTGTTCAACTGCGGTGAAGGCACCCAGCGTCTTGCACATGAGCATAAAATAAAGCTATCTCGACTGGAACATGTTTTCATTACTAGTAAAACATGGCGTAATATTGGAGGTTTGCCAGGGCTGTCTCTTACACTGCAGGATGTTGGTGTTCCCAATATTACATTACATGGCCCTGAAGGATTGGTAAGTTTACATTTTTTACATATTTTGCTAGTATAATTCCTTCTTACTTTACTAATGTCATAAAAACACTATTGATATTGTTATGTGGACACATGTTGTATTATGAATTCAACATTTTATAAGAAAATCTTAATAAATGCTAGGTGAGGGTTATTATATTATTTTATTATTAGTATTTATTAACTAGAACTCATAATTCTCTCTTTCTTTGTTTCATAATAATTCAATCTAATTTTTCACCTAGGAAATGTAACTGGATGTCCTTTGTACAGGCCATTATAATAACCTAGCTTACTAGGTGTGACAGCAGTGACATAATGTAATGTAACATGTTACATGATTGAACATGTTATGTAAACATGTAACTTTTTATTTTGGAAATTTATTTTTACAGATATTATTAATATTTTAACATATATGTACATATATTTGAATGAGGAATAATTTGATAATGATAGCATATTTTTTAGATAGGTTTTATATTAATATGTAACAGAATGAACACAATTTCATAAACAGTCCAATATGGGAATTAATAATGAGGCTCATTCATATATATATTTATATAAAGACTATATGGTATATGTTCAAATATTTTTTGGCTTAGTTTAGTTATGGGTTCTATTACTGTGTGAACGTTATATATTTCAATACACATAAATTACAATCTCATGGGTATTTTTTTACAATTCCAGGATGAATTGTACAGTGCAACAAGAAGGTTTGTCATAATGAAAGACATGAATGTAACAATGGCTAAATGCAGTCCAAGTGAAGATTTTGAGGACAATGTTATGAATGTGAAATATGTGTTATTGTAAGTGAGTTCATTGATATACATAGAGGAATAAAATTATGCATTTTGGAGGAAAAGTATAGTAAAATTGTAGATAGAAAATTTTCCTCAAAGGAAACAAGGAACAATTATTATTGTTATATCATTGGAATTTGTTAAAGCACTTGTCTGAAATAAGACAATTGACAATGCAAAAAATGGACATTATAAATTTTTTTGTATTGTTTGTTGTTTATATAACAAATAATTACACATTGTGTTGTAACTTAAGGAAAACCTTGAAATATTAGATTTTGTACAAACCAGTTTTTTGCTACATGGCACATGTATTATTGTTTTTTTTATTGCCTGGTTATATTAAAAAGTGAAAAAAAATAAGTATAGTCTATTTTGTATACAATAATTAAATTATACTTTAATTTTAGAGACCAGCAAATGTGTTTGTATTATGTTTTAAATGAATAAATATATATATTCTAAGTATTTGTCCTGAATACCCAATATCATATAATTGTTTAACAAATTTTTATGAATATTTTTTTTACCAGAGGACCTCATGATAATCTTCTAGAAGGTAAAGAAATAAAGCCAGTGGCAAAGAAACAGAAACTGGAAAACCCTGTAGACAAAGAATTTGAAGAATTTACTCGTGATGATACAGACTATTATAGACAGGACATACGGAACCATGATGCAAATAAAAATAATAGAATGAAAGACAAGGAAAAACCTAAGGCTAGTTTTGATAAAGGTATATTGGGCATATTAAAATTTATCTATCAAAGTAATAATTATTTGTCTATTTCAATCGAGATCAAAATTATTTTTAGGCAAGATTATTTTTAATATTGAGAAAAAAAAACAGAATGCTATAATATACCATAGAAAAAATGACAAATGTAAAATAATTTGTTCCTATAAGATAGTTTTAGACAATTATGAAAATTTTTTAAAGGAACAAATTATTTTACATTTGATTTTTTTATCTGTCTAGATATTGATGACTATAATTATTCTAAAACAGTTTATTTACACACTTGTGCTGTTACAGTGTTACAGCTTGTGCCTTTCCTATTACATAAAAAGAGATAAAATATAGCTTATATCTGTCTACATGACAATTTGACATCAAAATTTCATTTATATCCATTCAACTAGGCATGAATAGGTAAGAAATAGATAAATAGACAGATTCAATTTGAATGTATAACATTAATAAATAAAATGTAGGTTATAAAGAACAAATGTTATTTGTTTTAGATGCAATGAAGAAAAAGACAGAAAATGTATTACATGAATTACAGAAAAAAAGCCACTGTTCTGTAGCTTATATTTGTACTTTGAAAGTAAGTAGTTTCTATTTAATTATTATTACAAGTATTAATTAATTAAGAAAATGTGTATAAAATAGTGACTCTATTTCCACCAAATGTTGAATTGTGTTATACATGAGAGCCTCTGTAACCACAGAACTGATTTAGACATAATATTCATTGAAAACACTCAGATTGATAGAAACAATCATACACATGAAAAAAAAAATATACCAGGCGAGAGTATCGAACTCGCAACGTAAGACGATGAGCTAAATCGCTAGACTACGTAGACTGTCATGTTTATTTTATTTTAATTTCTTAAATCTTCTATACAGAAACGCCTCGGGACACTAGACCTTGCGAAGTGCGTGGAATTCGGTGTGAAGCCCGGCCCATTACTGGGTCAGTTGAAGAACGGTCAAGATGTTGTGCTACCAGATGGCACGCTTGTTCTTAGCAAAGATGTAAAAACACCGGACGATCCTGGACCCGTTTTCATTGGTAAGAAAAGAAAATGTTGCAATATAAAGTCATATCATATATGCATTTTATAATTAGAATGGTAAATAAGCTAGTCAAGAGTGATAACAGAATGGTCAATAATATGAGGTAGCTGAATATATTATTAGCACTGTTCTCACTCGCCGTTCACAACTTAATAGTCGCATGACGCCAGCAGTGTGCAGTAGAGACGACATAATGTTTCCATCTCTTTCCCGTATATACTACAATATGTGAAATGATGTGTGGTATAAATTTATATATAAAATTATTAATGGATGTCTCCTGTATGTGTACAGTGTTGGAGGTACCAGATCTATCGTATTTGAAGGAAAGTGAGTTCTCTGCGCATTTCGATAACGGCACCAACCCACCGGAGAACATCCCACGTCTCGTGGTGCACTATACACCACCGCACGTGTTCAATCATTCCACGTACGTATTTTTGATTATTATAAGGCTTCTAATACGCTAATTTAAGATAATTTTCTTATGATGATAAAATATATAGTTATAAGTACGCACTCATACATAAAATTAGGAGTCACGCGCACTCTCGCACACACAAATACAATCAGGAAAAATCACACCATCTTTATGACCTTTCTGATTATGGGTAAACTGACGAACAGACGGTAAATGAAGTCTTTTATGGCCGTGATTTTTCGTAACGAAAACAAAAAGAAACGTTTCTTAACGGACGAAAAAACTTAATTTGAAATATAAAACATGGGAATTCAACCAACAGTATCAATATTTCAGTTACCGCTCATTCATGGCGATGTTCGGGCCGACCACGCGACATTTGGTGTTGAACACGCAGAATTCGTGTCTCGGGTCCGAAGCGGTGCATCGTACTCAGCACAAACTACATCTCCTCGATTCAGATATCTTCCCCCTATTGCGCGATGCCAGCCTGCCTGCAGTCTGGAACTCCCATCCACCATTGGCAAAAACCAATAGTCCTGTCCAACTGAAAGGGCTTGAAGAACTTAAAAATAAGGTGAGGTTTTGAATACTTAAAAAGAAAGAAAAATGACTGTCGATGATTGATGATGATGATATCATTTACGATCTAAAATAAAGCCATAAAAATAGTCTGAACTAAGATTGAATTAATTCTATTGAAGTAATAAAGTTACTCCCATGAGTATCTACACTATTATTATTATAAATGCAAAATTGTGTCCCTGTTTCTGTTAGTTACCTTTTAACGTCTAAACATATCTCAAAACAGTTTATCCTAAAGATTGATTGTATTATGAGGACGGACATATGCTAACTTTTCTCTCAAAAATAGGCATACGAAGTCGAGAGCAACAGCTAGTCGTAGACAAAAGAATCATAGATCGGACAAGAATTGGTGAAAACATCATGTAACATACCAAAAATGAAAATGACATTAATACCTTAATTTTAGAGTAGTGGAAAATACAAAACAATACAAATATGTTATTATTACGTAATAAATATGTGTCTATTTTTTATGTTTACTAGCTGTTACCCGCAACTTCATCTCTATAAACGTAAGTAGGTCCCTTATAGATATTTTTTTAAATAAAAGATTGCGTGGTTTCTTTTCGTTATCAAATTTTATTAATATCCATTCAGCGGTTTTAATATTAATTAGTTTTGTCAGCTATCTTGTTGTCCACAGGTAACAAACAGACAGACTGATACGCATTTATAATATTAGTATAGATTCCATATTTACACACTGACAGGAACAAATTCTTAATTTTGTAGTTTGCATATGTGGTGGTGGGTCCATTTTGTGCACTAATATTTTTAGATTGCCCTCGCGCAGTTCCAGAATATAATAAATATGGAGGGGTCATGTAAGGGCGACGGACACTGCGGTGATAATGAAGAAGAGAACAAGTTAGAAATAATCGCAGGCCGGACACTCAGTGTATTTCACTTGAGACCTAAGAAAACGCTTGACAGGTAAATACCAGAAAAATAAATTCAATTATAGAAATGCTTGGCGGGCTGAATGAACATGTTTAACAGGTCGCAATCTCTCCGCCGGCCACGTGTTTCTCATCCCTAATATGTAATTAACTTTCATTTACCATGGTTTATATTATCCATAGAGAATTTTAAATGCATTTTTATTTGATTAATGATAGTCAAGTCTTTCTTATGATTATTGATGTTTGTAATGTTCTTTAAACAACGTCAGGTCGGGCGCTTAGACATTCTTTTTTTAATTGAAATTGCTACATTACTCTTTCTGCAGCTGTTACATCTTGGTGAGGCTGAGAAGTAGTAACAATATATTCTTATACAAGAAATTATTCTTCTTTAGACCTTTAATAGGGCGTTAAATAGTGGAATAATAAACAGGTCTTTGGAACCGAAACTGCACATACAAGATTACATCCAAGAGACGATGGATGTGGACGGCTTTGTGACCAGCCTGGAGCAGTTCAGGCGGCAGGTGGAGACCATAAGATATACTAAAGGCAATGTGAAGGAGTACCCCAAAGTGGTGTTCCTTGGCACTGGCTCTTGTATACCGAGCAAGACTAGAAATACCAGTGGCATAGCTGTTCAAATTGAGTGAGTGCTTTCAACTTCCTTTTTTTTTTATATATTTACATGTATAGACAACGGTTAACCCCTTTGTTAGTTTGTTAATTAAGTTTGCTTTAGAACTTTATTGTTAACATTTTATGATGATCTGGACCTCATCCCAAAAACCCCAAAAGAAAAAAATGCACCGAGCATTTTATGCTTCGGCTACTCAAGTACCCAATAAATTATAATTACAGTCTATGTTTAATTGAATAAATTGAAGTAAATAATAATTAAAACTATAATAAGTCTAAATTAAATTAAAGTCAAATTCAAAACTATTGTTTATGTTTAGTTCATTGTCTTTGTGCTTTACCAAATACACAAACCATTGTACGGTTTGTGTACCATAGTTCTGTTTGCTATCGGTAATAAAAAAATAATATTGAATATGAACATGCCTGTATGTTAAGGGAGAGAATGACTTAAGAAAAGATGGATGGACATGGACATTAAAAAAGTAAGGTCAGATATGACAGCTAATTAGGAATAGTGGAAAAAGACGACATACAGCGCCAACGTCAAATAATAAGATATTCGTTAAAGCAGTGATGATGACGATTTCAATGACAGTAGATCAGTTTCTATAAGAGTCGTCTGGTAGTGTGTTACATTCTTATCCCATAATTTAATGAACTCTATACGTAAATTGTAGCAGCAAGCTTTGTTTGGGACTAGATGTCGCTGTGTAATAAACACAGAACTGATTTAGACTTATCAATCTGACATCAGTCCTTAAATAGTAAATTAATAAAATTAATTTCAGTGAAAATCGATCAATGCTCATGGATTGTGGTGAAGGTACATATGGTCAGTTGGTTCGTTTCTACGGCCCGAAACGTGTGGACGCGTTCTTAAGAACACTCAAGGCTATTTATGTGTCACATTTACATGCCGACCATCATATTGGTGAGTATATTGTATTATTCTATTTTGCATTGTGGAAGTGGCAGTAGCTTAAATTAACCATTTAAAATTACTTATTACATTACATACAAAAGTGCATGAAATTAAGTCGGATTTTATGACCTCGGTGGTCTAGAATAGATTTAGCACATACCGATGGGCGCAGGTTCGATTCCTCGGGCACGAAACAAACATTTGTATTCATGAGTCTTAATTGTTTGTTTAGGTATTCTCTATGTACATTATATGTATATTTACATAGAAAAATAAATGTATATGTTTATTATGTATATGGATTGTACCTTATTTTTAAAATTTAAATTTAGAATATAACATTATATTAATAAATAGGTTTAGTATGTAAATAAAAATCAATAAAAAAAGTCTACTTACAAATCCATTCTTATTTGTGTGCTCGAAATTTGTTACAATACATACTCAACGAATCTTTTCTCAGGTTTGATTGGCGTGCTCCAGGCAAGACGACGAGCATTTGAGGATATACATGAGGAGCAGGTGCAGCCAGTATATCTGCTGGCACCGGGACAGATAGTCACCTGGCTCTCATTATATGATCAACAATTCGAGCGGATACGTGCCGACTTTACCCTCATACCCAATCAGACCTTGGTGATTATATGTTTTATAAGCTATGTGTCAATACATACGATACACTACTATATAATACTAGCTGTGCCCGCTGTTTCACCCGCATGAAATTTATAGCTTATATGTTATTCTGATGTATAATCTATATTACTGTAAAGTTTCATCAAAATTCGTTCAGTTGTTTTTTACGTGAAGGAGTAACAAACATCCATACTCACAAACTTTCTAAAAAATAAGATTATACACAATAGCAAACATGAAATCATAATATTTCACACAACGCTACATCAGAAGAATTGTCTTAACATTGTAGCGAAATGGTATCACTGCACCACTGTAGCGTTATATATGATGTGATGAGGTGCCGCTACTTAATTATTTGTTCCTATAGTATCTAGGTGTGTGTTATACAGGTGTAATGATTGAACTACATTAATAATTTAATATAATTATTTGATAGTGCATTACATGGCTTATTACTAACACGTGCACTCAACGCGGAATCGTGACATGGACACGTGGTAATGTCTAAAGGTGCACGTGTGAGAGGTACTTGTATGCTGCTACCATACTAATATTATGAATTCGAAAGTGTCTGATCTGTCAGTCTGTGTTTGTAATATTTTAAACGACTAAACGGCTGCACGGATATTAAAGAAATTTGACGTAAACATAGATATCATGAGGATACACATATGCTATTTTTTCTCATTAAAGCAGAAAAGTTTAACCCTTACCTGCATAAAGTCGAACATATAATAAATTAGTGTTATATGATCCTCAGTCACACACTATAGTGATAGTATCCGATAGGTGAATGATAGGGCCTACGAATTTTTTTTATTATTTCACAATAACTTTATCACGAGTCTTCTCATGAAATTTTTACTTCTTAATAGATACAAGACGCAATAAACCAGAACAATGAGATGACGTCAGCCGTTTTGGCCAGCATCGGTGTTCAACAGATCCAAACGTGCTTCGTGTCGCACTGTCCCAATGCATTCGGAGTCGCTGTCAACGTTGACGGTCAATTTAAACTCACATACTCTGGAGACACAATACCCTGTGAGGAACTTGTTAAAATAGGTATGTATAATTTGTATACATATTATTTTAGGCATTTAAATTCCAATTTCATTACGTTATTGTCTATATTAATAGTGTCGTGGCTTAGTGGTTTACTAATCTGAATTAAAACTAAGAGGTCGTAAATTCAAATTTGGCCGACATTTAAAAAAATAAAATTACAGCCGCTTAGCGTCTGAAACAGGCACGCAGTCTTTTACGCACTACGTATACGGTACGGTAAGAAAAATATAAAATGTTTATGTGTTACGCAGGCGAAAACTCCACAATACTAATCCACGAGGCGACGATGGAAGATGAGTTAGCAGATGAGGCACGTATCAAGATGCACTCGACGACCTCACAGGCAATCGAGGCGGGCCGCCTTATGCGTGCTCAGTACACGTTGCTGACGCACTTCTCGCAGCGGTACGCGCGGCTGCCTCGCCTTAACCAGCATATACTCAACGACAACCACACTGTTGGCATCGCTTTCGATAACATGCAGGTGAGTGCAGGTATCTCTGTAGGAATATACAGGCTGTAAGGGACAGGTTGGTCATAACGAAAACAGCTGATTTAGATGAATGGTCTGTATAACATGCAGGTGAATGCAGGAATTTCTGTAGGAATATTCAGGCTGTTAGGGATAGGTTAGACAACGACAACAGTTGATGCAGATGAATCGTCTGAATCAGATTATTTTCCCACCGGAAATACGCTTGAGCTGAGTTTCTTGTCGGTTCTTCTTAGCTGTCAGTAAATTTGACAAATCAAAAAAGTCAGTAATAAACCTACATGAATAAAGATATATTGTTTTTTTTATTTTGATACCACTGCACTCCAATACCCTGGAAACCTGTGTTGAATTTGCCACAATGTCTATTCAAAACAAACAACACGTTAATTATATGATTATAATAATACTGAAAATTTGTCACTATTGTGGTATAAAAAAATTAAGAGATTGTAAAATATTGTGTGTGTACAGATCACAATGGGAGATTTGGAGCTACTGCCCTATATATACGCGCCGCTGCAGCTAATGTTCGCTGAGCACTGCGTCGAGATGGAGCTAAAGGCCGCACACCGCGCGCGGCAGAAGGAAAGAATTTCCCCGCCCGCCTCCGCTTCTGCTTCCGTCCCCGCCGGTACCGACCACGCGCAAGCTGCTACCGGCAGCTGTAGTTAGTACTGTCCAATAAATCTTCAGTTACACTGGTTAACATTTTAAGGGCCATCATTAAATTATGTCATATGTATTTTTTGTTATCGAGTGGTAATGGAATGGTGCACCCGTGGAGGATGAAAAGATGAGCTTAAGGTCAAGTCAGTTAGCCCATCATGACAAATTTACCAGGAACTTATCACAATGGTTTTCAGGTGGAACCACGTGGAGGAGTGATATGGTGCATTGATGGCAATGGGTGCATTCATGCACATTACTAAAAATCCCATTACCTCCTGTCATATTTATTTCATGATTCGTAAAACAAGCACTGCATAGATTGGGATTGTTTAGATCGCTCTATGAACATTTCTGAGAATGGAAGGTCAAAAGTTTTGGTCCTCCCCCTTCTGTTCTCGTCACAGATAATAATATCTCAGGACAATTCGCACAGCGTCATCTAGTCCCAAGCAAAGCATTGAGTTATGGGTATTAGACAACTGTTAGAAATAGTATGTATGTACAATATTATGAATGGAATTATGTGAATTGCCTTAGAATAGAGTTTTCAATAAACTACACATTTAAAATTCCATATTTAGTATGGAGATGTCTTATTTTTTTATATATTCGTGCATTAATTATAGTGTAAAGTGATAGAATTGTATTAGGCTAATATATTCATTTAAATATAGTTGATTTGATTCATAATTCTCATTTACCTATTAATAGCAGTGTATTTAGTATCTGATACATATGTAATATGTACTTGTTGTATTTGAATATTGTTACTTTCATAATAAAGTAATGTGTTGTTAAATTAATACTAGTTTATATTTATTACCCTTAGTATTCATCAGAGATTTTTTATGATTATTTTGTTTTTTTTTTTAACACAATGAATACAAACTAAATATTGAAGAAAGAAGCAGGTACAAAAAGCGGTTTAATCGCTAACGCAATTTCTTTCAAACAACCTTAGGAAAGAGAGTATTACTATAAATGTAATAGGCATACAAATATAGTATATGAGTGGTTATAAGCTATAAAGCACTACAATAATAAAAAATACTACTACATTAGTGATTTGTGTATAAATATAAAAACTTATGTAAATGAACCAAAATTAAGTGTACGAGTGTACACCGCTATGGGTTTAAAAAGTAATAATAATAAATTATTACGCGCATAAAAACATTCATACGCGTTTGGAAAACAAGCTGAAGATCGAGCAACCGTTACTTACGAAGTTCATGTCAGAACCGAATGTCATGCCTCCGTACAATTTAGGCATAAAATGGAACGAATTTCAGCAAAGAATAACCCGTGTCGGGTAGCGGTGTGGGCGCCGGCCACGCCCGTAGCTATCACGTGCCAAGCGGCCAACTCCGCGCCAGCACGGGTGCACGCGCGCTACAGGGAGAGCCATGCTTCTAGTTAGTCCACCAATTTTTCGATAGAAACCATAGGATACATTCTGTTATGTTGTGGAGAAATTTATAAAAGTAATTATATAGAGTAGTATGGTGTTAGTCAACAATCACTGAAGGGTTTGTTTGTTTGAACGCGCTAATCTCAGGAACTAGTGGTTTTAAAAATTGAAAAATATTTTTTGTGTTGGATAGTCCTTTTGTCGAGGTAGGCTTTAAGCTATATAACATTACGCTACGACCAATAGGAGCGGAGCAGCAATGAAACATAGTGCAAAAGGAAAGGGGAAATGAGGTAGTATAAAATAAAAATTATGAAATCTATATTAAGAAGTACTAAATGTCAACTCGAACTTTGTGTAAATTTATACAATTTAACTACAGGATTAAGACAAGAATTAAAAGGGATGACGATCACTGGTTTTGTAAGAAGACGTCGTAGCAACTCGTCGCCCACGAAAACACAGCCTAGCACACCCAGTATGAATTTAATTTCCTTACATAAACATTGCATATCAAATGTCGTGAAGCATATAGAATATATATAGTATATTTTTTTTATTGTTTAATAAAGTGATAAGGAGAAGACATTGTACAGTCGTATGCGTAGGCATATTTTTTAAATAACTTCAATGCAGAAAATACCAAGGTAAAAATACATATGGCGGCCGTATGTCTTACGGCATTTTCTACCAGTCAACCAGAGGTTGTGCAGTGTGTATAAGACCGCCAAGCAGTTTATGTTGTTAGTGTGTTTCAATTGACGGGTGAAATCATATTATACGAAGTCATGACGTCTTAGTCCTCCAAAAGCATGCCTATATTTTTTTTAATGGATGATAATTGAATGTTGCTCCCTATTGCTATCAGTTTAAGCTGGCGGGGCGCCAGTGGAGGATAATGTACGAGGTCAGGTCAATTTGCCCATCTTTACAATTTTACAAGAATTTATCACGGTATCTAGATGGAATCTGGCATTGTTAACAATTGAGTCAACAGTCTACATTACTAACAATCCCCTCACCCCGCATACCTACGGTTGCCAGTTAACATGTCAGCTCGTTGTGAATGCGCAAGGTGCAAGATCCCATCTTAAGTATTTAAATGACTTGGGTAACTTAGGTGGTGATTACACGAATAAATAAAAATTAAATTTTATTGTTTCGTGTAAGGGTCGCAGAATAGTGGATACGCTACGCCACGTATTCGGAACGGTAATTCGCCGGATAAGATGGCGGACGTAATCAATACACGTAAATATTTATTATTATTTTATTTATTGTAGCAATCATTCAGAATAAGCCACCTGCCGTGGTTTTCTCTGCAGAATTTCACAGCCCTCGTGTACTATTTGTCTTCCTAATTATCGGCACTCAGACAGACTCTACTGTTCTCACTCGCCGTTCATAACTTAATGCCCGCATGACGTTAGCAGTGTGCGCTAAAGAGGACATAATGCTTCCTTCTCTTTCCCACGTATGCTACACCAGCATAGTGGCATAGTGATTTTAAGTTGAGTGTAGTACGTTTGGAATTTTTAAAGAAAAATTAACGCATTAACTTTGTAGGTCACTGTTCCAGATCTAATTCTAGAGCTAATGAAAATATTTTATAGGTAACTACAGACAATCTAGGGAGACTATAAGAAAGCTTAGGAAACTCTGCTCTAGATGCTCTAAAATACAGTATTTCCATAGGTGTATATTAAGGTTGCTCAAATATTTGCATCGTAGACCTAACATTACGAACTTATACAGTTAATATTTGCCATCATTTTTGTATAAAACACTGTACCTACTATACAATACCTTATTAGTAATTATTATTGCATATCTATAATTTTGACGTATTTTTATACTCTATTAGATTATTTCATGATATATTTCACAGCTCGAACTACTAGTGAGACTTCAAATGTAAGCAGAGAACAATCTGAACGTAGTAAAGTCGTGTCAAACGCCTCCTCAAAATACGTCATTGATAGTAAGTGAATATTAATTTTGTTTCATTAAATAGGTATACAGTCCACTGCTGATGTTTGACCATCGAGGTACTTGCGCCCTTTGTAAATATTGACTATTAATAGTGTAAAATTCGTATGTTGAAAGAGCCTCAGGTAAGTTCCATACTCGCAGTCTTCTTGTGTTTGATTCGCTTTCAGAATGAGTGCGTGAATTCCGAAAAAATGTAAATTATCCAAAGTGCTTAAATTTATTTTAATATACAATATTTCTCTTCTATTCTATTATACGTCAATAGAGACAACTCTATTACCTTTATATCAAAATATATTGTGATTTTCTTTTATATTTTGTGCCCTGGACTACTTACAACCTGCCATCTAATCCTAAAATAAGCAGAGCTTGTGCTATGAGTATAAGAGAAGTGGGTTGTTTTTTAGAAATGTGTGCTTGGCAGTGGATTCATCGCAATATATTAATATATTTCTCCATTTAAGGTCGCTCCAAAACTATTAACACTGAATGTCGTGTTTCCTGCAATGACAATATTATTCATGGTGAGTGAATAGTTGGTTGATTTCATATAATCACGTATAATTCCATATGGGGTAGTCAGAGATTGTAGTCATTGTAGTTATAAATAAAAGTTAATAGGGAAATATCTATTTATTTCAGGAACTACAAACGGTTACGGCAAACCTTTAGTGACGCCACTAAATAAGAAGATTACCATCATGAGGGACATTTCACGATCCGTCAAACCAAGTTAGTCAAAAAAACAATAATAACGATAGGTATGTCTATATCGATAAATATAAACTAATTGAGTGTTCTTCTTGCAGGTGAAAAGGATAAGAAAAATCCAGTCAGCCGGAATAGGTCACCAATAAAAGGTGCGTATGTACGAGTATAATATTGAGATAACAATATTTAGCCTTTGGAAAAGTTTTTTTGTTGTTTTACCTAGGTAGATTTTGTAAAGAGTTATTTGCGTACGTATTTTCACCTATTAGACAAGACGGAATTAAGGATTTATGGGGCGGCTAAAGGCCAACTCTTGCTTGACAGATACGGTTTTAGTCTTAGGGCTCCACTAGGGGCTTTTTTCATTCATTATGATATCTATTGTATGTCTATTTTTCAAGCGGAACACAAAGGCATGTCTTCGCCGATTATTCACAAAAAGTTGGACAGTTCACCCAAATTACGTAAGTAATATTTTTATATAAAATAAGTATAAATAAGTATTATGATATACGATGAGACAGCTTTCCGAATGAGTGGTAGATTAATAAAATAAGTATGACTATTCAAATGTGCCTATATTTAAGTTTATTTTGATAATATTTATACCGACTCACGTACCTACATGTGGAATATTAATATTATTAAAATTATAAATTCGAAAGTTTGTGAGTATGGATGGATATTTGTGACTCCTTCACCCAGAAACTACTGAACGGATATTGTTGAAACTTTACAGTAATACAGCTTATACGTCAGAATAACACATAGGCTATAAATTTCACTATAATAATATTTTTTGACATATTCTATTAATTTTAGTTATTGTTTCCGTATTTTTCCTCACAAAACCCTCAATACCTCTCACTCATCAGGTACATCAGATACCTCCTCTTCAGGCCTTGTATTATATTATTATACACTTTCATTTCAGTATATCCGCTTAGAGTAGACATTGTGGGAAGCGTTCTGTTGCATTTAATATATTGGAGAATGGCTCGCGTGGCCACTCTCCTGTACCCGGGACGATCTCTCCTCTTGTTTACAATAATTGCTGTTGGTGTTTTGTTTTGGACAGCCGCTAAGAGTACCGTATCTGGAAACAAATTGCGGTGTTCAACCAATCCCAATACGAAACCGGGTACAAAACATGTGATGGGTAAACTACCGGTGCCGAGCAAGCGTTAGTCAATTCTCTAATACCTCTATTTTATATTAGTAGGTACTAGCTGACCCCGCAAATGTTTTTGCCATATAAATTAAAATCACTATAAAAAATAAGGGTTGGTGACAGAAGGGTGAAAATTTCGGGTTGTATGTATTTTTTAATGACAAAAGAAAAAGAATATTACACAAAGAACACATACACAAAAGAAATTGTCCAACCCGGTGAACAACCCTTATCACTTAGGGGCTTGAAAAGTAAATAGTAGCCGATTTTCAGACCTACTGAATATGCATATAAAATTTCATAAAAATTGTCGTATCAAGCTGTTTCGGAGAAATACGGTAACTAACATTGTGACACGAGAATTTTATGTATATATAAGATTTAACATAATAATAGATAATATTTTCATTCTATATGCTATTAGAGTAAGATCATGGTTTACTTAGGTGTACTAATTGACGATCTCGAAAGTCTAGCAGTTTAGCACGCCCTCTACTTCCGATGGCCGCGGGTTTGATTCCCCGCACGGTGTATATGTATAAATATAATGATATTTATACATACACATATATCATGTACATTTGCATTTATAATGTTTTCTATATATAATATAATATGTATGTATATGCAATAAAAATTTATTTAAATATTACTAGCTCTTCTTAGCTTTGGACTAGACGACGCTGTGTGAATTGTCCTGATTATATAATAAAATATTCAATCTTATTTCAGAAGCAAGAATACCATCAACCTCTCCTAACAGATATAATAATAGTCCTAATCGACAAGTCAGATCAGCAAACGGTAAAGGTTTTATTTAATTCTTCTCGCACACACTAATATTTACAAAATAAAATGAGTTCTATTTTCTTTGTTAGTCCAAAATTCGCAAGATTTGCTTCGAGATGCGACTAGGACTCGCTGAGGGTAATAAAGTCAATCTCTCAAAGAGTACTATTTTGAATAACTGCACCGCATTAAGCAGCCACATAGCCAATTATTTAAAAATAGATGACCCAGGATCGTAGTGTATATAAATCTCTAAGGGATCAAGTCGCGAGGCCTGAACCCCTAGAGGTTCATAATAGTTCATATGTACTCAGAACGCATATATTTCGAACGCCTTGAAATGGGTCAGGGAATTGATCAGAAGGAGCGATATTGAGGCAGTGGTAATAAGCGCTCTTGATCGTCTCGAGTGTAGATAAATCATCGTCAGAGAGTTCAGAAAGTGGCTTATAATAATGATTATGATTCACGTAACGTGTTTAGGTTAATCGTGCTTGTATATGTTTATTCATATTTCAGATACAAAAGGATCTACGTCATATAGTAAGATGAAAACAACAAAGCTATCTTCCCAAAATAGCAAAGGCCCCTGTTCGTCAGGTACATGTCAATTATTCTCTTAAAGGTCATGACTTGCTTAGCGCTTCTTACACATAACATTTTTTCTTCTTCTTACCCACCGAACCTATGTACATTTTCGGAAACTAACAGATTATATCGTTTTTTCCTTTTTACGTGTGAGAATCTTCCAAATACTATCCATCCGCCGAAGGGAAGGCTGTTGGGATATATGATGTAGGTATACCTAGGTAGGTTTTAAGTGGGTAAAAATCCTATATTTTACCCACTTAACGGCAAAGGTAGGCTACCTTTGCCGTTTGCCTTTGACGTTAGCATTGTACCGCGATTCCAGCAGTGTTGGTCCATCCTCTAGATCTCTTATATCATTTCTGTTAGGGCAACTACTTCGCCCGACTTAGTTAAGGTGATGTGAGTACACGACTTCTAAGCCGTTCTGGGATGCTGCCCTCAAGGCGCGCGCCGTGGCCTTAGTGGGGTACAGAGAGGGGGGAAGTAATAGGTGTATCCTACATTAACGATAAGTTAATATTTAACCGAATTAAAATTAAATATATATCGATTATAATATGTATATATCACATTGTAATCGAAAATGATAGAATAGAAAAATAGATTTCTATTTTATAATATATTTTTTTGAATGTAGCAAAAACGGAACCATATAAGAATTCGTCATGCGTGAAGCGGCCATGTCCTGAGCCCAGAGCCCGACTTTGCACCAAAGATACTAAGAGTGAGGCTGTTAAGAATGATTCAGTACCTCTCCGTGATATATTGACGGAGCTAAAGCGACCATTGTACAAAGATTTACCTGGCGTGGGTAGGCTCGGCTGTAAGTTTTTTGATCGCTTTTTTAAATGTTATATGTAGTGTAGTTTTCAGCAGTTCTTATAGTACTAGCATGATATGTTGTATAGGTATTTTTATCACTTGAGAATAAGCCTATACAGTGACCTTACTTAATAACATACTATATAAGCGTTTCCTCAGCGTTTGAGTATGGTTGTAGTCTAGTCCTCGACTACCCCGACTTACTGCCGGTTGCATATTTAATAAAGAAGAATATTATACTGTATATACTTTTACAGCTGGAATTTATAGTAACAGAAGTTTTAAGCCACAATTAGAGGATATTAAAAGCTCATTTTTACTACTGAACAAAAAGGGACCGGAGGAAAAATTTAAGGCCAATGTGGACCATAGTAATTATCCATACATACTTTCTATATGTATATGTATCAACGTTATTGTATTATCATTAGACTAGTATGTAGTAGATTTTTTTTTATGGAAGATAATGGGATGGTGCACCCGCCTGCGCTAAGGGTTTACGCTGGCGGGGCACCAGTGGAAGATGATAAGATGAGCATGAGGTCAGGTCAGTTAGCCCATCGTGACAAATTCACCAGGAATTTATCACGATGGTTTCCAGGGGGAACCGCGTGGAGGTCAACCTTACATGGTACATTGATAGTAATAGGTTCATGAGTCCACACTACTAACAATCCCCTTCCCCCCTATGTAGTAGATTAGTAGTAGGACATTAGTAGTAGAATCATTGACACATACAGTTGGTATAATTATTTTTCGGCATGTATCAGAGGCTCTACGGGTTAAGCAGGTGTACATCATTTTTTAAGTCGGAAACAAAAGTATGATTTTACACAAGTTTATTACAGGTTAGACATTTTGTGTTCAACATCGAATTCAAAAGAATAATGTCTACACTATGAATACACATCTATAACACCTTGCTAAAATTTCCTGTACAGACAAAAAACAATCTTAAACAATAGTAGACAGTTATCATTTTTGCAATGTAACAGAGAAATATAATAAGAAAAAATCAAGGGATCTTAGTATCGGGAAATCACGAATATAAATAAAATGTGGTATGATCCCATGATTTTTCCTAATTGTATGAATGACTGCATATGAATTAATAAATATATTATACTTTTATGGCTATATTTCAAGTTATTAACTAGTTCTAAAGTCATGTTATGATGTGTATATTTTGTGATTTTTAAAGTAACACTGTTCTATTATTTTTAGTGAATAATGGACTGACTCTGCCTTCACATAAATTTTCAAGAGTCACTAATTATTGTGAGTTGAAGTAATATAAAGGTTCCGGTCCCATTTTCACAGAAAGTAATAGAAAACATATTGCATTATTAAATACATTTATTCATTTATTAATTTGTAACATATTTTCTAATTTTCAGGAAAACCTAAAGAAGTTCCCAGACCAATGAGAATTGTCAATGAGGAACAAAGAAGAAAACAGATTGTAGAAGCAAAACAGAAATTTCAAAGCAAACAGTTCTGGAATGACTCAAGCAAGTTCAATTACTCAGTATTTTAAATTTCATTGTTAATTTAATATTGTGATTTATATATCTGAGATTAAAGTATGGTTTTCTATTTCAGGATATGATAAAATTGAAGGGCTGAATTGGATCTCATGGAAGTAAACTTCATTAATTGAAATAATATTCTGTATTTTATAAATTTAAAGTAACACTGCTGTTATGTCTAATGTTAAACTTTACGAGCATAATGATTATTGATTAAAAAAATTGAAAAATGTCGTTTTACTACTCTTTGGAACCTGATGATCCTTTTCCATCTTTCTCTTCTTTGTCATCCTTGTCATCTTTATCTTTCTTAAGGTGAGACATGGCATTCCTAATGGCCTCACTCTGGGGATCCACTCCAGGTAGGTTTTCCAATACACTTTGTAGGAATGCCGGGTCATTCATTACTTCAGCATACTCTTCAGAGACATCCATGCTCTCTTCAGCCGCTGGTGGAGCATCTTGCTGCATGCTCATTTGCATAGCAAGAGCAATTTGTTCCTCCTCCGACAATTCCATGGCTTCACGGCCCAATGACATGGCAAGAGCCCGCTCCATGCCAGTGTTTTCAGTTTCTGTCTTCCCAGCCTCTCCTTCAGTAGTAGTCTGTTGGCGCCGCGATTCCTCCTCCTGGCGTTGTCTCTGTTCTTCCATAGACACACGGAGAGCTAGGGCGAGTTCTGGATCTTCATTGGGATCAACACCAAATTCATATGGTGATAGTCCAGAGCCAGATGGACCGGCTCCATCACCACCAATTAGTGGACTGGTTATGAGAGCTTCAGACAGAACTATACACCCCCCAGCGGGCACAGACACAAGGTGACTTCCTCCAGATGTATTATCTTTGCCGTTTAAGGTATTAACAAATGATGTTAAGAGGGGATTATTGTCAGAGTCCTCACCAAAAGAAACAACGTCGCAATTTACTTTTTCTTTCTTTAATTTCTTGGCGAGTTTAACGAGCTCCTTCTCATCAGTGTTCACAGGAGAGCCGACGAATACTACAATACGCATTTTATGGTTCTTTCCCTGACGATGCTTCAGTGCCAAGTGAGCGATTCTTATTCCAGTTAATAAATTAATGTCTCCATTGGGTTGTACACGATGCAGTTTCGACAATATACGACCGACATCACTAGTTAAAGTGGCTAGAACCTCGACATTTGCCAATGTCAGCAAACCAACATTGTTTTCAGGATTTGAACGAGTTTTAGAGTGACATACCAGGTTTACAGCATCTTGCTGTGCTTGGAGTCTCGTGGGCAGAAAATCTCCATTTCTCATGTAATCACTATTGTCCACACAGATCATAGTACTTTCTAAGACCATTTTTATTTAATTGTTTATGAGTTATTAAATGAATAAATGTTTTGTTCAATATTGTTACAAATAATGAAATTTGCTGTATAATCATACAATCATAGACTAACAGAATTGACATACCATTTTTCATGACTGCATAAATTTCAAAGCACAGATCCATAATAAAAAGTACAAAAATGCTGTCTATGATTTTGACATACTAAGACTTTCTTACTACCAATCAGTTGTCAGTCAGGTTCAATCATCTGTCACATTGTCTAATGACTGCAACGTTGGACTGATCGAAATTTTATTCTTCAAAGGAAATAAATCACTGAAGAATCATGGCTATCGGTGATTATCCTAAAGAGTACAACCCAGCGGTTCATGGACCGTATGATCCAGCGCGATACTATGGAAAGCGTAAGTAACAATATAAAGTACAATCAAGTCTTCATTTGATGTTCATAATATTCGATTATGTAATTTTGTCCACAGCCGATACACCTTTTGGTCAAGTGAAAATCAACGAATTGGGTGCATGGTTTGGTCGCAGAAATAAGACCCCTGGTGCGATCGTGGGTGCATGCAGCAGAGGTAATACCAAAAAATTGTTAAGTATTTTTTTTTTATAAATTGAGGTTAGACTCCAACAAAGTCATATACTATCATCTCATAAAAGCAATATTATTTTATTAGAGCGAAAGATTCATAAAGTTTTCAAAGAAATACTTCACATTTTGCTGTGGGTGATTTTGAATTTGTGGGTATTTATAATATAGCTATTTTAACAAAGTAAAGTTTAATACCAGGTTTCCCTTGAAGACCGGAAGAATCGAATCCGCGACCTTCATGTGTTATAGACCACCGAGAACGTTATTAATACGATTGAAATTATCTCACTAATGATACAGGTCCATCATCATCAGTCTGTCAACTTTTATAATAATTAATGACCTTGGTGGTTATGGCATTGATCTCTGCATAATACAGACACGTTAATTGCATGGTATAATGATTAATATCCCTTTTCTGATATGTAGGTATTTAAAAAAAAAAAAACTATCGCAATTATTAAGTGAAAATATACAAACTGATCTTTACATACAAAATGTAAATGTAGTATGGACTCTATTCTCCACATTTAGCATCTCATTGGACTGTTGTGTGTTTTTTCATACAAACATATGCTCCCTCAGTAATGATACTATAATACAACAAATCATTCATTAGTATGAATACAAACATGTATTTTTCAAGGAATCAAATCTACAATTATTGGAAATAAGGCAGTGTGTTAAACTACTTGAGTCTGAACTGAGGCAGTCAGGAAATCTAACAATTTTGACCCATTAAAAAAATTAATTTAACATTTTATTTTCTAAAAAAAATAAATTAACAAAAATTTTCTCTAATAGCTTGGTGGAGGTGGCAACACAAATATATGCAGCCTAAGAAAATTGGTGCCGCTCCATTCTTCCAGCTTCTAGTTGGCTCTATGACTTTCTTCTATGTAATCAACTATGGCAAAATGAGTACGTACATTTTGAATAATCTAGAATCTTATTTATGTTATGGCTGCAATATATATTTTACAAGTCATATTTTGGTACTATTCTTAAAAACAAGCTTTGTAAAAATATTTGTATATATGTTTTAATCAAATACATATATTCCAATTAATTTATTCTGTGTATATAAATATCTATTTTATCTTAATAAAAACAATCTGATTTTTAGCTTATGTGGTTGGCTACCAACATTTAATGGGTGTTAGAATGGAGTAGAGTAAAATTTTTATATTAAATTAAAATTTGTATTTTTTTTATTTTGCAGAGCACCACAGGAACTACAAGTACCACTAAAGACAGTGCCCATATATTCAATATTTATTATCATGTTTCTGTGTATGGTAATTATTTCTGTCAGAATTTGTTGGTATAATAGTTCATTAACTCTGTAATTTGCTGCAATAAACATTATTAGTCCAAAATATAACTTTGTATTGTTTTAATATAAAAATTTGTAAACCCTACGAACAGTGAATAATTTGGAATGTACTTTATGTGTTCACTATAAATATCTTTGTAACAAAATTATTAATTATAATTTAACAATAAAAATGTACATGTAGAAGTCCTCAAAAATAAAATCTATGTTTGTGTCTTCTTACACCTACTTCCAAATATTCCTTAAATACATAATCAATAATAGATTTAATGACAATAATGATATAGAATAAATACAGATGACAAGCATAATCTGACCACTGTCAATTATTAATTTTTTGTTTTATAATAGGTTATCCATGTTATCCATTGTAAAGGGGAAAAAATAGATATTTTTTCATGTTTGTAGTATATAATCTAAACCAAGTTTCAAATTCAAATATAGAAAGATATGTTTTTAAATAAAAATATCTTTATTAATGTAGGACTATTATAGACTCCCTATATGTCAAATCTACAAAAGTATTGGGATTAAACCTTAATGCAAAGTCGTGTATTATTTTATAATATAAGAAATATTTGACTGTAATAAAATATCAATAATCAGTCATTATCATCAGCCCACTGCAGTCCACTGCTGGAAGGTCTCCCCCAAGACACTATCTTCAGTTCTTCTGCTGTTATTGTCTGCAACCCTATGTATCTTCGATGCACCTAGCTACAGTGTTATTATATTTGTGTTTTTGGAAAATTTATATTTTATTTGGCATCTGGAGGATAACACTTATTTTTAAGGCTGTTCAAAGCATAGGTAAAAATTAATAAAACACTCAATTTCTTTAAAAATATTTACTTAATTACAATAATTTACTCATTGATGTTCATTTATTCACCACAAATACACTCCCATAAAGTTCAAATGCATAATTCAATTAATTCATTGATCACTAGGACGAACCGAACCATTGCTCCTGTCACCCGTTTCAGTGCTTCAGGCTCATATCACATTGTTACATGAATAATTTACTGAAAAAAAAAGAAATCAATTATTATGCTAATTATTCATACAAACACAGTTATAACAAATATATGGCCAGAAAATTACAACTGTATCAACAATAAAGATTCAATTGATAACTCATATTGCAATTGTCATGATATGATAATATATATAGATATCTGAATAAGGGAGTGTACAATTTCAAATAAAGTAAATGTTAAATTATTATTGCAATAAAACATTACCTTTGTATTACTTGTCAGTTCTTAATAAATAATTGCTATTTGAACTGAAGAGTAGGGATTGGTCCTTAATTTTATTAATTTGGTTTAATGTACTAGCAAAATTTTCCTTCATATATATATATATAAATAAGTTTTCAATCAATTACTGTTGAAAATAATAGGTTCCACAAATAAGTAGGTTGTACTGCTTATTTTTTTTTATAACATACTACGTCTTCTATGATTATTACATACAAACTACTCTACATAAATAAAAATATTGCAATTCTTTTCAATATTTCATGCCAGTAACTGAGATTTGATTTTCTAGCCGATTTCAGATAACAAATGCTTCAGTTAACAACTTATGAGAATTATAGGGTTAGGAGAAATTATCCATCCATATTGTTAAATACTAGCTTACTTATCTACCCTTCTTATTACACAATTACTAACTTGGACACTTTTATTAGTGGAAAGAGAAATAGTAGTTCATAAATAGTAAGCTCACCTAATGAATTAGACTATTTTACAAGTCAGATCTACCCATATATTTGGGTTTTAATTCTTCTATTCTCTTAATAAAATCTGTCTTCTCGATGCAGCCGTCGCAATCCTCGTCCCAGTCATTCAGAATCTTCTTCAGATCGCGTACCTTCAGTTTTTTCAAATCAACATTGTTCAGGTCGATTTGTTTGTCGAATCTTAAATCGCAAATCTGTGCGTCCTTTTTCCTTAATTTTTCACAAATTTTATCTGCTGGCATTGACCAGCTCAGTGGCTTGGATAGCTCGCCTAGTATGCCGGTTGCAGATTCCTCCAAACCACCCAAGTAATAACAGAATCTGTTTTCTTTATTCTTTGAACCTTTACAGAATTTTTTAAATTGGGCCTCAATTAATTTGGGGTCATTCTTTACTTTGTCTTCTAATGTGGCTGCGAATTTCTCAATTGTTTTCACACAAACCTCACATTCACCTTCTTTTAGTGCAACAGCTACATGTATTGTTGCAGCGACGAATAATAAATGAAACACGTTTATTTTATACATTATGAACACAAGTTTATACAAAAAATATATAAATATAGCTTCAAAAGTTGCGTGTTATAAAACATCTACTCTAATACAGTAATTCGAGATATTATACTAGTCAGAAAATATCGTAAATCCACGACAGGCCACGACTGAAAAGGTAGACGTTGACAGCTTTACTTGGCGAATTGTGATTGGTGCACGTTTGTAGGTTATATTGTACTTTTTTTATTTATATTAATTTGGATACATGGATATTCAGACGAGTTCAATCATTGTGCGTGATAGGTGATAGTGAACGTCAATAATTAAAATTGTAAGTATATGTATTATAATTGGATTAAAGATATAGAAATAGAAATGATCTTTATTCAAATAAACTTAAACACTTTTGTAGGCAAATTTTTTTATTCTACCGATTATTCGGAATGCAGACTCTTCACAAGAATGTTCAAGAAACTTGTCTGTTGCTCTTTTAAATAAATGTAGTTTTAATTAGATTTACATTAACAATGATTATGCGACAATCAACGTAGAAACCGCTACGGACTTAATCTCTGTTTTCTGTTCAATTCCTCGATTTTATAATAAGCTATTTACATTTTACATAATATTTTTTGCATATAAAATACAAGTACATAATAATAAATTGCGTCCAAGACATTGCATCGAGAGTTAGTATACTGATTCTACGGTTTCTTGAGTTTGTAAAATAAGTACATATTTCTTATAATAACACTACAGCAAAGGGACGGTTACCAAATAAATTGTCTCTTAGTTAGCAAAGAAGATAATGATAGATGATTATTTTTTAAATAATTAATGTAATGCAATAATTGTTAGCCACAAATTATGCGTGAGTGCATGAAAATGAAAGGAAATGTAAAGTGGAATATTTTTTATTAAATTTATGAGATACAAATAATTGTAGCATATTACACCATCTTCTCTAAGTGACTAGCCAGACGCTCGTAGGCATCTTTATTTCTGTAGAGGTGTATATTTGCTTTAACTTTCTTCATCAACACCTTTGGGTCCACGTCGCTGAGTACTAATAGTGTTTCTGTAATAAAATGAAGAATTAAAAATACTTAGTATGTAAAATATAAATTTGAAGTATATTCAGTAGCGACAATCTCTTTCTAAGGCTATAAGGATTGATTGATTTTTTATACGAAGTTAACGATCCTCTAGTTATTTAAAGCAAAAAGAATTTCGAATAACAACAATGTTATGGATATGAAATTTCGGATACGGATAGGTTTCGGGTACAGTAATGATTATTATACCGGATACGGATGCGGATATGAAATTATTTCGGATTGTCCGTTAGTTTCTCATAATTTCGGTTACGGAAATTAACTTTTTAAGGAACAACAAATAGCTAATAAAATGGTTAACGTGTCTCAATTAGGCTCCGCCCTTATCCGATATTATCAGAAACTTATTTCGGATTCGGTTACCGTTACGGATATTTTTTTATATCGGCTATCCGATAGTTTTGGTTACGGTTACGGAGCTCCCTAACATCCCTGATAGATACACAGTTACATTGTATTTAAATCTACTGATTTATATATAATATGGGCATATCAATGATCGACTGTCCAATTCAAACGGGGATCGAAATTACGACGTCCTTAGCCGAGGTCGATACTCTAGCGGTGCCCTCAGACCAAAGTTGTATCCGTCAGACGGGAGTGTGCCTTCAGTCGTTCCATAAGTCCTTCCCCGAGTTTGGAGTGCATCTACGTCGTCCGGTGATGCTGTAAAGACTAACTCCTGCCAACAGCATTAAAGCAGTCTGAAAAAAAAGTTGACAATGTCTCTGATGACCCCATCTGGGATAAAAGTTGTGATAGTATGTTTATGAAGAAATATATTTTGTGTGCAATAGTTCCATAAAATCGACTATTAATAGAAAAAACATCTAGTTCTAAGCTAAGTAGAGATTGTGTTATGGGTACTAGACAACTCATGACAAAAGGTACGCAAAAACTACTGAATCGATCATCATGAATTTTTGTATACATGTTCTTGGGGACATAGGATACTTTTTATTAAAAAAAAAATATATATAAAAGAAAAAATAATATATCAACATTTTGCTAATTCAGCGCCATCTAGCAGCCGGTAATAAAAATATTCATCATAATGATTAATTTCTATTGTAATGATGTCCGATACTTATCTATTGGATTCAATGCGAGCGAAGCCGCGGGCAAAAGCAAGTAAACTATTATACCGAGCACTTGGTCGCGGAACTGTTGGTCCGGATCATCGAGATGTATGAGCAGTGCGCTATAGAGTGCGTCCACGTGCGCGCCGTACAACACTACGTCGTAGGGGCGCGGGCGACGTGAGAACATCTCGCGAACTGTACGCACAGCGCCGTCACGCACCGGAGAGCTGCTGTCATCCAGCCGCTTTAGTACCACTGAAACAGAATTATATTACATTAGCGACTATCCGGCTTCGCACGGGGTGTAAATATATTTTTGCTGAATTTTTTTTTTGCTACAAGCGTGACGTGATGACGTTTCTGTGTTACTTTCAAGCCTTATGACTCACTGCCCCTGAGTTATAGACTGTTTTGTCCCGTTCATTACTTTTAAATTTTATTATTATGTAAGCAGCAAAACTATTTTTTATTTGAGACAACTAAACATTATTATTTTATTTTGCTCCGCCTTGAAAAAGATCCGGGGTTGATTACGACGTACTCCTAAATACATTACAATAGCCCAATATATATATATTATAAAGGCGAAACTTCGTTTGTTTCATGCAAAAACTACTGAATGGATTTTAATGAAACTTTATAGTAATATAGCTTATACATCAGAATAACACATAGGCTATATTTTATATTGAAATTTAACGCGGGTTAAACGGATATATATATATATACATAAGATACTAGCAGTGCCCGCGACTTCGTTCGCGTGGTGTAACTCGTGGTTTACGCAGCGCACGGAACGGAAGCACTCAGATATGAATAATTTCCTCGTTTTTGCATCATTTTCCATTTATCGCATTTTTGGTCATAGCGTAATGTTATAAAGACTTCCTCGACAAATGCGATCACAAAAAGAATTTTGCAATATGAACCAGTTCCTGAGATTAGCGCGTTCGAACAAACAAACTCTTCAACTGTATAATATTAGTATACATGCATAAGACGCTCACCGAAGTACAACTTGTGTAGCACATCAGTAGTGAAACATTCGCGACGGTCAGCGATTGCTGCGAGGTTGCCGATTGCTCGCAGGGTATGCTGCCGCGTCAGTTCCGAGTTGTCATCCATCAGCGCCGCCAACAACGGTACCAACTCGTCCACGAACGGCGACAGCGATTCTTTCGTTGGGAAAAGGTTCACTGCCTACGATATAAAAGCATTTTTTTATATTGATTGTCACCTACGGCTTCCTGTGGTTTTTTTTTTAAAAAACAAAATGTTTTTTTTTATACTGCGCAATACTATAATACTATAAAATACTAGCAATTAAATTCATAATTTATACACCGTTTGGTGCATAAATTATTAATTTAATTCCTAACAAGCATACGGCCCATCTGATGGTAAACGGTTACCGTAGCCTATGCTGCCTGAAACATCAGGGGTCATGTGCGCGTTGTCGATCCTGATTTAAGGTAAAAAACTGATTTAAGGTTGTATGAAAATATCGTTATTTTTAAAGACAGAATTTTGAAACTTTTTTTGCTGTTTTAAACATTTTATCTCTATTTAGTCAGTCACTATTCCACACGGATGAAGTCGCGGACACAGCTAGTTAAAAACAAAACTAAGTACAATCAATATATGTACAATCTCTTCCAGACAACCTTTGGAAAGGGAGTATGCACAAAAAATATTATTATTAATATAAAATGATACTTCTATTTTTGTAGTTATCTCGTTCAATGCTTACAAAATGATACGGATATTTTTGTAGTTAGTACGCCAAATACTTTATCAAAATATCATACCTTATCGTCATCTGCTTCTGGCCCATCCCCACTCGCCTCAGCATCACCTGTAGCCACTTTGCTGTTGGGTTGAAAGGCAGCGCAAAGGCAGGCGACAGCAGCGGTGCGTATAGCCTCCGCCGTCCTCCCAGGAGACCACACCAGGTTCAACAATATCACGTCTGATAACGAATAAAAATAACAATCTATACATATAAATAAAATTGGAATGTCTGTTTGTAATATTGAAATAACCGTTTTTTACTACATGCATATTAATATTGCATTTTTATCTGTTTGTTCCGGCTAATCTCTGAAATGGCTGGACTGATTTTGACGGGACTTTTTTTTGGCAGATAGCTGATGTAATAAGGAGTAACTTAAACTATTTTTATTTTAGAAAAATAAAGTTAAATTTCAAGCGGAGGAAGTCGCGGGTACAGCTAGTATTATACATAAAATATGTAAATGTATTATAAGAATACCTTTTTGTGTTCCCACAAAAAGAAATAAAGAAACTAGTCTCCATTACTAACAATCCCTCACCGCACATGGAAGGTGTGAATTCAGAGTTAATAAAAAGTGCTTTTATACTTTACCTTTAATAATAATTTTAAGGAATGTCTCCAGTTCATCCGCATCACACTTGCTGAAGGTGATTTCTCGTTGGAGAAGCACGGTGCACAAACCGGAGAAAATCTTCAGTTTGACTTCAGAATCCACCTTCGGTGGTGTCAGGCACCCTTTGAGAAGACGACCAATAATGTTCAGATGGTTGCCCAATGCTGCCCCTATAATATATAGTCTTGTTTTTCATTCGATGCTTAAAAATCGCATAATAACTGCATTTAGGAGGGCAATCTATTTATATATTATATACCATTTTATAAATACCTTACAGAGTAACATACTAGATATATTAAATTTAATATAAAAATAAATATAAATTGTCTGTGTGGTCACGGCACTGATGGCGTCAATCTGCTACGGTAGCGCTGATACACCACACCCTTCGGCCAATAGTCCTTCTTCATGAAGGTATGCACCACGTTGGTGGGATCCGGGCCACAAACGCCTTCAAACTCCCGTTGTGGCTCGACTCCAGCTGCGTCACCCTCAATGTCAGTTTTCTTTTGGTCCGTATGTAGTCAACAGTCAACAATGTCCTGCTCCTTAGTGGAGTCTGAGATACAGGCTTGGACTAGTTTAGACACTACTGCATGGACTTGGTGTTTATTTTTAAGCGTGTTTATTTCGTAATTGTTTATACAATAAAAATATTATTATAACAATGTTGTACATCACAAAGAACAATGGCTGGGTCATCTGTTTCAACTTTAACATTTCGACGATATATTTGTAAAAGTTATTAATTTTATTTTATCAAAAGAAAGTATAATATTGTTTTTTGAAGATTCAACTAAATATTGAAAATAAAAAGTTGATTTTGATGTGTTTTACTGTCTGTTTGTTACCTTTTCTATTATCAATACAATCCCGGGAGTATCCCGAAATCACGGGTATAGAAAAATCGACTGGGATCGAATACTCTATTCTTAATTTAACATACCAGATCGTAGGAGTACACAGCTGAGAAGACACCGGTGCGGCGTGAGCAGGGACCAGGAGTTCGGGTCGCTGTCGATACTTGCCAGCACGCGGCCCACGTGTCTCTCGTACAGGCTCGACAGTGTACTGCCGCACTTCTCTATGTACCGCAGCTTGTCTAAGTTTGCTGTACAACAATACGAGTTATTAGGGGGGAAGGGGATTGTTAATAATGGGAACTAGTAACCCCCATTGCTAGCAATGTACCATGTTAGGTCAACCTCCAGGCGATTTCTCCTGGAAAGCATCGTGAATTTGTCACGATGGGCCAACTGACTTGACCTCATGCTTATCTTACCATCCTGCACTGGTGCCCCGCCAGCGTAAGCCGTTAGCGCAGGCGGGTGCACCAGTCCATTATCATCCATGAAAACGAGTTATTTGAGGGAAAAGACATCACACAGCGCCATCTAGTTTTATGGGTACTAGATAATTGATATAAATATATAGATACATTTTTTTGTAGTAACAAATTAATTTACGTACAATACAATTTGTGTTTTGTACGCATATTATTTTCGTTTCTACTATACAACAAGATACAAACAATCATACTTATGAACATGTTTGCACAGTGCGAGGAATCGACTCCGCAACCATCGCTTAGCAAAAATTACTGAACGGGTTTTGATGAATTTTTACCGTAATATAACATAGGCTATATTTTATATCAAAATTTATCGCTGATGAAACTGCGGGGCACCGCTAGTTAATATTATAGACGCGAAAGTTCGTGAATACGGACGGATGTTTGTTACTCTTTCACGCAAAAACAACTGAACAGATTTTGATGAAACTTTATAGTAATATAGCTTATACACAGACTAATATACGAGGCTATAAATTTCACGCGGGTGAATCCACGAGCACAGCTAGTATAGAATATAACAATAGGATTTCTCAATTTGCTTCGAGGCGTCAAGAAACGCCTCGGGCACGATTTCTACTCACACATGATCAATTATTGTGCTTACAGAGCGCCATAAACTGTATGTGGTCGTCGACCGGCATCGCGTACATGGTGAAACAGATCATGAACAGCTGATGAAACACGGGAGCACACGCCTCGCCGCATAGCTGCATTAGTGCTTCCGTCACGTGGAGCAGATTGGTTTGGTATTTGGACTGAAAAATTTATATAATATCATCATTTTAAACTATTAGCAACAACATTTAAAGCACAGGAATTTTAATAAAACGTTTATTTAACTGATGACATTGTTGAGAAGCTTATTTAATATAAATATATTTAATTGATTACCTTATGTCATTTTTTAATCGAAACATCTTACAAAGCCCGAGAATTTCACCACATTATCATTACGCTTCCAAGCAACTTGCTTGATGATTGCTTGAAATAACTGTTTTTCAAGTGTAAGATATTTCAACTCGTATGTACTAGTAAAAGTATGTATTATAATAAAATAACAACGATATAACATTAATTTAACTATGTCTCTAACACAATTCACTTTAGCATTTAAATGCCGCGGCTTACAAAAACCCTTCCTTTTACACAGAGAAGATATGAGTGGGGGTTATACGCAACTAGTTTAACGATACCGAGTAATAATGAAACTACCTTCTTTTAATATTTTTAAATATCAGATTTTTCGACAATTTCGATATGACTTTTAATTACTTGTGTACCCTAACACAAGTAATTAAAAGTAAAGTTTATTAAACAGAATAATTTTTAACACATTTCCATTTCAATTGTCACAGCCTCCTTCAGTGTTTTCCATCCTGATCTTCCGCTTTCTCTAGCAAGTCTCGTCCACAATGAGTTACAGATTGTTTTTCATATCATTCAATAATGTCAAGTGTGATCTCGAACTTTCTTTAAATATTATAAAGTGGTGACGTATGAAAATGTAGAAAAGAGAGTAAAACATTAAATTGCCGATGTACTGATCTGATGATGACTGCCAACAGGGATGAATGGAAGAGAAAAACAGTACGGCGGCCCCAAATAAATGGGATAAGGAAGAAGCAGATGATGATGATAATGGGTCTAATGCTTGGAGAGAACAACAAGTGAACCTGAGTAATCACTGAGTGAACACCTTGCTATAAAAAAATTAATAATACACTATAAACCCACTTTTCTTATTCTACATCTCTCCGGATCAGCAATCTCTTTACACAGCTCCTCCATCACCTTCCCGGTTATGAGTTCAGGACGGGAACCCTTCAGTATGTTGGCGATAACAAGCAGCACGGGCCACGAGTCCACATCGGCTTCCACGAGCGGCCACCAGGTGTCGGGGGTGATGAAGTAGCCTAGCAGTTCTGATGCGCGCTTGATCTGGACAATCAGAATTATTAAATATACTCCTGCCAAAAAAAATCTATATATTTGTAACTAGGTCTAGATACGCTGTGTGAATTGTTTTCAGGCAACTTGATACTATAACAATAATGGCCCATATTATATAGTATCTTAAGGACTAATATATTACCTTATAGACTAATAGGTGATTCTTTGTAAGAGAAAATATATATTTTTACTAAATAAAGATCACAGCATTTTACATCATGATAATGGTCTAAAATAATCTGTGGTTATATTTTCTATATGTATAGCTATACTATACAGCCATAATCACAAACTTCCGCGTTTGCAATTAGAAAGATGAATGTTAATTTATTCCAATTCACTACTTCTTTTGTTTGTTAAATCATACTTTTCTGAGCATATACCTATATTCCAGGTCTCTGGGCATAATCGATAATTTGAAATGAATATTTTATACCTCCGTGACGATTCTGGGGTCATCGTCATTGGCGCCACGTATCAGTGTGCGGACAATCGTGTTGGAATGTTGAGTGGCGCCCTCTTCAGCGCACAGCAGCAACCAGCACAGCAACTGAGACGATCTGAGACGTGCGTCCGCTTGCCACCCATCCATTTCTAGACAACATTTAATTTATGCTATTACTGTATTTCACTTGTTTAACTACAGGTTCGAGATAACATTGTACCAGCAACAAATACTTTTTACTACCTGTTCCCGCGGTTTCGCCCGCATAAATTTATAGCTTATATGTTATAAGCTATATTACTGTAAAGTTTCATCAAAATCCGTTCAGCAGTTTTTGCGTGAGACTAAACATCCATCCGTACTCACAAACTTTAATAAGATTATTATAGGTATTACTGTTTTTCATTTGCTTGACTACAGAGTCGAGATTTGCTATACTATTGGAAACTTATAAAATTAAATTGTAACATTATGTCGTATCAAATATTTTTTACAAGCAGTTCTGATGTATAAGATATATTAATGAAAACTTTCGTCAAAATCCCTTCAGTAGTTTTTGTGTTAAAGAGTCACAGACATCTACACTCAATAACTTTGGCTTTAACAAGATGAATAATAATTGAATGGCGCTTTTTGTAGTCTATACTAGTGTGTATGATTTGGGGATGAATTAAAGGTTAAGGATAAAATCAGACCATTAAATTTGTCTTTAAACCATCTGAAAGGGTACATAGCTTGCAATGGAGGTAAGAGTCCGTGTGAATGTAGTTACAAGTGGCAGCTTGCATCATTATTTTAAAACATGTGCTTTAGTGTTGAGTTTATTATTAGTGAATACCTCGGCTAATAGCAGGTACAATCTTTCCAATATTGCTCTGCACTAAAACCCTACATCCGAGGTTTGGCCGTTTCAAATCAGGATAGTGGGATGGTACATCCTTAAGAAAATCAGCTTTTTTCTTTAAGTCTTCTTCATTTTCTTCCATATATTGAAGACCTATGTCAGTCCAGAGCTTAGTAGCTGTGTCACGGACATCAGCCATAGCGTCACTTAAGCTGAAAAGATTAGATAAAGTATATGACTTAGACATGCCTCTTATTTTCAATTATGATTGTGTAATGATCTTTGTTTACATTATTTTTTTAATTTACCGAAATTTAACATAAGCTGTAGTTTATAAAATATATATAATTAACTTTAATCATCTAATGGGTTCTAAAGCCCCCATAAAAGATCCTTTTCACTTACTACACTACTTATTATATTAGATTTTTGTATTTAACATGTTAATAAAAGGTACATTTGAGGAACTGACTAAAATAATTTACTTATTTTTCTGATTCAAAGTTTTATATGAAACTTTGTAAGGATTAATAGCAATGACATGCTGCAGCAAAAGCTAAGTTGAGGCCCTATGAGCTTATGGCACAATCTTAGTTTCTAAGTTATTGGTACATTTCTTTATAATTATATATATATGTTATGCTATTAAAGCAGAATAAATGTCAATTCTTTATCCCTTAAAGTGTATACTTGTGATATGTCCTAATTTTGCACATAGGTACTAATGAATGGAGGCAATATATCTATATGCATGTACATGTCTCACAATCACTTAGAGATTTTTAAAAAATGATTGTGAGTTCCATATAATATTCCATTGTATTCTGTTCTAAAGAATACAATGGATTATTATATAAACAATGAAACAGAAACAGACAAATACACACCTTTATGTTACACTTGTGTTAGTTGTGGTGTGGGGTCTTCATATGAATTCTAAACTATAACTTACTAGCTGCCCTGGGCAACTTTGTCTGCATCACATTTCCTTGAGATGTATCATTATATTTCACGCATTATTTTACATAAAATCTTTTTAAATTATAGGCTATATGTTATTGTCATGTATAAGCCCTATAGATCTATTGTGCTCGCCCTTTTTATGTTACTGTAAAGTTACATCAAAATCCATTCAGTAGTTATTGCATGTGAGTAACAAACATCCATCCATACCCACAAACTTTCATATTTAATATATTAATAATAAGACTACATTAATTTTTTACCTGGTCAGCAACAGTGGTATCATACGGTGCCAGAATGAGTATCTATCCCTATAATTGAGCATCCAGTTACCAACTTCTAAAGTTACTTGAAGACGAACTTGTGTGTTCTCATCAAACAGCTTCTCAGCCATTGGTGTGATCGACAGCTCAAAACATTTAGCATTGCCAGCTAGAACAATGGCTCCTATAGCTTTAATTGCTGCGACCCGAACCCTAAAATGCTGGTAAGAAAAATTCGTCAAAACAGGTTTCACATAACTCTCCGATTGGAAGTGAAAATCCCTTGGCAGTAGATTTGTTAATAAAATTATACATTCACATGCTTCAAGCTTTACTTTAGGAAATGGGTCTGCACTTGTTTTAGTCAATATACTCGTAAAATCATTAATGAATGGGCACAGAAGGTGAGACACTTTGTATTTGTCTAATATTTTATGAACAAGTACAATTAAAACTAGACGAATCTCTTCAGATTCTTCGACTATTTCCGGACAACCAATTCGTCGTACCAATACAGGTAGTATGTAAGTTAAGTAATAATCGTTTAAAGGCAAATGCTCTATAAAGTTAGAAACGATTAATGCTGCGGTTTCGCGACATGCTTCAGACTCATCGGAAAAACTTTTCAGAATATATGCATATATTTCTGGGAATACAATGGTCAAGTCACAATCTTTATTCGCAGGGTTCTCGAATATTTCTTTGTTAATATTCAATAGAGCCTCTTTTCTTGTCATTTTTAATTCACTTTGCAAAGCATTAATATACTGCTCTAAAGCACCACGGGGATTTTCTTGCAGATTTGTTTCTATCTTATCTTCTGCCATTATTTATCACTTTCAGAGACGATGAGAATGACACTAATTATTAACAAAACAAATTGTCTCTTTATTTCAAGTTCTATTCGCTCCTTCAGGCTATCGAATAAATATGTATAAGTAGAATAAACAGAAGACTGTTTCCATGGCAACCAATCTGTAAAAAAAAAAAAGAGACGGGAATCGATCGTCAAATGGCATAGATAATTTGTCTTTTTATTAATGGTCATTTGTCGACTCTCAATGTAAGCAGGAATTCTGCAGACCTCAAAGATACATTGATATAATAAAGTAATAAAATAGGATTAAAATAAAGAATTTTCAAAGAATAAAAAACTTTGCATGTGTAATTACACAATTACACATATAAGACAGATTTATGTGACCAATATCTTTTGCTTCCACATATGTGAAACATAGAGACTAAAAAAAATTGTCAGAGCGTCATATGTCTGTCAAATTAATGTCATAAAAACGTCAATAATACTACTGAAAACTGGAAATCAATCACTGTTCCAAGCATAAATTAATGTTACAATTGTGTTATATTATTGGTTATGTTTGGAATGCATTGCACTGTCTATAACTTAAATTCCCACTTGAACTTATTTAAGTTTAGACTGATTAAAACATAGGAATAACGAATACTTACTATATTTAGTTCTAACAAATTAATAATTTAAATTTAGCTTTTGGGTTGTGGTGCGTTTAAATATTGACCCAACCGTTGGGAAACGATGGAAGTGACTCGGAAAAGTAAGTTTTTAATCGCGAGACTGGCGTTGTAGGAAATAAGTATTATGTGCGATGATTTAAAAAAACAGCCGTATATGTAATAATGACAAAGAAATATAAACTAAGACCTTTTGCTTCCAATGTTCGCGTACATTCTTCAATTTCATGCTCAACCTCGTTACACGGCATATATTGATTGATAGAGTAAATAGTAATTTATACTCGTTAGTGTCAGAAATATTAATTTAAATTGAATTCAGTTGGTTAATCTGTTAACAATAAAACTTGTGTATACAGAATAACTATTTAATTTTAATATTTTAAAAAGTTTTAGTTGTTTAGAAATATATAAAATTGCTATATCTAAGTATCTATTCTGTTTATTAACTCCCTATAAGCATACATGAAATATCATAAAAAAGATTTAGTGAATGGAACTTTATAATTATAACTTTAAAGATGTCTATTAATTTAATTTAATTAAGTTTGTCATTAATATTTAATAAATTTGAATTAAAACACATTTTAATATCCTAATTATTTCCAGATTTTAATGAAGTGCTGCCACTTGTTAAAGATTCAATACAGAGATCAGACTTTTTGGCAATAGATACGGAGTTTACAGGTCTTATGAACAGTAGAGAATTATCTGTATTTGATACACCCTCTGAATATTATACTAAGGTTGTAAATAGTTCGTCAGATTTTTTACTTATTCAGTTTGGTTTATGTGCCTTCTGTTTTGATAAAGTGAACAACCACTATGTGAATGAGGCTTATAATTTTTACCTGTTCCCTCGTGGAAGCCCTGGACCAGAGAAAATGTTCCTTTGCCAGAGTTCCAGCCTTGACTTTTTGGCTGCACAAGGTTTCGACTTCAATAAATTAATCAGAGATGGTAATTATGAAATACATTATATAAACTTTTTTTTTCTTTTACTGTTAATTGTCAATTTTTTTTTCTTTTTAATTACCTACTTATAATTGGCAATCTGTTTTTATATACGGTTGTCCAATCTGATGGCTCTTTACTATTATATAAACTAATATTTTTTATTCTCTACATCATTAATATTTTTCCAAAACTACCATTATCTGTTTATATAAATAGAATAATTAAAATTTAATTTTTAGAAACATGAGGTTAGTTCATATGGCCACATACTACTTAGATATAACAGTAATAAAGTAAATTTTTTTTTGTCATGAAAACATGCATAGACTATAATCTTACTATTATAAATGTCAAATTTTGTGAGTATGGATAGAGAGATTGAAGGACGGATGTTTGTTACTCTTTCATGCAAAAAGCACTGAATAGATTTTAATTAAACTTCACAATAATATAGCTTATTCACCAGATTAGACAGGTATAAATTTCATGTGGGTGAAGGCACAGTTATTTTGAAATGTATGTAAAAATATTTTAAAGATTTTTCAAATGTTTATGAAATCAAACTTGTTATTTTCCCTTTACTGTTTAAATTTACTAAATGTCAACATATGTTAAATATTTTTAATAATAATGGGACTTCTCACTCATTCAGTTTTTCATTCGAGTATGAGTATAATGAGTAGTCATTCATTTTTGTATAATGCTTTTATAAATTTAATGTAGGTATTTCATACATGACGGGTCCAACTGAGAGCAAGCTGAGAGAGGCACTTGCAGAGAAACAAAAAAATTACACAGTAGTTAAAAATATAATACCTATTCCTGAAGAACATAAGCAGTACATCAAAGATGTATGGTGAGTATTTTCTATTATATTTTGTTTATATATATTTCCACCATAAGAAAATACTTGAATTAATAAATGCAAGGCTTGTGTGGACCAAATACCTTTAATTGTACCATTTAATACATACCCAAGTTGATGTTGTTGTTTTCATTCTGTTAGTAAAAGATTTTATACCTAACTGCATTTTATGGTATCTAATGTTTATATATCTAATTAAATTAAAATCTATAATATAAAATGAATGTATATTGTAATGGTTTAAGTAATTTAATTATTTTAAATAAAATATATAAATGTAAGATTTTACCATCCTATAAATTGGTAAATATTGCTGATCACTTGTTAATTACTGTTAAAGTCTCATATGAATTGATATACATGCTTTGTTTGTAAACTAATTTATACATGCTACAGATTGTTATTGATCAAACTAATATTGAATGAAATGTTAAAATGTGTAAGACTAAATAAAACAATATAAATTTCATTTATTCCAGTGAAAGTGTGAAACAGTTTGTAAATAAAGGTGTTGAAAGTGAGATGGTGATAGACAAATGCAATCTGTTTATCAGAAGACTGTTATACCAGGAGTTGGGTCAAAAGTTTAAAGACAAGGTGTTTCTTGACTCCAGAACATTAGAAAATAAAGACAGGTATGTTTGTATTTTTATATGCACACAAAATATTTAACAGTCTAGTTGTTATATGTATATTTTAGAAATAAGTTGACTAATTGACTGTTAGCACACTGCTTTTCGTTATCGTTATTTCAATATTGTGGTGAAATGTTAAGATGTTACATCTTGACAGAAAATAGTAATACTATTAGTAAGTATGTCCTTTATATTTTAGAGTTCTGGTTGTTACGCGATTGACGTCTGATACTCACAATGCAGCTAAAATTCAAGAAAAATCAAAGAAAGAATGGGAAGAGTTTGAAAATGCTGTAGGTTTTTCTAAAGTGGCCCAACTGATCAGCGAGTCAGTGAGTAATTATTTTAATATGTTTATGAAATTAAAATTAATGTAACAATTGTACTTACTGTATGAATTAGTATTAGTGGTAGCAATTGTTGAATCACTGGCACTTGTTGTTATTATAACAGTTGTTATAATAACGATTTAATTATTATTCTAATGTTAAAATGACCTAACCAAAAACAAAAGATTGAATATACTAATCTATACTTTCTGCAAAATTTGTAGTTGTAGAGTTGGAATGAAGATACAATACTTGCCGCACAAATTTAATAATGTTCACTCAAATAAAGGGAGCAATGTTTGTTTAAAAAAGAATGGCAAAATATGTTATATATCCGATATTATATGTTACTTTTATTTCGGATCGGTTACGGTTACGAATATTTTTTTATATCGGTTATACGATAGTTTCGGTTACGGTTCCGGAGCTCCCTAACACCCCTGTTATTTACTAATAAGAGTGTAACTCCTATTGAAAAAATAAGTTTTATACTGAAGACACCATTCATAGCCACTGAGAGACAATTTTTAATATAAAATCTATAAATATTTTATTTTGTTTCAGAGAAAGCTTATAGTGGGACACAATATGATACTAGATATTCTGCACACACTAAACCACTTCTTTCAACCACTGCCAGAAGACTACACTTCTTTTAAGGAGTTTGCACATTGCATGTTGCCCAGGTGTGATTATTTGTTATGCCATAATCAGTGCAAACATAGTTACTGGTTTTCTGATGAAGCAACATTTTATATGATTTATTAACACCTATAATATCAGAGCTCTCTATTTTGAATATGTACTAGAATCGGTTCACCAAATGACAAATGTGTTCATAGAAATGTATACTTTTTAATAACAGTAATAAGATTTAATTTTGTAATATAAAACCATATTTTTACTGTTATAATATAATTTGAGGTACAGGCATCAACATGATTTGACCATAGACATAAGTTTCTTACTTAATGGATTATATTATTTTGTTTAATTTCACAAATATTCAGTGCGGAAACCTGAACAGCGCTACTGGAAGCTTTATATCCTCCTTCTCTATTGGTGACCAAATTCCGATCTTTTTTTTATTAAATATTGCGAAAGCGGTGTTCAGGTTAGGTCAGTTTGAAAAACTGAATATTTGTTCTCTCACACATGCTAATGGTATTGCTACCAGACATTTAAACAAAATAATATAAATCTATTATGTAATGAGATGGATTTCAGCATAATAAAACCTACTGCTATAAAATACATAACTTTCTATGTAAATTGTCTATTCTTATTTTAGATTATTAGACACAAAGTACATGTCAAGCATGCCCCCTTTCAAAGAAGAGGTGAATTCCAATGTTTTGCAGCATCTGTATGCAACATTATCGAAGTCGCCATTTTCCTTGCCAAAAGTCGGTACGTGATCTAAGTTATATTAAAATAGCTTTGAACATATATACAAAAATATGTGGTACTAACCCAGGACAATTTATACAGCGTGTTCTAGTCGCAAACCAAACAAATCTTTTACTATATACTGTTTTAAATTTGACGCGGTCATTGTTTATACGTATAATTATACTATTGATACTATTGTTAATTATTACTAGTTATGCCCGCGGTTTCATCCACGTTAAATTTCAATATATAAATTTCAGTAAAAATATAGCCTATGTATTATTCTGATGCCTAAACTATATGCTTTAAAGTTTTATCAAAATCCGTTCAGTAGTTTTTGCATGAAAGAGTAACGAACATATACGTACAAAGTGCGAAACTTATAATATGACTAGCTACTCGCCCCGGCTTCGTCCGGGTGTACATGTATTATACATATAAACCTACCTCTTGAATCACTCTATCTATTGAAAAAACCACTTCAAAATCCGTTGCGTAGTTTTAAAGATTTAAGCATACATAGGGAAGGACAGACAGCGACTGCGACTTAGTTTTATACTATGTAATTATTAAGATTTATTATGTATATTAAACATGAAAGTTTAAAAATAACTAAAAGGCGGTAATTTTAAAAGGATCTTGTGGTAACAGAGGCGTCGTCGGGGCGGGGCTACAGCCGCACGGATGATAAACAGCACGAGGCCGGGTACGACGCGTACGTGACCGGCGTGTGCTTCCTGGCGATGCACGCGCACGTGGCCGCCATGCGTGGCGAGAGCGGCGCCCGCGTCTCCGCTGAAGACTCCCCGATCCTGCGGCCCTTCCTCGACAAGTTGTACCTATCGAAGACTGCGTACCAAGATATACCCTATATGAATTTGAACGGCGATGACCGTGAGTTTCGCCATTATATATTATTTATATTTATGTACATTAATACTATGCTTTGTATCCCAAATAATTAAAAAAACATTGGCTAACTCCGAGCGAAAGTTTCCTTAAAATGAGTCTAACCCTTTTAGAGATTAGCAAAAACAATGAGACACAAACAGAAAAATATGTTTTAAATTAAATTTTTGCTGTAAGTTTCGTATATTTATATGTGTTTAATTTTAAATATACATAGATTACTAAAAATACTTTGTTGTGGCTGTCAAAATTGTAATACCTATCTATAATTTTCAGCGAATCCGCCGAGGGACCACGTGTTTTACTTCACATTCCCTAAAGAATGGCAACGTAATGAAATTAATCAACTCTTCAGTCCATATGGTGAGTTTATATGCTATTTATACATATAAAAATCAATTAAAATTTTTATTTGCTAAAACTCAACATGAGCTTGATAATTTTAAAAAATGATTACTTAATTTAATAAGAATTTTGCTAAACATCTATTGTATGTAAACCATAGCTATAAGAACGCAGGACATGCTACCACAAAGCTCGACCATTAAACGATTGTTCACAATTTTAAGAGTAATTAAATGCTAGCAATTTACCATGTCAGGTTGACTTCTACGCGGTTACCCCTGAAAACCTTTATGATATAGCAGTCGGGTGCAACATATTAGTATTATAAATTAAAATAGAAATAGAGTATATCTGTATATTAATATTGAATTAAAAACTTTGTACCGCTTTTTATGAAAATTGCTTTACTCCTCTGTACGTAAGCCTCTGTACGCACAGAGGGTTATGAAATGTCGCACACTTATAGTCTATATAGAGAAGTGCAGAAGCTATTTTCTTTTGATTATGCATAAAAATACATTTAATCAATAAAAACAAAATGGCATACTACTATGTGTTTAATACACACTAGCACTTTGTTAAAATCTGTGGTCAAATCGAGAATATGTTAATATTGTCTGTCTTAAATATTATTTGTCTATAGAATCTTAAAAACGTTCAAACTGACAATTTACATTAATTATAATCGAATATCCATCATTGGCCGACTAATAGTTGTTATAATTATGTTTTATTTTCATAAGGTGCGGTGACAGTACAGTTCGTGAGCGAAACGACGGCGCTGGTGGCATTATTGAACCGCAAGAAGGCGAAAGATGTGATGAAAGTACTCACTAAACATAGTCGCATTAAAATCCTGCCGTTCGACCTATATAAGGTAACAAGTAAGGTAACTGTCCTGTTTACTAATAATAATAATCATCACCTAGAACAATTTACATAACACTACGTAGTCCCAAACTAATACATCTACTGTCAACTGTTTAAACCTTGAAACATCGCAGTTTGATGTGGTTTGACTTTTACAAACTATTGTTCTTATATTTGTTAAGTAGTTAATAGTTAATAATTTTAGCCCAAAATTATTTATTTATTGTAAGTTGGAATAATTATTAAATTTTTAATGTTATCACTCGTTGATAAGGTAAATAAGTGATTTGTATTTAAATTTTGCCGTAAATTGTACGTCAGTTCAAAGATATATCGCCCATTCCAACCCACCTGTCGGAAACGCAAACTCTGAATGGATATATGGGAGCAGTTCCCTTTGCCTATCCTTTAAACAATAACAGAACAAAAAAAAAGCAAACTTTGAGCGGCCGAACTTTATGTACATTGTTCTGGGATATTAGATCAGCCGATTCTAGTAAAGTGTGTATAATTTTGTATTTGATTGATAGCTACTCAATTATAAAATTTCATTGTTGCATGTCACATGTAAAGCCATTTTCTGGGGATTATCTCAAAAGAAAAGGTATGAAAGTTTTATTAATGGTTGAAATCAAATAGACACAATTCACTGATCCTGCGTCTGTAGATGTGAACAATAATTATCATAAATTCTGAAATTATCTAAATGCTCCGCGACGCGCCGCGCGTGCGTCCAGCGTGAGGGAACTGGGCTAACTAAAATTTTTCTTTTTGCAGTTATGGTCTCAACCTAGGAGTTCTTTATTTCTTTAGTGTTTTTGTTTAAAGGTACAAAGTCTAGAGTCTAAAATAAAATATTTACATTACTAATAAAAAGTTAATCTATGAACAGTTTAAATGAAATAGTCTTTCGTCAATTTCAAAAGTTATAAAAATATATTTCAAACAAATAAAGCTCAATTTTATACTTAAACTTAAAAATGTAAAGTAAGAATAAAATAATTTAAAAGAGCAACACGCAAGTTTCTAGCTCGTTCTTCTTGTGATGAGACAGCTTCCCGAATGAGCGGTAGATTAAAAAAAATGTGATGACTATTCAAAAGTGCTTCAATGTAAGTTTATCTGAATAAATGATTTTCTATTCTATTCTATTCTGTTATTGTCCACAGATGACAGAGGAACAGCAGCGTTTGCAGTTAACAGCGAAGAAGACTACGGCTATGTACGTATTTTTTTTAATGTATTACATTTTTTTTAATGGATGATAATTGAGTTGTGTAGCCACCAGCGCTAACGGATTACGCTGTCGGTGCACCAGGTTTTTTAAGTGATTATGGTTTTAAACCCTCATGATAAATTTGTAGGGGGTCGCGGGGTCGGCTCCTCGAACGGCACGGTATAATTGTATCAGACTGCGTGTTTACTAAGTAAATATTTAAAAAAAATAGTAACTAGTTATTTTTATCAGTTGTCTAGTACCCATAACATAAGATCTGCTTGCTCGGGACTTGGCGCTTTGTCCTGAGATATAGAGAGAGATTATTATTATTTAGCCGGCATTTTATAGTACATTACATACATATATTTAGTAGTGCTTGTTATATTTATTAAAATATTTTTTGTAAAGAAACAAAATACAATATTGTAACAGACCTACTAAGGCACTCTAAGAACAGAATAGAATGGAAAATCATTTAATCAAATAAATTTTTGAAGCTCTTTTGTCTCTTAGTCATCACATTTTTTTTCAATTTATCGCTTATTCGGAAGGCTGTCTCATCATAAGAACGAGAAAGAAACTTGCGTGTTGCTCTTTTAAATAATTACTAGCTTTTACCCGAGGCTTCGCTCGTATAACTTCATTACTAGCTGCTAGATGGCGCTGAAGTAGCAAAATGTAGATATTTTATTTCTTCTCTTTTTTTTATAAAAAATATTTGTTTTTTTTTAATAAAAAATATCCTATGTTCATTCTAATACTTCCAAGAACATGTGTATAATATTTCATAATGATCGGTTTAGTAGTTTTTGCCTGAAAGTATAACAAACATCCCTACTTTCTAATTTATAATGTTAGTAAGGATGTTGTCACTTTACATTTTTAAGTTTAAGTTGAATACAAACTACCGATTAGCACTAATTCAATATAAGAAATACAGTTGCATTGAGAATAATGCGATAGTAAATGTTATGCATTTAGAAATAGAATTCAAAATCACAATACATTCATAAATGGAACTGAGAATGAGTAGTTTTCATTTATGTTCCTCCATCTTAGGCTCGGATACTCTGAATAAGTGGAATACTTGATTACCTAAATAATTTTCTATTGTGGAAATACAGTGTTTAATGTGGGTAGTTTTAGTGCAGGTTTCGCCATTGTACGCTGAGATACTACAGCGGATCGTGAGAAGATAGCTCTTGTGTCACCACACGTTGTTATTTTATTCGGACATTTCGTATAATGTTATAAATTCGAAGCTATGTGTACGTCTAGCTGCTTGTTTTCTATATATTTACGAAAAAACGATAATGGATGTTAAATAAGTTTATGGTGTAAAGATAAATTGTTTATGACGAATATGAATGTTTTATATAAAATATCAGATAACAGTTGTGGGTTATAGACAGTTTAATATAATAACCCAGGGTAATTTATACAGCGCAGTCAGGTCCCAAGCTAAGCAGATCAAATGAAATCATTTTCATGTAGGACATTTTAGATTTATATAATTGTATATGCATATTGATAAATCTAATCCTCCAAATAAAGATGGGTGACACTGCATGTTGTCAACTCACCCGGCCGGCCAGCGGTGGTTCTGGGCCAGACGGATAAGGTCTGCCTCGGTGTCACTGTTATATATTAAAGTAAATTAAAAAAGGCACGGACGAATATGTCTGTGGAAAAATGTATTTAAATATAAAATAAAAAAAAAAAAAACTTAAATTAATCTTTTTAATACTGAAATACATTGTTTTGCAAATAAATACGTCCGAAACTATTCCAATACAAACGACAATAATCATAAATGTTTGTATTGTCCGTTGTCATTCTGGTTGAAAACTTTCGCATCAAGTGAAAAACTAGCAAGAAACTTGCGTTTTGTTCTTTTAAATAACTTTACATTTTTAAGTTGAAATGTGTGAATACCAAGTACCAACTGGCAGTGATTCATTAATTTATATAATATTGATATATATTGATATATGTATTATAAAATCCAAATAAAATATTATTTACATCAACCAAATAGAGAAAATTAGGATGGAGTAAGTGCATGCTATATATAAACCCAGCGTGTGGTACTCTGTAACGAGTAAGGTCTTTACAAATCTCGCTACTCGAATTCCAATTCGTGCAACAACAATCTAGACAACATATAGTACCTAATTAATAATTTCATAACATAATACGCTTGTAATTCAAACCGGGAGTCTGCCGTACACATGGTCACACTACTCAGTAGCTTGGACAATGGCGCGTGGCGATACTGGCGACCTCGCGACCTCGCGTGCGCGCTTCCGCCATCTTGCATTTTAATGTGCCCGCGCAACATTTGCATACCATAGACAAGTGAGATGATATTTTATTCTCATTTACTTAGCTTTTAGGTTAAGTGGTTTATAGTTTTAATTTAAATCATTGTAGGTACTTTATTTTGCGGAAGTATTTGGGATTGCAACGTTGGTGTACCTGTAAAATTAAATTTGTTGCCAACACTTTTATTTCACAATATTAATCAAGCTCATAGATACATTAATAGTAAACATGTAATATAAATAAATAATTCTATACAATTGAGACAGCCATTAAGTCCTAGACTAAGTAGAGCTTGTGTTATGATATTACTTTTTTTTTTAATTTATTCATAATATAAATATAGAAATACCCAAACTAAATGTGAGGTTATGTCCTAAGAGAAAACTACACTAATACAAACTATGGGTACTAATGAATAGAAATGTTTGAAGTTTGGCAAAAGAATTGTAGTCTCGATTATTGTAACTAAGGCTGTATGATAAACCACTAAACAACCGAGGTCCTTAACATCTACACTTTCTCTCTGGCAAGTGACTTCTCTTAAATTTTCCACTTAAGTTTAAACAAATTCGTGACTACAAATGTGTAATTGTGACTTTGGAAAAAACTTCTTTTGTAATGAAAAAAATAATTCTCGAATATAACCGGCAAAGAATATAGTGCCGGTATATAGTTCTTTGCCGGTTATATTATTTAATATATTGTTACTTTTATTTCATAGTTGAAATAAAAGTAACAACATATTAAATTTAGATTATTCTCATAAGTATAGACCATTTGTAACACCTGCATTTAATGTAAAATAACATTTATTTAGTTTCATTTATTCAGATAAAAACAACAATATTCTAGTAGGTATATCTACAAATATAACTTGACACGTAAGTTATGTGTTCATAACACGAGAGTGGGTGTATTAGTAAAGCCCATAGACAATTTACATGCCCTCGCGAGTGCCACGGGCCACAGAAACAGATGCCAGGCTGATTTGCACACACGTCATTGTACTGCGTATTGCTGCCCATCAGGGTTGCCAACCTTAAAAGTTTGAACTCGTAAGAAGCAGGTAAAAAATCTTGTACTGTCGCTCTTCAGGCTTTTTTTTTCGAATTATTCTAATGCCGGAAGCTGGCCTTTACAGCTATAACGAACGATAGGGTAAAGATGGCACTTGAAACCCGCGGATGGACTTATAGAGCGGCTCGCTCTTCAACCTCGTTCAACGTCATATATATTTTGAATAACGGTAGGGCAGGAGATGGGGGCTATGGCAACTTGTACAGTTTATGTCATATATACTAATTACAAGTTAAAAGTAACTTAAGTACAAAAAAAAACAGTAAACCGAAATACCGTTAATACGTCTTATATCCCTACCACAACTACGAAAAATACTTTATAACCTTGAATAGATTTTAGAGAATTATCTCTACTATGTCAGCTTTCAAACAAAAAAATGCATTTAAGAGCTTGACCTCCGATTTACATACAGACCCACTGACACGTGAAACTTATAACAACACCTTGCGTGGGGGTTAAAATTAGGTATACAACAGTAGAAACTTATTAAAAAAAAATTATAACCGTATACACGGTATATGTATCAGAAATGATGCATTTCTGTATTAGTACAATTTTGTACATACTATCCACACCAGCGGAGCCTCACTCTTTAACCAAATGGTTTCATAAACACGTTACTATGGCCGGGCGTATCCTTTTATTTATTTGTCAAGTACAAGACAACATTTTTCTGTTTGTTAAAATTTTCAATCTGTGTGTTTTTAAACGTTTAATAAAAATTTAAGTAAACTTACTATCTGAGGTACCTAGAGCTGAAAACCAAAATGTTAAAAAAAAAAAGAATCTTCGTACGGTTGACATCCCTGGTATTCATAATCGCTGCACAGGTTACTATAGGATACCGTGACATAAACCGTATTCCGTTGTAATAAGGATTAACTGTAGTTCATCTGCAACTCGTCCAGTAAAAATCGTTTACTGTTATTCTCGACTGTAACGATTTTATTTGCTCAGGTCTCTTTATGTGTAGTTATTATTTGAAATGGCCGCTACGGTTGTAAGTTTAGAGATAAAATTATATATATAGTTAGATATATATAGTTATTTGAGAACTAGTATCACGGAATTGATATCTATCTATTTTTTCTGTGTAGCCGAGAAAAATTAACAAATGTAAGAAAAGATTTAATATAAGTATGGATATACCATATATAGTTAGAACTAGCGGAATGCTATCTTTTTTTCTAGCTAGACCCAAGTTAAACTAGCGAAAGCTTGTGTTGTGGGTACTAGACATATACTTGATACATATACATAGATATATATTTATTTATTTTTTTCGTAAATACATATATATTATATACGGAAAACACCCAAACTGATACAAACAATCATATTCATGAATACTAATGTTTGTACCGTGCGAGAAATCGAACCTGCGACCACCGGGACTAAGGCGGTGTGCTAAACCGCTAGACCACTGAGGCCGTCAATTTTATTGAAATATCTATACTATCACTATTTAATTATTGGAATTAAATGAATCAGAAAACTATTCTTGAGCCGAGTGGACAATTAAAAAAGAAAAAAAAAATCTTCTGAAAATGGCACTTCTTTTTTAATTTCGTGTTGCGGCGCGCACGCGCCACAAACGG